AGAGCAGCATCAAGTTCTTCCAACAGTACAAGACAAAATTATCGGAAGCTAGAGTGTTATTATCAATCAAACGGTGTCCAAAACCACCATGGTTTGATACTAAAACGCGTTTTGCAAAAAGGGTAAAAAACGGAGACATGGAAAAACGAGGGGGCGCCCTATCCGACGTCATAATTAGTAGATTTAACCTCAGTCCTGTACCGGAGCAGCCGTAATTGCGGCAATTTAATTTGAGATTGTGCAGTGTTATTTTCGTGTTCAAACTTGACTTGATCTCACATCCTTTAAACGTTTTTGCTGAATTTGACTATGAAAACTGTCGTTGTCACACCCAACTTTCTAATACATTTCTAGAGGACTAAAGAAACCGCATCGAATGGTGCTAATTACCTTCAGCTTTCAGACCAAAAATAATGAGCAATTTCCAAAAAATATGAAAACAGGTTTTCTGAGAATATGTTAAAATTTAGCATATAAAAGTCTCATAGAAAGAGCTTCCAATGTTGCATTTCATCTTTACAATCAATTTGACCTAATATGTATCATAGAAAAAGTCTTCATTTTTGGGGTGAAAAACGCGATCGTTTGATTTTCAAGAATTTTCCCTTGCTAATACTCATGGAAAAACGATGATTTTCATGAATTTGCAACGACCCAAAAAAAAAAATTGAGATAAAGCATCAGGAAGTAAAGCGTGGCCAAGAGAAGACATGTGATGCTATTCCAAGCGCTCAAAACGCTTTGTGGCATGAGTTATTCGTGCTTGAAAATGGCTAGATTTGAACAGAATTCGACCTAAAACGACGGCGTAGTGGGTTGTGTTGCCAGAAGATTAAGTAAATCACACTTCCGTCTGATGACCCAGATGCTCTGTATTGTACATTATGAAACCCCTAGTATCAACCCAAGGCGTGGAAAAGCTGTCCGCCCTTCGTGGTGGGATGCACATTATGGCTTAAAACGTTTGCCAGACAACCACAATGTTGCATACAAGCATGCATCTTGGGCTACATTCACTTTCTGCTCAAGCCACGTTTACAGTATAGCAACATAGATAATGTTTATCGCATCACATCACATCTATGTTTACAAGTTCAGTCCATTGTGTGTGCACGAATGTCGCAGGAACTATAATAGATTCAACCTCCCCAACAATGTCATGATGTAGAGATCCACCTAAACTACTACATGAAGTATATCGACTTATGTGGTCTCTCAACAATCTATACCGACAATTAACAAGACCGCAGTGTCCTGTTATCTATATACCATCTCAACGTAGTAGTCATTAACCAGGGATTTATCATATTTAAGTTAGTTGGATGCCCTGTAGTACAAAAGTCATTTGCTTTTCGTTTTAGATACAGTTGACAACTGATTATTATCATCGACTTTCTTATTACAAATTTATCACACATCGAAGCAAATTATCAGTTAACGAGTTTGAATACATTACAACGCTTCCAACGCTTCACAGCTTCACATCTATCGATCTATTACTAGGAATTGCTGGTAATTAACAGGTTTTCATATGAAGCTCATTACTCAAAATTGGCCTATCATTTCGAAAATCCTCTTATTCTCAGCAACAACTCTTTGCTAAACCACAACGAAGCTAGCTACAACCAAGCAGTTTTCAATACAGCGTTTCCCAACATTGCATCCATTGATCTATTACTCGTAACCGCTTGCAACTAACAGGTTCTCATAGCAACATGCTACTTTCAAAGCTCTAGCATCAATATTTCAAAATTCCATTTTGGATGGCCTAAAAATGAAAGCCACGACATTGGAAACTGTTCTGTTCACTCAATACTTGGCATGAGATAGGAAATAGAGCCTTACAAAAGTTGAATATACTCTGGATGTATGTTGAACAAGGCATTTTTGGTTACTGTAAAAGCCTAGTCTGTGAGGTAATCAATATGATGGCGATGACATTTTCAAGCGTGGAGAATATGCATACCTTAGATTGAACAGCTTGATGAAGTAGAACGAAACAAGCTACAGTCATCTAGCTTTGGAAGCATAACTTACAAACAGGTCAAGTACACATTGATAGTCTGGAATCTTACCAAATCCACAAAGCATGTCAAGACATTATCGTCATATTCAATATTTCTCTTAATTAATTATATTTAGGCAAGCTTTTCTTTTAGATTATACATACAACTATGATATGTTGCACCATCTACTGTTCTACAATTAATAACTAGCATTGAGTTGAACCTCGTTTGAAACTGTAACTCCAGTATATAAAATAGTACGATGGAACATCCATCAGCCTAGACATTTATACTGCATAAATATGCGCATTCCTGCTTCCTCACGCTACCTCTTGCGGGCCTTATTTATTTGAATGGATCGTCTTCATCGGGAACCTGAAAATTGACTGGTAAGTGGTGAACATCCCAAGATAACTATGTGTAGCGGGCGCATTTCGAAGCTGCGGTACTCACATCTGTGTACAGTTCCCATTAGCTTATTTATTTCTGTGTGGTTGTACATATTTGACATCAGATATAGCTTACTTCCTATTATACATGGCTGCAATTGCTATCAATGTGGCACCATTCTGTTCTTCCAAGTACAGGGTTTCCGGTACATTCATTCCGCTATACATTGCATCACACGACGCACACAGCATTGGATATTTAGTAGATACCACTATGTATGTTTAAAAGAAAAAAGCATTCGTATGCCTACAACAAAATGTGCCATGGTATATACTCAAATAGCTGTTTATACTATCTGCAGTTACTAAAAGTCGCGGTGGTTGCTACTGATATATCTGATGGAAGATAGTGAATCCCAGGATAGAGACTCTACATGCCGGAATGTAATCTTGGACATCCGAGATACGTACGCGTTGACGGATCTTACTGGTGACAATTTGAGAAGGGTAAAGATGTATCCTTTTCAATCCGAATAGCGTATGTAAACTGAAAGGGATATTTATCAAGAAGCTCTTATCCGCTTCCCACAGTTTGATTTTAAATCAATCTCATCTCATCTCATCTCAATCACCTTTCCCTACAATTTGAGCAATAGATACAGTTTGATTGAGGATGAATCCTTTTCTTTTCTCTCTTTCTTTCTTTCTTTTTCCAATTTTTTTTTTATATTCTCTTCGTGGTATGCTTATCTACTTATTTTTGAAGAACTTACATAGGACATACCAACTAATATTTAGTAATATAGTTGCGTGCAATAACCACTGGTAGTTCGTACATTATCGACAATGATAACCTGTGATGCTACCTATAGTGAGCACTTTTAGCTGTTTAGATCCTACTTTGGTATTTTGAAGCGTTGCATAGTTATACTGTAGTTGCATGATTACTCTGGAATCAAACTCGGAATAACAACCGTGAGGCTAGTCTACTTGTATCAGGCTCTTTATATCAAGGTGATGCTTTCATACTGATCGAGCTGGTGCATCATCTGCCTGCAGCAACTCTTTTTGGCCAACTTGGCATCTTGATCTCTCATTTCTGGTCGGTGTATACCACTGTTTTATATGCATTTGTCGCTGGTAAGTCTCAACATGATCCTTACTGTGAAGTATATAATACTGACAGGAGTTTTTATAGATGTTGGTCCTGCGAGAGGTAGCAGGAACCCTCTGGTGCGATGGAAACCACAACAGGCTTTTGGGATAGGGTTAGGGTAGCCTTTTCAAGCATGGGGAAAGAAGTTCCTGGGTCCCTTTACCACTAACAGCACAGACTATCTGAGTCTGCCCTGAGCTGTCAAATCTTATCCTTCGAAACCCTTTGTACGACACGGAATGTCGATCATTAGTTGACAATGTGACCATATAACGTTTTTCAAATAAACTTTGATGTTTTGATCCTTTAATATTTTTATAAGCTTTCGTTAGTTTATGTTGTTTATCTGTATTTATTGCCTATGAAGCAGTAGTTTTCTCATATTTTGTTTGTAGGCGATACAAATTTGGATGTTACTAAATGTTTCTTATGTTGCGTATATAGCTATCCTTTTTATAATTATCAAATTGATCAACTCGTTTTTACAATTCGCCAATTCGTAGACGACATCATTTTTTGGCTTTAGTTTTCATTCAATCTGCTTTTATCTATTATTTCAAGCAAAAACTACACTAAATTCTTGACACTACCAAGATTTATGTCTAATTCACAGCTCTAACACAAAGCTCAATTCAAAGCTTGAATCAAAGTAGAATACAAGTAGAAGAAAGAGACAGACTATATGAGAAAGAAGTGAAAAAAAAGAGTACAGTTTTATAGTTTCCAGGACTCGCAAATCGAGTCATTCAGGACCATTTTATTATGAAAACATGTTCTTGTGAACATTTCAGTGTGCTTTGTACTCGGTTACAGAAAAGAACGACTGTATTACACAGACCTCATCGTTCATTATATTTTCAGGCCTCAGCATCATATTTTGAAATATATTTAGTACATACGATACATGGTGAAAATTCCATTTTGACTAAGCGCTATATTCAATACGAGGGAAACCATAAACCGGGTATATGTATCAAGTGAATTGTGTTGATTCAATTTACACCCATCCAGCAAGGGTGCTCGTAAATGCTAAGATATGAGCCAAGTTTTATATTGTGAGATGCAGCAAAAAATTTTGTCGCATGGTACAGTAGGGCTATAGATCAGGATTGGCGCTTCCAATGCCTATTCCATGAGACATGGTGGCACTTCCTAGTCATTCCATTTCAAAGATGCTGGGGGGGGCATTCTGTTGAAATGCGCATTGCAAACCATATCAAAGTCGGGAACCTTGACCATAATCTTGTTATAAGATAAATTCATGCATATGCCAAGGAAAGCGATTGTTGGGTTTTTTTTTATATTAATTTTGATGTCAAAGATAGAAAGCAAATAGTGATAGGGAGAAGGGTGTTGTTTGCAAAATGATTGTGTTTATCCTCCATGAAACCAGATATTTCTATGAAAATGTATGTATAAAGAAAAGATGTGTATGTATAAAAATGAAATTTAGTCAGTCTTTGTATTATAGTTGGAAGCAGAAGTGGCAACAGATGGAGAAGGCAAAGGAGGGGGTTGATTTGCTATAAATTAAACAACATGAATACAGTCAGCACACACATACAGCCAGCTCAAATCAATACATTACTATAAGTATTCAGGAAATCCTCCATATTGACATAATCCATCGAATTGGCATCATCTGCTCCAAATCCAAGTTCGGAAGCGAGGGATTTCAAACTTGATTCCAAATCTTCGGCTGTCGAGGGGGCAGCGGACAAAGTAGGAGTGCCTACGTCAATAGGTGTATCAATGGGTGTACTAGATTTCGAGAGGTTGAGAAGAGGTGGTGGGCTAGCGACAGTGGATGGTGTCGAGGATGCTGGAACATCAAAGTAGCTACTATTTGTAAGCTGATTGAATAAAGCCGGATTCGTTTGCGCCAATGTCACCAAGCCCTGAAATTGAGGTAAATTTAAAAGAGAGGAAAGATCAGGAGTGGGTATAGCAGGTATGGTTGCTTGTGCATTGTTGGCTTTGCTGCTGTTTATAGCTGTTGTAGTTGATGGAGATACAGATGTAGATGTGGCATTCAAACTAGGCACTGTCACTGAACCAAAAAAAAGTTTTTTTTAGCACCTCGTTATTCATTGACAAGTAGTCTGAAACTTACCTAATGATGCAGCTGTGTCTTTTTTGGTTTGATCGTTAAGAGCAATGGCTGCTGCAAGGTCTGCAGTTGCAGGAGTCGTGGATGAAGACGAAGGTGATGTTGCCGTGGGCTGTGGTAGATTACTGGCATCGTTCACGAATTCCGATATATCAAATTGCGGTGATCTGCGAGCATACTTGGAAGGCTTTTCTTCGCTTTCGTCTTCCACATCCTCGATCTTACTATGTTCCCGTTTCTGGTTGCTGTTGAACTGGTTCTCTTGTTCGCCTTCTTTTGATCCATCTCCAAGTAGGAATTGTCGCTTACGAGGAATAACAACATGCTTGTTCTTTTCGTTAGAGAAAACAGAGGCCAAGAATCTCAAAATTTTGTCAATTGTTTCCTGATGTCTGTGATGGCGCTCTCTGGAAGCAATGTTTTCTTGCCATAATACTTGGTTGTCGGTCTGGACATTCTTTAATTCATTACTAATCGACATTTGGTGCTTCTTGATGGCTGCAATTTCATCTAGAATGTGGTGCAAATCAACGGTGCCTGTCTCCTTCTCTTCTGGATCACGCCCTTTCTTTCTAGTCACCAGTAGTAGCAAATCAGGCTGATTACGTTGAAAGTGAGGGTTGCTGAATTCCCAGCGTTCTGACTCTCCTTCAGTGCTCAATACACCATTTTGAAGATGAGGTACCTTGTGAAATCCATACATGTTCAATTGACGCACAAAGGAGGAAAAATTGCTGTGCTTGAAGAAGCGAGGTAGTACTTTTTTGGCGAATTCTTCATGTCGAACTACAATGAAGGACAAGCCATCATCAGACCAACGTATAAGCTCATCGGTCGTATGATCGTCTACCATACTGCAATTTAATGTGAGACTGGGGCATTACTCTCTATATCCTGAGCTACTTACTTGTATAGTTTGTTCAAGAAGGCAGGCACATTTTGCAGTTTGTTTCTCTGTATCTGACTAGGATTCATTACCATTTTGGCAGTAGTGGTAGGCCTGTTGACTGGGTTTGTTGTAGATGGCGTAGCTGGATTAGGTGCTATTGTGCTTAGCAAGGGCGCTATTGATGTGGGTAACTGGCTCATACTGGTAGCTGTCAATAGCAGAACAAGAATTGAAAAAGAAAAAAGGATGATTTGATAAACCAGAATCTGTGCTTTTTTTTTTTTTTACTCTCCTCTTGGGGTTAATAATCAATTTGAAAAAAAACTTCAGTTCGCTTTCATACCCAATCAAGCTATTAAGCCATCACAGTCACCGTGCAAGATAGCAACATGATGTCAAGAACTCTAATTCTTGCTGTTTTGCTTGCAGACAGAACCCGGATCATTACAAATCAAGAAAAACCTTGTACTCACCATGCACTTGGACATTTTACCGTACTATCTGAGGGGGGGGGGGCTTCGTAGACATCCGCTTAATATCGCTAGAGTCCGATGGAGCAAGTGATATTCCAAAATGTTCTGAGAGATCAAGTTGAGATGACATGTAAGCACTTTCAAAGATCCTTGAACATATCAATGAATGAATCTTTCAAGATGCTATTTTTTTCCGGCAGATATTAATGCATCAGTGTCATCACCTCTGAAATTTGTGTATAAAACTCTATCGCAATGCCATGGATGGGTATTGAATCTTTATGTTTCAAGTGGCCCTAACTAATGGTTGGGTCATTCGCAAGTAATGCCAAAATTAGCAATGTTTCAACGGTTGTAAGAGCGATCCAGCTATGACAGAATTGATCCTGACGTACAAAGTGATTTATTCAATATTTAAAGCCTTTTTGAGCGCACTTAAGCTTTGATCCTTGATATCAATCCAAGCTTGATCGTGTTCCTCGACTACTGGTTTTCCTAGTGATTTACCATCTCGATTTACCCAAGTTGTAATGTCCTTGATGTAAGCCAGCTCCAGCTCCGAGCCCAAAGCATGAAATTCTCTTCCTCCTCCCTTTTGCAGTAAGCGCTCCTGCCACTCTAGGCGCATGGCTTCTTCCGTAGGGAGCTTAGCAGCACCAGCATAGACTCTAGCAATGGCGTAGGATTGGAATTCAAATAGTGAGAAGGTAGCAATGTGGAACGGAATACCAACAAAACTGAGTGTTGGATTTGGGATGTAAAAAATGTCCTTGTGGAGATTGTAAACTTGAGTACCATCCTTGACCAGCACATGCTTGTCATCTACATCAGATTGGCGCTTGGAATTGATATGCTGATCCGAATGAAGATTCTCCAAAAAGTGGAAACTAAACACGTAGCCAGTGCACACGATAATGTAATCAAATCCTGTGAGTTCGGTACCATCTTCGAGTTCAACCACGGCATTTTGGATTTTATCCTCTTTGTCATTGCTGTAACGAAATGTCTTGATGTTGCCGACTCGCTGCACATTTTTAGGAACAAATTTAGAGAGTTCTTCTCGCAGCTTGAGGTAACGCTCATCAAATTTGTGGTTGCTTTCACGCACAGAGTTGTAGATGGTCTTGACGTGGCTACTGACATCTCGAGCTATGTCTATTGCTGATGTACCATTTCCGATCAGAAGGACAGACTATGTGTGACAACCAAGTAAATAATGTTATCATGGCTACAGTCAGAATTAAACTTACCTTGTCTTTGAATTGCTCAGGCACACGGTATTGTTTCGAATGAATTACATTTTCAGGCCACTTGTTGCGCCAATCAGATAAGCCCAGTAGATCAGGAACATAAGGAGCATGATAATGACCAGTAGCAACAACGACAGCATCAAAAACCTGATGATTCACAGTAAGCAACTGCAATTGCAAAAGCATAGCAAGCTTACCTCTTCCTTCCATGATATCTCAACTTGATCCGTGTCCTTGGAGTACTCTGCATGTTTTGTCAAAACACGCCATCCACTTTGATTAGGCAGTTCCTCAAGGTTTTCAACAGATGTATTATATTCAGTAATGTCATCCAACTTGAAGTGTGAAGAATAGTCTTGAAGATACTGCAGAATCTTGTCATGTGAGGTGAACCAAGGCTACATTAGTCTGTTAGCATACCAGCATTGATGCAAAGCTGTTCCAGGAAAACTTACAGTATCTTTACGCCATTCAAGGTCTTTGTATTGTAAAAGTGGTGTCGGCACGTTATTCCTCAAGGATCGGTAACAGGGCGTAGGCGGTGTGAGCTGCAATAACTCGTTCTCGGCAGCTTCAATAGTAGTCTTCTTTACAAAAGGCAGGGAGGCGCCTTTCGGTGGCAAACTGGGCTCTACAACTTTGGTTGGAATTTCTGAAGGAAACTTAGGGTTGATTGGCTTCTCTTTATTATATATCCTAGCATTAATGTTAGATGCAATGAACGCTACATACTAATTGATAAGCGTACCATGTTCCTCCAGATGCTGCATTTCTCTCGTAGATTTTGACTTGAATACCCTCATCTAGGAGCAATTTGGCGGTAGGTAGCTATTGTAAAGACAGACTTTAGTGCAAAGACATGCATTGGATCTATCTAAACTTACACCAGCAGGGCCAGCGCCGATGACAGCTACTCTTTTTATCTTGTTTTTGAACTGAAACGGCTCTGATTGATCAATGTTGGCATTGTATACTCCAATTTTAGGCGTTTCGACGACTGATTCAACCAATTTATCAGTGCTCCAATTCACTTTGATGGCAACGTCTTCAACTGGCATTGTTAGAATGGTTTAATTTGGGGAAGAAGGGTTTGATAATAACACTAAAGCAGCATGAGTGACATGGTTATATAAGCGTATAATACATAAAACAAGATCAAGTCTACTTTCCCATGGCATCATTAAATCTGCATATTGCGAAACAGTTGACAAAACACTTACAATCATTACATGGTGTAACGTAGACCATTTTGTATAATAATCTTTGATATTTCATCATCAATTTAGCCTCACAATTTTAAGTTGTTTGTTACATGGCCGTTGAGCCACAAAATCCGAGAAATCACGATCTGTGTGTAAAGCTTGAGCTGATTCTTGTACCACTCAAAGCTGCTGAATCCACAGACTGGCCAAGTTACAGGTTTATGCACATGCAATGATAAGGATTCGATGATTGTGTCATGAGAAAGCAGCAAGATCCGATGCAAGATGAAAAGATAGAGTTTTGCATCATATCATCAATGCAAAGAATCGACTCATCTCTAGAAGCGCAGATGTATTAGTCATCCAGATGCAAAGCGCATTCCACTGCAAATAAGGCGCAATACATCAGACACTGCAGAACAGAAATGAAATGATACGGCAAATTGATTGAGCCATAAGACGCTGCCTCACTATGAATTACTCCTTACTAAATGAGATTAGAGCTTGGGAATCCGAGAAAAGCTGGTGTTTGGAGTCAATGATATGCTTCCACCAAGAATTATGCCGTACTACTCGAGTATTACACTTTAAAGTATCAGTTTACTAGCTGATCAATTTCGCTACGTTCGATAACTGTGTCGCTCTGCAGGCTCTTGTCGAAGACACTTCAAATCAGAGATAATAAAAAACGGGGTGTCAAGTAGATTTTAAGCAATCGATTAACAGTAAAAAAAAAGGTTATATCAGAGTCAGGGGAGGAGAGAGGTATCCTCCTTCGCATCCCTTTTGCTTATACACTGATATCAAACGAAAGCTATTACCAAGGCGAAGTGAAAGAGATTTCAAGTTTTATGTAGCATTTGTACAGCACATTCTCCGTTCGTGGCGAATTTTTTGATAGCAGAATTGTCAGGCCGTTCGCTGATGTTGCTTTTGGATGGCGGCATAAAGCTGACCATGCCCAAAATACAGGACTTGAATAAGATCAACAACAGCAACTATTTTGAGAGACTGTCTATAAAAAAAAGCATTCAAGCTAAGCGATTGTCTTTTCAAATCCACGATCCTCATTTAATCAACATCGCATTCATCATTCATCATCATTGTCATCATCAGAAAGGCATTTGGGCCAGCCCGCAGTAGTACCGCCCGCTAAAATAGATTGAAACTCAGTTTAACTTTTGTCGTGTAACACCATATCAATGGTATAAAGATCCAAGCATCCACATCAATAAACGTCAGTCTTTCTTCTTCCTACATATTATAGTGGTCCCTTTATTCCTGAACAATACATGGTGAGGCTCCCTAACTGAATTCTCGAACCCGGAAACCACTAGATATATCAAAGGCTCACACTCGACTACACCAAATCACACATATCGCAAGATCACACATATCGCAAGATCACAAAACATCGCTCCAGCACACAGCTGCAATCACCTACTCGCAAACAGGCCCGAACAACAGAACCAAAAAACTACTTCACGCAGCAAGTAAAATTTATCGCATCCCTTCGAAAGGTTTACACCACAACAAACAGTACCTCGTCTATCACATCATCTTATCACACCACCCCACAGTCCGTTAACATGGCCGATTCCAACACCAAGGAGTTCATCCAATACATGAACCTTGAAAAGGTCAAGTCTATTGACATGCCACGGTATGAATTGCATTCTAGCTTACGTACCTACATCAAAGAATTTGAATTACAGGCAAATTTCGTAGGCATTGAAAACATGGATATCTGTACCGTCCAACTAGGTCGCTTCATGCCTCCCGTCATCAAAAACTGGTTACCTACCTTACCTTCCTCAGTCAGACAAAACTGGGCCAACGTAACTGAACAAATGCTGTTACAATTTGGTCGTCCTGCCGACGAGGAATATCGAGAGTTCAAGTCCAATTTGAAGCGATGTCAACAACCCAAGCAGGAGTCCATCAAACTACATAGTGCTAAATGGAAACATTTGCTAAGTCTGCTGCCGGATAATCATATCTCGGATGCTCATCAAATATCTTTATTTACTCAATCGCTACACGACAGAGGATTACGTGCTACATTAACAGCGTATGTAGAACTCGCTAAGGTCACAACGGTGCAAGAAGTTATCACGAAGGCCATCGATTTTGAACACAAGGCTAGGCTCAATGATAATACTGATGAACAAGCACACTTATCGGGATCCCACACTCAATCCACGATGGATGACCCAATGGAAGTTGATTATGTTAATAGCTCAAACTCGTACAAAGACAAAAGTACTAAAAGACCATTCAGAAATAGCAAAAAGTCATTCAATTCCAAACCTCGTTCACGATTTCCTCCGGATCCTGTACCTCGATTATACAACAAACAAGGACATCCTGTCTGCGGTCACTGCTTCGGCGAACATCGAAATTACGAATGTCCCACACAGGCATCCTCTGTGCATCAGACAGACACTATTGAACACCCAGAGGATGACTCAGGATTAATGGAATTGGGGTCCCCGGTTCCTCTTAATCACATTCGTGCTACTTCCATGCATGCTATTCGAACCACTCAACATGACAGTTTCACTCCCACAACTAAAATCGTCATTGGAGATCACACTATTCATGCATTATGGGACACAGGTTCTGCTATCACTGCCATGGATTATGACACATGCGTTACACTGCAGTTGACAATAGACAACAATCAGATCATCAGTTACACAGACGTGAACAATCGTACAGCACAAACGATGGGTATTACTAAATTGAATCTTTTTGGTTACGAAACGAAATTTCATGTTATACGCGGTTTGGCTCGTCAGGCTATCATCGGCTGGGATTTCATGTGCAGATTTCAGGTCAATATGAATACTAAACTCAAAATGTTCACACTACAAACTGACAATCATCTTATAAACTTACATTACGAGACCACGGCTACGAGGCGTTGTAACATCCAATTAACCGATTCCCAAGATGCTCGGATACAAGATGTATTACAAGAGTTCAAAGAATTATTACGCAAAGACTCGGACAAGCCCTCAGTTACTACCAAAATGGAATTCACCATCGACACGGGAGACCATCCTCCCATTTACATTCGACCAAGACATTACCATCCTGACATACAATCGAAGATCGACGCCAAGCTCTCTGAACTGGAACGCAATGGAATTGTCAGCAAAGTCAACTTCACGGATTGGGGCTTCCCAGTAACAGCGGTCCCTAAGCCAAACGGCTCTCTTCGCATATGCGGAAACTACGTCAAACTAAATGCGATCACAAAGACTATCAAGTATCCGTTTATCAACCTCCATCATGCACTGCAGTCTCTGGGCAACGCAAAATATTTTTCAAAAATAGATCTCCTGTCAGGCTATTTTCAAATTCCCATTGCTGCTGCTGACAAGCCCAAGAGTGCCCTGGTAACACCTAACTCTACATATGTTTTTAACACGATGGCCATGGGGATGAAAAATGCCCCAGCACACTTTCAATTATTAATGGATCAGGTACTCGGGGACATGAGATACAGAACTGCTATCGCTTATCAAGACGACACCATACTGTTCTCTGATACCTTTGACAATCATGTGCTCCAGTTACGCAAACTCCTAACGAGACTGAGGGAAGCCAATTTGACCATCAACATTGAAAAGTGCCAATTTGGGCTAAATCAAATCAATTTCTTAGGTTTCATTGTCTCTGATCAGGGTGTCCATGCTGACATGGATAAAGTTACACCTATCACTAATCTACGGGCTCCCACAAATATAAAAGAGGTTGAAAGGTTACTCGGCATGGCAGGAGTGTATTCCAAGTTTATATCCAAGTATCAAGTAATGGTGGAACCAATTCGACGCTTGAAGATCAAAGATGTACCATTCGCTTGGGAATCCGAACAGGAGCACGCGTTTCAAGAACTCAAAAGGTCTCTCGCTGCATTACCTTACTTGAAACAACCCAATTTCAAACTTCCATTCGAGCTTCATTGCGATGCTGCCACCTCAGCAGGCATTGCTGTCATACTCTGCCAACGGTACGATGACACACCTTACCCTCTCTCCTTCGCATCCCGCAGTGTCACCAAGTTTGAAAAAAACTACTCCATCCGTGAATTGGAAGCTTTAGCCATCATCTTTGGGGTTAAGAAATTTAGAATGTATCTTGAATGCAACCAATTTACCGTATTCACTGACCATTCATCCCTCCAGTGGCTTCTTAATACCGATGCGGACAAACAACCCAGACTTTGGCGATGGTGCCTCTTTCTACAGGCTTATGATTTCAAGGTCATATACATACCTGGAAAGGTGAACCATGCTGCGGATACACTATCTCGTGCTGCGATTCATGCAATTGCCTCTCATCATCCGGACATCGATTGGGCCAAGGAACAAAGACTGGATCCCATGTTACGACCATACTTTAACAACACGAATGTCAAGTACTCCAAGCATAAAGTCGTCGATGGCATACTATACAAGGTAGAAAACAAACAGCACAAGACCATAGCCACAGACATGTACATAATGGTACCTAGCCATCTGGTAGCGAATCTGATCAGCAAACATCATGACTCCAAGTTTGCAGGACATGGCGGTATCGCCAAGACCAAGGCTTCCTTGGTAAAAGCGCACTTGTACTGGACCAACATGACTCATGATATCAATGCCTATATTCAGAAGTGTCAAATTTGTCAAAGAATCAAGGGACATGTTGCTACTAAGCATAATATGACCACTACCCATGGAACAGCTCCGTTCATCAAGGTCGCAATCGACTACTTTGGTCCTCTGCCAACGTCAAGCGCGGGACATCAATACGTGTTGGTGGTTATAGACACATTCACAAAATACGTAGAACTATATCCTACCAGGTCTACAGCATCTCAAGAATTGGCTTCCATCATGTACACTCAGTTTATATTGCGACATGGCGTTCCCAACGAGATCATGTGTGATAACGGAAACAGCCTTGGATCACAATTCACCCAGCAAGTAGCAAGATATGTAGACATCAACATCGTATACACACCGCCGTATCATCCATCATCCAACGGGATAGTGGAACGATTCATGAAAACACTACGAACAATGATTTTATCATACACGGATATCAACCAGATTTCTACAAGATGGAGCAGCAACTTGAGGATAATTCGATTTGTATACAACAATATGTATCACCATTCTATCAAGACGTCCCCATTTGAGTTGGTCCACGGGCGCACAGCACGCACACCATTATCAACGATAATACCAGAGAAATTACCGGATTCATACAATGAACAAGACACCCCGGAATCACACTTCGCGAAACAGTTACAAATCAAGCTTCAAGTTACATTTGAACATGTACACAAACATTTGGAGAAAATATATGATAATCAAAAACTAACACCACAATTTGAAATCAATGACAAAGTATACATTTTCAACAATCGTATTTCCACTCGCAACAATCCAAGAAAACTACAAGTAGATTGGATAGGTCCTTGCACAATACAGAAGGTCCTGTCCACCACAAGATACGATGTAATCAATGATGCCACAGGTCAAAAACACAAAAACACCCATGTGTCTTTTCTGAAACCATCTCACTGATCAACTTCTACCTATCATCAAGCTTTTTCCTATATTAGGTTTTTAACGCGATTTTCATTCATACATTTATATCATAGTCCTTATTTAAATTCTATATCTTATCACAGCGGTGGGATGTCGTGTAACACCATATCAATGGTATAAAGATCCAAGCATCCACATCAATAAACGTCAGTCTTTCTTCTTCCTACATATTATAGTGGTCCCTTTATTCCTGAACAATACACTTTTCTATTCAAGATTGGCCAAATCTCGTCTTTTGTCGACTTCTTTAATCTATTTTGTGAGATCCGACTATATAAATTGTGATGATCATCCGATGCTTCCTAATACATTCTTGGAGTATTTTTCAAGGCGTTTCCAATGGTGCTAATTGTAATAGACGTTTTGATTGAAGATATCGAGCAATTCGGTAAAATATGAAGTGAGGTTTTTGGCCAAAATATCAAAATTTTGCATATAATAACCCAACAAAAGTGGTTTCAGGAGTTGCTTTGGGCCGAGAGAAACGTTTTGATTTAGTATATACCATAGTAAAAGTCTTCATTTTCAAGGTGAAAAACGCGATCATTTAATTTTGATGAAAACCATGAGGGGTGCCTCATGGTTTTTGGTCGATTTTTGGCCATGTTTTTTTGGGTTCCCAAAAAGTTGAGCAAAAGTGCCAGGAAGTTACTGCTACTCAAGTACAATTGTTTGGCGTCATTCCGGTGGCTCAGAAAGGTTTAAAAGCTGGTTATTTTTTGCTGTATAGCTTTTATGTACACGGTATGAATTGTATCTTTGGTAGCTAAAATCCTCTGGAAGGGCAGTTCTGCAGCTTGTGCAATTTCTAATTCGAGTAGCAGACATATTGATATTGGTAAAGCTAAACCATGCAAATTTTGATGCGTTATGTTGTTGGTAAGCCTGTTAATAATAAATATGAAAAGCTGAATTTGCTGCTTGGATACTATGGTTTTGCACCTTTGCTTCGCTACGCCAAACCTTTATTAAGACCAATGCTAACAATGCTGGATTACATGCTTAGACGCCATAATTTTACAACTTTGCTTCGTCTCTTATAAGTCAATGTTACCAAATGCTGAATTAAATAAGAATGTGTTTACATCGTTTATTAATAAGCGCAGATTAACTACTTCCAACATCGGGCTTTGTGATGTTGGTAAAGCCTTGAGAAATGAGTAGATCGTCTTGGTGGCTGTGCACATTGGGCGACTGAGAACCAGCGACAGTGGTAGCGTTGATAGTAGGAGTGGTAACATGCGAGACATCAGGCGATGAGAGCACAGTAGACTGCCTAAATCCAGGACTATAAGGTGACACCATTGTGCTGGCTGAGGGTGAAGCCGAGGCGTTTGTCATGGCAGGCGAAAGCCCTATGGTAAGACTTTTATTTCTCTCGACCAGCGTCTTTTCATGAGGTACCTCAACCTCGTTAGGAGGGTAGTATTTGTTATCATTAGCGACCACAATATTCATCGTATTTGGTGTTATCATGGGGGAGAAATTGGTACTTTGTCTAACGGGATGAGGAGTAAACTTCTTTTCAATATCTTCCCAATCAACAAATACGGGTTCCTGAGGTTCGTTGCCACTGACTGAATTGGATGAAGATTTGTTGGCTTCGGCTTGAGATCTCTTCTTTTTTCTATAAAAGAACACAACGGCAGCTACAAGCAATAAGCCCTAAGTGCAGCGTTTTGCTTAGATATAGTACGTTATGTATGCGTGTGTGTAAAACTTACGCCTACGCCACCAACCACGCCACCAGCAATAGCGCCCACATTGCTTGCATTGGCATTGCCGTACAGTCCTGCGTATTGGCTGACGAAAGAAAGCTTTTCGGGATTGGTCACATCGAGTATAAGCACTGTATCGCTTGTCATCGCACCTTGATCAGTTACATAGCCAAACAAGATAAACAGGTTGGTGCCGACGAGAACAGCTACAAAATAAGAGGAGAGTTAATCTGGGGCCTTTGTTTACCGATAGCTATTTGCTAATACCTGAATGTTCTGCTCTGGCAGGTATTTCATTCTTAGGCAGTGAGAGATAGCTGCTATGTGATTTCCAGGTAAATGTTTGCAAATTGGCAACATAGCAAAAGTCAGAAACAGCTGGATAACGCGCATATTAGTGTTGATAATCACTGCATTTACATCGAAAGCGTACCTGGATTCGACTCATCTGTTGTGCCGCCATATAGCAGAACATCCTGATTAGAGGGCACTGTTGCAACAACGTCAGTAAAAGGTACAAACTACTGCGTGTCACGATAGCTTACAGAGCGTCGTCGTATGATGCACTCGCTTCAAAGGAACATCCCCTGTGAAGGGTTTGACTCCCCAGGTATTTGTCACTGTATTGAACGTCATTGCTTGAGCAAATGATTGAGATACAGAGTTAGGGATGAGATTTGTTAAATTATTGTACAATCCACCAAAGTAATACAGTGTCTGTGAATCAGGATGAAAGATGACAGTCTGCAAAAGATGGCCTAAACTGGGGACAAATTGATTCTGGGAGGGTATGACGCTCCATGTCTATAGTAAAATCACCGTGATGAGCTACAGGCTTATGGTTGTGTGCTTAGGTATATACTTACAGAATAAAAACCTAGGTCAAGGGTGGTCATCCGGTAGTATCCAACAGGACTAGATGTCTTGTTTGGATTTGTGATGATGTTTGTGAAATTAGTGTTGGTTGCGGTATCCAGGTACCAGTCTTGATGCGGATTTCTATAGAGGCAGAACGATGAGTGGCACTGACAGTTTATAAAGCGTGTCTACATACTGTTCAATACCACCGTAAAAGTAAAACTTTTGTTGTGTAGGCACATATATACAGCTACCCCAGTATCTATCCATCATAGTCAGTACGAATGTTCATTATATTACAAAACAGCTTACATTTGTCTCTCGCCATTGGCACCATCAATGTATTTATCGATGGCTCTCCAAGAATTAGAGCTAGCCGAATAAGCAATGGTTTGAATAATAGGTGTTGTGGATGTAGTATAGCCACCACTGATAACCATAGTATCTCCATCACCATAGACGGCTGTTTGAGCCGTGCCTCTTGCTCCAGCTGCGATATCTACATTTTCCGCATTTGTAATCATTTGCCATTCACTGCTGATGGAAGTAGTATGACTGATTGTGAGGTCTAGTGTAAGTAAAGAGTTGTCAGCAGCCAGTCCATTGGTAGGCAAGTCTCCACCAAAGCAGTAGATTTTGCCCTTGAGGAATGCACAGCTTGTCGATCGTCTAGGTGCTGCTATTAAGGATTCAACATTGGCTATCAAGGAATGCGTAATCAATAAAAATGAGGCAAAGCGCAATGCTTTCATTTGGATTTATGTATAGGTGAACAAAGAGGCGTTTTTTGTGTTGGCTCATGATGTGTTGTATTTATATACACAGACCAAAGGCTTGGTTGATTTAGGGCTCATGCACAAATGTACGTACACTCATCAAACGTCTGATTGGTACTCTTTGCCTTTTACCAGGTAAATCAAGATGACTCGAAACAGTGGCTTTCAGGGTGATCTTGTGAACAGATGATTTGTTTATTATTTGTTATATACAGACAGATTGATGGCCTATTTGAAGGTCAAGAATCTTGCAGTTACTGCTTCACCATGTACACTTGGATTAATGGTAGATTTCACAGTAGTTAAATCAGCTCATATCAGCATTTTATTTAATAAATTAGCAGGATATACGAGAGATCGTCTGACAGAGCATGCATTGGCTGGCAAAGCCGTATGTTTGTTGCACATGTGTGCTTCCTTTTCTTGCAATGAGAGCGAGATGTTGGAAATCATAATTACTTCAAACACATTTGGAATGAATAGCGACAATTTTCAACGACACAGTGAACATTAAAATATGAATGCTCAGCGTGTGTCTGCAAACTCTTTTTCCAAACCCTCAAAGCAACACTGCCTTATAGATGGCATTCGCACATCTGCCTCCGTATTTGTACAACCAAACTGTCGGATTGGACTTTACATGGAAATCAACAAATTACAAGAATGAAACAAAAAGAAAGATTTATTTAAACAAGTCTGAACGTAGCCTCCAGAGGAAAGATTTCCTCACGTTCATTGTGGTAGATGTGGTTCCAAGTAGATTCCAATTGGGGAGGAAGCTTCCAAGCATTTTCAGGATGAAGCCAATGGCGCAGGAGATGGCGGCTGTGTTGTAATAGGCTGTGAGTAAACGGGCCATGCAATTACACAATCCAAAACTTACGTGTTCTTTTTGCTGTCAGTATAACCATCACGAGCATGGAAAATGGACAAGTTGTTGATGTATTGAATATCTCCTTTTTGGAAATCAACGCCCAAGTTTACTTTTTCAGCAGTAAAATGAAGAGCATCCAATGCCTCTGCCTGAGCCTCGGTGATGGGAGGAATGTCCTCACGTCGAGGATTTTTGCCGAAACCAGTGAAATTACGACGAGCATATTGAATGATCAACTTGTTGTCAACGTAGTAAAGAAGAGGACGCAAAAAGTAGGGCTCCTTTTCCTTGTTGAGATCACTGTACACATTTATGCATGTTAGTAATCAAGCTTCTCTATGTGGCATTTGATAAAAACTCACGTCTGAAAGGGCCAATCTTGAGATAAAGTATGAATCAGATCAGGGCGAGTCTTGGCAATCTCGTTATAGACGGTCCAGCTGGAGGCAATGCGAGACTTTCCTCCTTCTTCAGCAACACCAATGGCATAGAGAGAGATGATATCGCCAGCATCAGTGTGATAGACTTGATGATCGTTGGTAAAAGCAGGAGCGGTGATTTCATCCAAACCCTTTTCAGGAACCAGGTCTTTGATGTGTGCTACAAGAGTGGCATTGAGTTTGAGCATTTTTATGCTTGGACAATATTCAATTTAACTCACCAATGGTATGGCGGCCCTGAAGACCACGCTTTCCAACGTAAGCAGAGACACCAGTATAGGCAATAATGTTCTGTGCACGAGTGTACTTGTCAGGGTTCAATCCACGAATAACAATAAATCCTCGGCCTTCGACTACATTCTCCTCGGTCAAAGCCTTGATCTTGGGGCCAAATGTTGGTAAAGGGAAAGTCTCCTTGTTGATTTCAGAGAAAGGCTTCTCGGTAGCTTCAAAATCATGAACCGCATCATCGATTTCTTTGAGTTCTTGTTCTGTAAGTTCATAGACCCATTCAGATTCCTTTCCTTCATAGTCAGAACCTTTCCAGAGCTTGGGGCCTTCCAATTGAGTAGGAAAACCTTCAGGCAATTCCTTTTCAAGCTGTTCCTCGGCTAAGCGACGAGCAACTCTGTTCTTGTAGTTGACTCTGTCAGGCAAATAGGTGAAGTCAGGTTGAGAGGAGTTTTGTAATTGAATAGTAGGCATGCTTGAATGTATGGGATGATTGATAGTGAAAAATGGAAAGAAACTGAATTTTGACAGTTGTATTTATGCATATCTGGAGAGTGGCATGTAAAGTGGTGTCAAGCATTAGCACAGAGATGTTGATTAATAATCCAAATGAAATGTCGAGCTAAAATGATGTATTGTAGAATTTATTCAGATTTGACGCCTTTTCATCAGGTGCTCATAGACAGCAAGTTATTCACACAGACTAACCATCTGCTGCTATGCACAACGCATTGGTAATCTCGGATTACTAGACTGAAGCTTATTACCAAATATGTAGATATACAATTTCAACTCTTGATGAGACAATTCAGTGTAACCATGCAAGATAACACCTTTTCATTCTCAAAGTAAAGAGGAAAATGGCGTAAGTCTATATAATGAATTTCACCATGTTGAATACATGATGTGTAAGAAAAAATCCCTGCTAAAAGTGTCTAGAAAGAGAAAGAGAGATCAGTACTACTTCTTAACTGATCCTTATAATGGCGTAACAACTATCCCACATTTCAAAATCACTTGCATTTAAAAAGGAGGAAGACTTTTGATTTTTCGTTTCTTCTTTCCACATCAAAATCTATTTCATAATCATCTTCTCCTATAATTAATGACAAGCTCAGGCGGCATATCGTTTCAAAGTAATAGCAGTGATGGCAGCGTGAATGGCAAGAAGGCTGTGCCCCAGCAGATTGAAAATCTCTCCCCTCTGGCTGTTGGAGATCAAAAATTGAATAGACATTTGGGATTTTTTAGTGGCACCATGATGAATGGTATATGTTTATATTGTCTATATGTGAGTCTTCTTGTACACTAACTCTAGATGCTCTCAATAGTCGGCCAAATCATCGGTACAGGCATCTTTTCCAACCCTACATTCATCCTGATCAACTGTGGGTCTGGTGGCATGATGCTGGTTCTATGGGTGGTTGGTGCTATTTTCGCTGCTACAGGTGTCTGGAACTACTTGGAGCTGGGATCAATGCTTCCCAGAAGGTATATAACACAACAGATCAGGCAGTTTGCATGTGATATAAACTTACTCTGACATAGTGGTGGAGAGCAAGAATATCTTAGTTATGAATACCCAAAGCCTAAACAACTAATATCGTTCGTGTTTCTCATCATGGGCGGTATCTTTGCTCGTTCTGCAGGTTTGGCTCAGGTAATTGCATGGCAGCTTGTGATACAATGATCTGGTTACTAAAATTATACGTATCTTAGGGAGCTACAGTCTTTGGCAATAACATCATCTTTGCTATTGGCGGCCCATCATATACAAACGACTGGGGAGCCAGAGGTTTTGCTGTGTTCTGCTTGACATTTTGGCTCGTCCTCAACATCATCTCTGCTAAATTTGCTATCCGTGCAAACAACTTTTTCACTGTCCTCAAGATTGGGTTGCTCATCCTGCTGATTTGCGTTGGATTCGCTGGTCTTTCTGGTCGATTGCCTAATCAGCCCGATATCTCAAGCAACTTTTCATTTGATGGCACATTAGACAATCCAGGCTCTTATGCCAATGCAATTTACTATGTCATTTTTGCTTATGGTGGTTGGTACAACCTAAACTATGTCTTGGACGAACTCAAAGACCCCATCAAAAACTTGCCTCGCTGTGCCATCACGGCTCTCTCATTAACTACTGTCCTGTACCTTCTTGCAAATGTCGCCTATCTTGCTGTTTTGCCTACCGCTATCATCAAAGCATCCAAATTAACGGTGGCCGCCAACTTGTTCAATACCGCATTTGGTGGTGTCTTTGGTGGACGTATCTTGCCTGTGCTTGTTGGTTGCTCATCGTTTGGCTTTGTAGGTGTCATCTTTTACTCTGGATCCAGAGTCGTCTTGGAAGCAGCTCGCAAAGGGTTCTTGCCATTTGATAGATTCTTTTCCAAGGTACATCCCAAGTTACAGACACCCATCAATTCACTCGTGTTGCTTTACCTTCTCTCGTTGGTCTTTTTACTGGCCCCTCCTCCAGGCTCTGTGTTCCAATTCATCGTTGCATTCTCGGGCTATGGTGGCTACTTCTTCTCTGCTTTGAGTGTTATCGGGTTGCTCATCTTAAGACGCACACAACCTGATCTCAAGCGTCCTATTCGTGTGCCATTTGTTATATCCATCTTGTTTATTGCCATTTGCTTCTACACACTGGTGTTTGTATTTGTACCTCCAGTCTCCAAACCATCAGGCTATCCTTATTTTCGTAAGTTGAATGGTTATAGTTGGCATTGCAAATCCTTCATTACTAACACATTGCATCATAGTTCCCTATTTGATTACCATTGCTCTTGGTATTGCATCAGTCGGGCTTTGGTATTATAAAATTGTCATTAAGAATGCACTCGAAACATCCTACAATGCAGAAATTCGTCTGGATGGCCAACAAGAGCTCTTTGACGACGTTTACAGAGATCATGCCAGTACAGTTTCTTCTGATGATACAGCCTCTGTAAATAGTAACAATCTTGACAATAAGAGCATTCACCATGCTGAAGTACGAGCTCAACCCAAATAATGTCATATACACTAGCATCCTTTTCATTTAATTATGTATACTTATTTATCTACAAACCGATTCATTTCATCGAAATAATAATAAAAAACAATCATTGGTGGCAGCTTTTTTTAATATTGTTTCTTGCACAATCTAAAATTCGAGATATCATACGGCTTAAGTTATCAGCCTACAATAGATGGATATCAACAAACATTAGTCAAAGAGTTCTGCCACCAACCAGCCGCTGCTGCTGCCGAAATTATTCAGCCCTCCGTTTTGACATAGTGTCCTGATTTGTTAATTTCTCAATTTTTTGGACATAATTCGACCTATTTTGCTAAATTCGACTATATAAACTGTGATGATCATCCTATACTTTCTAATCCATCTTAGGAGTACTTTTTAAGGCGCATCCAATGGCGTTAATTGTAATAGGTATTTTGAATAAACTTTTAGAGCAATTATTGAAAATAGGAAATGCGGTAATCTGTGAAAATGTCAAAATTTTGCTTATCAAGTCCCACAATAGAAGTTATAGGAGTAGTTTTGGATCCATAGAAAGTATTTTGACTCAATATATACCATAGCAAAAGTCTTGATTTTGGAAGCCAAAAACGCGATCATTTGATTTTCGATGAAAACCATAAGGTACCCCTCATGCTTTTTAGATGATTTTCGTCGATATTTTTTGGGTCCCAAAAAAGCTGGGTAAAGGTGTCAGCAAGTTGGTGCTATTTGAAAGCAAATGTTTGGTACTATTCTCGTGGTCTGAAACGGCTACTAACACTAGAAATTACAGCTCAAATGCATTTAAATCTTGCTGTGGTTTGCATACTTTTGAGTAGTAAGATGCAACACAAATATATATTGTCTGGATCTATATCAATTTTCTATTGATACAACCGTAAAGCATGACAGAAGAGCTGGATACACCCTATAGATGCTTTTACGTGATAGAGTATCTTAGATAGTAAAACCTCAATATGCATTAGTAAGTTGAGTTCTACAGTAAATGAAGATCTTTTAGGAAGATTAGCATCAGACGCACCGCTATACGATGTCTGTATATAGTGCAATACAACGTGTTGAAAACTATAGTGCAACATTGTATGCTTTAAGAAGTAGCGTACCTTTTCCTCAGCTATAAATGCATAGGGCTATAGATTTATTTAATTTCACCAATCTCCTTGCAGAAAAATTGGCTGTATGAGCCCAATGATTCTGTTAGACAATTACAGTAGTATTATTTGCGGTATTGATGTTGGGATACTACCTGCGATGGAAAGACATCCTAACAAAAGTGATTTCGCTTTCGAGGTTGGGGCCATCCAAAATGGAATTTTGAAATATTGATGCTAGAGCTTTGAAAGTAGCATGTTCCTATGAGAACCTGTTAGTTGCAAGCGGTTACGAGTAATAGATCAATGGATGCAATGTTGGGAAACGCTGTATTGAAAACTGCTTGGTTGTAGCTAGCTTCGTTGTGGTTTAGCAAAGAGTTGTTGCTGAGAATAAGAGGATTTTCGAAATGATAGGCCAATTTTGAGTAATGAGCTTCATATGAAAACCTGTTAATTACCAGCAATTCCTAGTAATAGATCGATAGATGTGAAGCTGTGAAGCGTTGGAAGCGTTGTAATGTATTCAAACTCGTTAACTGATAATTTGCTTCGATGTGTGATAAATTTGTAATAAGAAAGTCGATGATAATAATCAGTTGTCAACTGTATCTAAAACGAAAAGCAAATGACTTTTGTACTACAGGGCATCCAACTAACTTAAATATGATAAATCCCTGGTTAATGACTACTACGTTGAGATGGTATATAGATAACAGGACACTGCGGTCTTGTTAATTGTCGGTATAGATTGTTGAGAGACCACATAAGTCGATATACTTCATGTAGTAGTTTAGGTGGATCTCTACATCATGACATTGTTGGGGAGGTTGAATCTATTATAGTTCCTGCGACATTCGTGCACACACAATGGACTGAACTTGTAAACATAGATGTGATGTGATGCGATAAACATTATCTATGTTGCTATACTGTAAACGTGGCTTGAGCAGAAAGTGAATGTAGCCCAAGATGCATGCTTGTATGCAACATTGTGGTTGTCTGGCAAAGGTTTTAAGCCATAATGTGCATCCCACCACGAAGGCCGGACAGCTTTTCCACGCCTTGGGTTGATACTAGGGGTTTCATAATGTACAATACAGAGCATCTGGGTCATCAGACGGAGGTGTGATTTACTTAATCTTCTGGCAACACAACCCACTACGCCGTCGTTTTAGGTCGAATTCTGTTCAAATCTAGCCATTTTCAAGCACGAATAACTCATGCCACAAAGCGTTTTGAGCGCTTGGAATAGCACCACACGCCTCCTCTTGGCCACGCTTTACTTCCTGGTGCTTTATCTCAATTTTTTTTTGGGTCATTGCAAATTCATGAAAATCATCGTTTTTCCATGAGTATTAGCAAGGGAAAATTCTTGAAAATCAAACGATCGCGTTTTTCACCCCAAAAATGAAGACTTTTTCTATGATACATATTAGGTCAAATTGATTGTAAAGATGAAATGCAACATTGGAAGCTCTTTCTATGAGACTTTTATATGCTAAATTTTAACATATTCTCAGAAAACCTGTTTTCATATTTTTTGGAAATTGCTCATTATTTTTGGTCTGAAAGCTGAAGGTAATTAGCACCATTCGATACGGCTTTTTTAGTCCTCTAGAAACGTATTAGAAAGTTGGGTGTGACAACGACAGTTTTCATAGTCAAATTTAGCAAAAACGTTTAAAGGATGTGAGATCAAGTCAAGTTTGAACACGAAAATAACACTGCACAACCTCAAATTAAATTGCCGCAAGTACGGCTGCTCCGGTACAGGACTGAGGCTAAATCTACTAATTATGACGTCGGATAGGGCGCCCCCTCGTTTTTCCATGTCTCCGTTTTTTACCCTTTTTGCAAAACGCGTTTTAGTATCAAACCATGGTGGTTTTGGACACCGTTTGATTGATAATAACACTCTAGCTTCCGATAATTTTGTCTTGTACTGTTGGAAGAACTTGATACTGCTCTTTTAAAGTGGAATATATTAGGTACCATTCGATAACGAGCACTGGAAGGCGTAGAAGAATTAACATTAATTGAATTTGTTTATTAGGTGGTTTTGATAACTCTTTTGCCTGTTTGATGTGGGTGCTGCTGCTATTACTTTTCTGCTATCTCTGCTGCCTGCGTCTTTGGTTTATCATGTCTGGCGGCTGCTTCTTTGGTCTTTGTCTGGTCTCTGCTGGTGTCGTTCGTTCTTTGGTTTGTCTATGGTGCTGGTGTTGCTGCTGCTGCTGCTGCTAATATTGTCTTTCCTGGTCTACTGTGTTTGGTGCATACTAGTTCTCTGATCTATATCTGGTAATTGCGTATCCTCTGGTCTATCTACGGTGGTGGTGAATGGTAAGTATCTTCTTTCTTCTGGTCGCAATGATATAAAACTTCTTTGAACGCTTATATTATTGCTTCCTTTCTCGTGATAATGCATTCATAATGTTTGCCTTGTTGCGCTTTCTTCTTCTTGTTCTTTTGTTGGTAGTGTTTCCTCTGTAACTTTACATGAAACAACATTAGTCATTACGTTGTATTGCAAGAAGCTTATAATACCACTGTTGCTTTTGCAGTTGTGCGTATTTTTGCCATGTTGCTCAACATCCGACTATTACTACCATGCACGTTGCTCATGTATATATTGTTATTGCAACAACAACGAGCTTTTCTGAACACCTTTATGTTATGTTGGTTATGCTTTTCTTTGATTCACTTTGTGTGGGTCTTCCTTTTTTGCCTACATATTTCTATACTTCTATAGTACAGTAGTATGTTCTTTTCTTCTTTCTTTTATTACTATGATGTTTCTTTGAAGCATACCTTTTTTACGTTGTGTGGATGTGCCTATCCCTGAAGCTCAACAAGACTTTATCCGAGGCTAGGAAGTAGATAGGCTGCCTCCACTTGGTTATCACTACTTACTTTAGTGATGATTGAGGGTCTCAACGCCAGAATCTAAAGCTAGGTGGTGTAAGTAAGGCATGCTCTAGCACCTGGGGGAAATTTGATGATAGCATCTGCTATAATGCTATTATAGCGGCGCTTAAAATTTTGCCTCACATCAAAACAGGGGGAAACCCTCGCAAAATTTTTTTTAGGTCAGCGGAGCTTTCAAGCAATCTGATTGGCTAAGAGGTTTAGGGGCCGAAGGATTCTAGCTAGTTGATCTCCTATTGATCCTCTGTTGATTTTGCAGTGAAATCAGGTTTAAATAGATTTCACAAAAAAATAAAGCAAAGGTAAAATACAATAGAAATCAACTGTATTTTATTTTGTGTATAAAATGAACTGAAGATCCTGGAATTGAGTAAAAAAAAGAAGAGTATTTATACATTTGCATCTGGCTTGTAGGATTAGTGATGATAGAGAGCAATAGGTGCTGCTATTGCGATATCTGGCAAATGTTGTTGATGTTTGATTTAAAGTGGTAATCAATGCAGGAGCACTGGCCATAAGGGTCGATTTGAGTAACCTTGATGGGCTTGGGTGAGCTATTGTCATAGCATGATTTAATGTAACCTTGATGGTTTAAAGTGTGATGTTTGTTATTGAAGCATGGAATTCTTTATCTGGGATATTGTGCAACTATGGCAGCAGGGCATAGTTGTCATATTTGAATATGCTTGTTATTGATTTAATTCTATTTGGATAAAGATACCATCACCTATTACGACCATCATGGGTGTGATTGAATACACTGTGATCAGGAGTGATTCATTCACACGATGTGCGATATAAGCGTGTATCTTTACTTTAGTATTTTTAAATGGGTTTTTGATGTACATTTGAGCGCTTTCATTAATAGATCCAAATAGCATGAATTTGAATGAGTGCTATTTGATGAACTTTGGTTTTCAATTAAGTTGCGTTTGGGTGGCTATTTCATTACAGATTTGTCATTTTTCATGGTTTTATGTTTCTAATAAAAGGATATCGAAATAGACACAATTTGAATTTCTCTTTATTCTAAATTATGATAAGATGCAATCATTTGATCTAGCATCCAGTTCACAGTTTCATGTGAGCGATGTCCTTTAAATTCAATAATATGTGGGAAAAGTTATATGATCTGTTGTACTACAGCAGTGCACTAGGTATTACCAGGCACTCCCGGTACCAAATGCCCCGCCAAACATGCGTTGTTTATCATTGATTTCCAAATTGCGTGGTCTCAAGCAGGATAGTCCTCTCTCTCTCTCCTATTCTGTACAACCTGGCCTTTAAACCCTTTCTAATGGCAATTATTCAGGATCACCAGTTTCAAGGATATGTCATGGGAGCTTAACGGACCAAGTTACTGCGCTATGTTCATGATGCCTTGGTTTTCGCTCATGAGACGTAGGACCTCACTCGTCTGCAACTACACATGACTCTGTATTGTGCTGCCTCCAATGCCAATTCTAATAATGACAAGGAGGAAGGTGTCTGGACGAGATATCTGGGACACTTGGGAAAACCCTGTATCTCACATATAAATCAATCGTCTAAACTCTGTTGAGGATGATGAGCCGTTAACATATCTGTGATTTCCTCCCATTCAAAGCCGAATTCAATGTATCCACTATATAGGTTCGTTAGTGACCAAGAGCAAGCTTTGGCTTTGTATTTTCGTTGGCTACATCTTTTGCTGGTCTATGATCAATCTGTCATTAGTTCCCATCCTGCGCCCTATCTTCTCAACTACCATACCCGCAATGTCAATGGCTCTCAATACCATCAAATCTCTTTGTTATTTCCCTCAGTTCGCGCTCAGGTATTGAAGAAACCACGAACAAATACTGTCGATATGTTGTATCGTGTAGTTGACCATTTTCCCAAGTTGTTTGATGCTGCTCGGGCCAATACCCTGCCATGTCTCTTCCGCTACAGACTGTTCTCTATGTTCCTCCGTCTTTCACTCTATCTGTGCCTTTCAGAGTCAAGGAGATGATGGTATCGGATGCCTTCCAGTATAATGCTCGTCTCAGTTTTGTTCATTGGAATGATATTCGCGACCCTTCCCTCCTGAGATGGAAGCGAACTCTCTCAGCCGTGTTCAAAGGACTTGCATCAGGTGCTCTAAAATTCCAGCTTTACTTTGTACCCGTATAGCCCAGCCCCTCTTGTGGATCCTGAAATAAGTCCTACATGAAAGCAACTGTTGGGCGTTATTTTGACAGTTTGAAACGACTTATAGCTTGAGAGATTCCTTCTCAAGCGTACCCAACTTATGCAATGCTTTGTATATTTTAGAGGAGCATGGGGTGATGCAAGTATGCAACTCACTCTTACATGAACTTTTCCCATTTACATAGACGTAGAGGATCTCATAAGAGTGGGATCGATAGCGAAGGTCGATTATGAAGATTTGCAATGACAATGTAAAGCCGAAGAAAAGCGAAATGCCTGTATGTATGAGTAGAATATTTTCGTAGATGTAACCAGGAACACAGCAAGCTGTCTAGTCTTGTCACAAGCAACAAGTGGAATATAATGATGAACAGGAGCACGGAGCACAGCGTTTGTAGCGAGGTTTTACTATCGCAAGCAGGGAAATGCAGCTCTTGCAAAAGCATGTTTGGAGATTTCTGTCGTGTATTAGTCAGGGCATGCTCTGACAAAGCTAAAGAATGGTAAGTATGATCACTTATCCCACCATTGGAGCTTTAGGTTACACGCACCAGTATGCCTGCAATATGTTATAATGCAGATTTTTGGTGGGCTTGGCTTTCTAATACTGATTGCCTGCGAAAAACAACACATGTTATTCGTTTGCGACGCTTTTTGATTCAAACTTTTATCTCTTCATATTCAATGGCAAGTCTCATTCATACAGTAGACCAAGTACCCAGTGCAAAAGACAGGGAAACAGCTGATGTGTCACAAAATGTTTTTTACCACGCTTTACTTTGTCTGGATATCCAGCTCTCTGATTGTGCCTATTGAATCATCAAAAAAATAGGAAAGATCGGCACACCTGAATTTCTATCAAATGTGCATCATTCGCTTCGTTAAAGCATGTGTTCAAAAAAAGCTCGGATGGTAGCGACATGCTTATTGCGATAACGAGTTACTAAAAGAGGGGAAGGACTTTTGAATAACGGCATTTCATGTTTGAGATCTAGTTTTTTTTTTCTGGAGATCGAAGGGCACTTAGCTTCACAATCAGGGTTACAGTTGGCTTTGCATGATTGTCTTTAATACCACATTGGCACAATATCGGGTCTAGGGACTCAACATCTAGCCACTCAGACATGTCATACATCAAACGATGTATGTATAAACATATATATGGTTTACGCTTTTTCTTCTCAACTTCAAAAAGCCTTAAAATGTTACCTTTAAAGGTACAGATACCTACTCGGTGGTCGCCCAGTCACATTTAATTGGAGTGAATGTAATAAATCCCCCCCACCCCTTCCCACTTTTTGACCAACATCTCCCCCTACTCTACCTCTCTTTCTTTTAGTCTTTATATTTTCGACACATTATAGATAGATCATGTCGCTTTTACGAACCATTTCAACAAGAACTGCTCGCTCATACCCTCGTACACTAGCAATTGCCGTAAGTTCCTTTCCATGGTGAGGTTGCATTGAACGTTATAATTTATAACATCTCATAGACTCAACAACAATTTCGTAATCATGCTACCGCAGTACCAGATGGAAAGAAGACCTCTAGACTTCAAGAACTCAGGAGCAAGCTGAAATCCGAGGAAGCTGGAATTGATGAATTCGTCAACACTGGTTATGAAAAGATGACCCACACCGAAGCATTGGCGTTGAGAGAAACCGTGGTCGAGGGCAAAAAAGTCAAAACCACAAAATTGTAAGTACCTTTTTCTTGGGTTTTACGGTTTGTATGGTCTGTTTTTCTCATTCAATGTGTCTCTAGGAAGCAACCTCGTTTGCCAGATTGGTTAAAAACAGAGATTCCATCCGGAAAGAATTTTGGTAAAATCAAGAGAGATCTTCGTGGTTTGAAACTTCATACAGTGTGTGAAGAAGCAAGATGTCCTAATATTGGTGATTGCTGGGGTGGTGGAGAGCACCAAACTGCTACTGCTACTATCATGCTGATGGGTGATGAATGCACTCGTGGTTGCCGTTTCTGCTCGGTCAAGACCAACAGAGCACCCAAGCCCTTGGATCCTCATGAACCCGAGCACACTTCCGAGGCTATCAGTCGCTGGGGATTGGATTACGTTGTGTTGACTAGTGTAGATCGTGATGATCTTGCCGATGGTGGCTCCAATCATTTCGCAGAGACTATCCGTAAGATTAAACAAAAGGCTCCTCACATTCTAGTCGAGTGTTTGACTGGTGATTTTGGTGGAGATCTCAAGGGTGTCGAGACAGTTGCTCTCTCTGGCTTGGATGTATACGCTCATAATATCGAGACAGTGGAGGCTTTGACACCTTTTGTTCGTGATCGTCGTGCTGGTTTCCGTCAATCACTTGGTGTGCTTCAACATGTCAAGAAGGTGAAGCCTGATATGATTACCAAGACATCCATCATGTTGGGTTGTGGTGAGACAGACGAGGAAGTATTAGAGACTCTGCAAGAGCTTCGAAAGGCAGATGTGGATTGCGTGACACTTGGACAGTACATGAGACCTACAAAGAGACACATGAAGGTACACGAGTATGTTACTCCCGAGAAATTCAAGCATTGGGAGACCACAGGCATGGAGATGGGCTTCAAATACGTTGCTAGTGGACCATTAGTTAGATCAAGTTACAAGGCAGGTGAATTCTTCATTGGTAACATTCTTAAGAAGCGTAAGGGTTTGCCTCTTTCTACTGCTCCCCCTGCCGCTTCCGATGAAGCAAAGCCTGAAGAAAAGGCCTTTTAATTTATTTAGTATTTCGTAATTTTGCTTTTTATTTTCTGTATAATAAACTTGAAAAATATCTCTTTTTCATATCTCACCCCAATTTGAGGTGTTTGTGTGTACCTGACAGGTCAAATATAGTGCATACAATTATATCGCCAGAGAGATCTGACGCCTTAAATGTTACCTAAAGTGGTCCCGCCTACTTCTGGTAAATTCTTGATGACAGATGTACAATAAACAGAGCTGTGTTACTCTGTCTATTATAAAGTCCTGTGCCATCAGTACCTATGACCTTCCTTTCACTCCTTTCCCACATTTAATCCCTACAACACATACAAATTAGCATGTCGTTCTATGAATCAACCCCTCGATCGGATCTCCCTGAACTTCCAAATTTCGCTCAATTGACCGATAGAGTCTGGCGAGTAATGGGGCTGAATCCTGGCAAGTTTACCCTTCAAGGTTTGTAGGCATTGTCGGCCGCTTTGTACTCTTATCGATTTATCATTTTATTACCATTACCAGGCACAAACACATACCTTGTAGGCACTGGCAATCGCAAGGTACTGATTGACTGTGGCGATGGTCAACCTGGCTATGTCCCTCTTTTAATCGAATCATTGAAATCCATCCATCCAGAGGCATACATTTCTGATATCTTTATCAGTCATTGCCACACTGATCATTGGGGTGGATTACAGCATATCATGAGCTCAGAATTGAATAAGCCCATCAGCGACACAGGGAACAAGTTGCAAAATATCACCATTCACAAATTTCCTCTCATGACCAAGAGCAAATTGTACCAGTATTTTTATCAACATTTGCAGAATCTACCCGACTATGTTGTTTTCAGTGATTTAGAGGACAATCAACGTATTGAAGTGGACGAAAATGTCCATATCCGAGTGCTCCATACACCAGGTCATGCAAAAGACCATTGCGCATTCTATCTGGAAGAAGAAGATGTTGCATTCACGGCTGATTGTATCCTGGGCCATGGCTCCGTAGCATTTGAAGACCTGACTGAATACATGGGAGGATTGCGCAAGATACAAGACCTGAAGCCCTCTCGTCTGTTCCCTGGGCATGGCGATGTTGTGAATAATGGCACTGAAAAAGTGGAGCAGTATCTATCTCAACGGCTGTCCAAGGAGAAGCAGATTTTGGACATTATGCTTCAGGACACATCTGTCACCTGGACACCGATTGAGCTGACGGAATACATGAACAGCGTATCCAAGAAAGCGTATAGCGAGCAGCTATTGGCTGTTGTTGTGCGCACCGTGGGATTGCACCTTATTAAATTAAATCATGATGGGAAAGTTGAAATGGAAGACGCGGAGCAGTTTAAAAGAGACCAACAAGTAGACCCTTATGACGCTGAAAACGTATTCAGAATTGTGAATCAAAAATGGCGATACATTACTAGAGAGAGCAAACTGTGAAGCAGCATCGTATATAAACTTATCACAGGACAGACAAATTCAATATAGAGTCATCCTACAGCTACCGCTTCAATAAACAAGCACATGCAAAAGGCTATTGTCATGTCCAATATCTCAGTTTTGGGACAAGCATGTGAAATCTGATTCATCTACTTGCATTGACTGTATTCAGCGTCATTGATCATCAGATCGCTTCGTGTGAAGTGGATGCTTGATTATTGTACAAAATGTATTGGTGTGCCAAACAAATGCTTTATTCGCTGTAAGCTTTGACACACGGATCAGTTTTCAAATTGCTGCCTGCTCAGGGCCTGAATATATCCAACAGATAATTTGTATATGTCTCTTTGGAAATCCAACCCTTTTTATAAAAGTCCTCATAGACATAGGATTTGGCGGGATACCTGACACGATCTATTGCTCTGCACATTTGCTTTTCATGGAAATTCCGTAAGATTTCATTGCGCTCCTCGTTTGACAAATTCTTGTATTTGGGATCACCGAGGTTTTTCGAATCAAGTGGGCTGAAATTTGTCAAAATGGTGAAATTGTTCTTTTGTAACATGTCGATTGCTTCGTCAAGATAATTGTCAGGAAACAACGCGGCTGCCACCCTTTTACCAGGGAAATAAACATCAAGCAGTTTCTTTGATTGAATGCCAATGCCAGTCAGCTCTGTTCGAATGTCCTTGCATTTAGCGCGAGATCTGATAACGTATTCGAAATAGACGTATTCAAACTTTTTGCCTATGGGTTCTCTCCTGTTTTGCCTTTGATTCGATCTCGATCTGTTTCCTTCGATTTTGACTTGTGACACCGTCACTGAGCTCGGTGCAGGTGCTGGATCAGCTAGAGGTGGCGTTGGTTCTGAAGAAGCTCCTACTGAGGTTGTAAGTGAGGGTGACTCTGTTGCTGGTACGGCAGAGTTAGGTGTAGGGATGGATACTGTGATAGGCGCTATTGTTATGGGCTGTGTTTTTTTGGCCACAGGCACTGTAGGTGGCAGAGATACAATTGCTTGGTTGATGGGCGCTACAGATGAGATTGGGGTATTTGCAGACATTGGCCTACTTGTTGACATGATAGGCTTTGCTGATGCCGCATTGGCAGCGGTTGTTAGTGGTACGACAGGTATTCCAGGTATGATCTGTAATGGCTTTGGTCCTGTTTGCTCTGTCTGCTCCATTGGCTTGTCATTGTTGGATGTATGGGTTATGTTCGTCTGATCAGTGGACAAAGTCGCTTGATTTGCATTGCTGAACCTGGCTGTATACTTCCTCGACTCGATGCGTGTGAACTGATTGTAGCGCTCAGCATTGATCGAAACTGCTTCAGGTATGTGAAATTGGTTCAGGATTTCAGCTGTTTCCGTACACACAGAATCATCATCGCCGTCTCCTTCATCAGAGTTGGATAGGTATTCGCTCGCTTCTGTGCTGCAAACAGATGCATTATCAGCATTTCTAGTAGATCGCTTAGCTGGGATGTCAAAGCTAGACATAGACTCTTTGTCTGTGTACACTGATTGCTCCTCAAATTGCAATTGATCGACCTTCTCCATAATATCAATCAGATTTTGATGAAGAATTTGCTGGTTGAGACTCACAGTGGACACTTGCTCTGCGATAGATGCTGTTCGGATGACCATGGCCTTTTCAATATCTGCCATTCGTTGTACTAGTGGTTTGAGTGCAGAGTCAATGCATTGTTGAATGGACTTGAAGAGTTTATCGCTGACCTGATCAAATGCAGGTGCATGTGCAATTGTGCTGGATTGCTGGATTGGATTCGAGTGAGAATCCATTAGCGAGACAGCCTTTGGAAGGCTAGCAAGGCTATCAAGGCTATCATTGTCTAATACTTCTCTATCACTGGACATTGCTGCTAAAGAAAGAACCAAACAATAAGGGGAAAAAAAAAGAGATATGTCAAATCTCTCTGACCTCGATTATCAGGTGATCAGCGCGGTGGCCACCTTGGATTTGGGCTGGTGTCACTCAGACTTGATCTGCGACATCTACCTTGATCATCCTCAACATATCCATATCTATGCCATCTTTTGAAGCAGTCAATGACCTGTCAAATGTACATGTCCGTCTACTGGGTAAACTGTGCTTATTTATCCAGGTGTCAACCCATATTGCTTCAATGAATCAACCCTCATGTATCGAGCAACCGTTGAAGCGAGTCACTGTAATCAGTAGGCAATACAACATTGGATTTCAGATAGACCAACTAGACAGCCAGTCTCTCTTTTTTATTAGTACCATGAGTACTTGTTGGGACAAGATATGGTCGTAGAACAAGAGAATTTTGAAAAGAAATATGCTCCACCTACCTTTGCAAGAAGACTACTAGAACGAAATGCAAGTACAACGCTCTCAACGTCGCGCTCTACACCATCATTGCCCAACTTGGTGAACTATGCGATTTCATCAGCAACTGCTACGCTATCCAAGCGACAGGTAGCTGATATGTCGACATCCATGCGTCGAGGACACAGCGACTACAATTCAGTCAATAGAATTACAGAGCAGCCAAAGAAGCAAATGTATGGAAGAGATGGCTACATGAAAGAGCAACATCTAACCCACATGTTTATAGCATCTCCAAAAGAAGACATTCATTCAGCAGCTTTTTGAACGCAAAATATGGGAAAACAGCTATTGTAGATGAGGATGAAGATAAATTTCGTGACGACAAAAGAGCCACCATTTCAGCATCTGTCAATAGCAATCATCCGGCAAATCGAACTACAGTCAATGGCACTATCCATACCAAACCAAACCAGACAAAGAAGGGCCATCGACCAAGATCCTATTCCGAGTAAGTTGGAACCAGTATACTGGAAGGACCATTCGAATTAATGATGGGATTGTGCAGGGTTTCTTTCAATTTGCCGCATGTAGAAAGAGCACCGCCTGTGGCGATCACCAACAAGACACCGGCTTATGAGTATTATGGCTTTGTCATGTATTTGGCATCATTTGTAGCATTTGGTAAGTGGATGTCGTCGAGAAGTATTGTTTGTTACTAAATCAGTGCAATGGCAATCAGGTATATACTTAATTTGGGCATATGTTCCTGATGAAATTTTGCATAGTCTGGGCATTACTTACTATCCAAGTCGATACTGGGCATTGGCGATACCTATTTGGCTCATGACGTTTGTGTGGTTTATATTCATATCCTTCATGACGATCAATCTCATGAATACGGCACCATTCAACTGCCTTGACTGCATCACAGGTGAATGATACATGCAACGACTTGCGTGGCTACACATGTCTGATACGTTTATTACACAACAATAGATGAGCATGCCAATGTGATGCATTTGGATAATGAAGTAGTATCTGATCGACCATCCGATTGGATACCCGAGCTTTATGATATACCCATCGGCCTTGTAAATAAGTTTCTGTACCAACAAGGTGAAGAAGAAGAAGAGGAGGAAGACGCCATCTTATTTGCGATACCAAATGCTAAAACTAAATCGAAAAAAGCTAAACATACTAATACCAATACTACTAATTTTAATAATCAATTAATAATGAATCAATTCAGCTCGTCACCGCTGGTGGACACAGCTGATGAAATGAGCGAAGAAGATGCTTTGGCACTTCGCAGAAATAAATACGGGAAAAGATTTACAAAGTGAATCACTAGATGATCTAAAAAATGAAATAAAACAATTTTTATTTTCTGAGGATCTGATGTTGTTTGTATCACACCAATATGAGGTGGGACTCCATTATATAACCTTACATGATAAGATATGATACTCTTCTTGCTTTTTACGGGATCAGCATCATGTGAGTCAACTCTGAACATTCAATTAGGCACTAGTAGTCATTGTCTTATCTATCGAATGCGCTACAAATATACAATCCCAGAAATCAAGAATACAGGTACTACTTTAGTTGAGCCATTGAGCATTCAATTATGGAGACATTGGATAATCAGGTCAGAAACATACGTGTATCTAATAATCTAGCTCGGTTTACAAAGGGCATATGACAGTCTATCTATACAAACGTTAGATTTAAAACGGTATAACTTGCATTAGGGTATTTTGGTGTATAATTTTCATGAATATACACAACTTCTTGTACTCCAAGGGAGGAATTCATACCCAACAGATAAGAACCCCCGGGGATGATAAGCTTCTTTTTTTTTAAAAAAAGTAACCCATCAACTTGCCTTTTAAGGCACTATGATAGGAATCGAATTTATATAGATCTATTCCATATACTAAGAGGAAAATCATATATAAAAGACGATTTGTCAACTGAAATCACTCTACTTTTTGTCAACTAACCCTTCTATATCACACACAAAATGGCTGCTATCTCCAACAACGATCTTCTCCAAAAGTACCTCACTCTCGATCAAAAGAACAAGGTTCAAGTCGAATATGTCTGGATTGATGCTGTCAACTGTGTTAGATCCAAGACCAAGACTGTTGATTTCGTTCCTACCAAGGCTGAAGAGTTGTCTGAATGGAACTTTGATGGCTCTTCCACTAACCAATCTGAAGGTCATGATTCTGACATTTTGATCAAGCCTGTTGCTCTCTACTCTGATCCCTTCCGTCGTGGCGACAACAAGTTTGTCATCTGTGAAACTTACAATCCCGACGGTACTCCTCACTCCACTAACTACCGTTACAACGCAAAGAAGATTATGGATGCCTATGCTGACTCCAAGCCTTGGTTCGGTATTGAACAAGAATACAGTCTCTTTGATCCCGAGACTAACAAGCCTTGCGGTTGGCCCAAGCATGGTTACCCTGAAGCACAAGGTAAATACTACTGTGGTGTCGGTGCTGGTAAGGTCTTTGGTCGTGATATCGTTGAAGCTCATTACCGCGCTTGTCTCTTTGCCGGTGTCAACATTTCTGGTGTAAATATGGAAGTTGCTCCTGGTCAATTCGAATACCAAGTTGGCCCTTGTACTGGTATTGATATGGGTGATGAGCTTTGGGCTTCTCGCTATCTCTTGGAACGTGTTGCTGAGGACTTTGGCACCATTGTCTCTTTCCATCCCAAGCCTATCAAGGGTGATTGGAACGGTGCTGGTTGTCACACCAACTTCTCTACTGAAGAGATGCGTCAAGAAGGTGGTATTACTGCTATTGAGAAGGCCATCAAGAAGATGAGTTTGCGTCACTTGGAACACATTGCCGTCTATGGTGAAGACAACGATCAACGTTTGACTGGCAAGCACGAAACTGCCAATATGACCGAATTTTCATATGGTGTTGCCAACCGTGGTGCTTCTATTCGTATTCCTCGCCATGTCGGTAAGGAAGGTAAGGGTTATTTGGAAGATCGCAGACCTGCTTCCAACATTGATCCCTACCGTGTTACTGCTATCATCCTCGAATCCACTTTCCTCCCTGAAAACTAAATTATCCAACCTTGATTTCTGCTGTAATATCTCTATATCTCCTCCTTGTACATTAGACTTTTTATTTATTTAATAAAACCATATTTACATATATACACATTTCAAACATATATTGGGATATAAAAATCTGATACAATCAATCAGTATGTAGATTCAAATGCAAAGGCTTCCAAACATTGTTGAGTCTACCGGACTAGATGAGTTTTAGACAACTGAACTATGGTCAGATCAAGACATTCATTGCTACTCATTTTTAAATGATAGAAGGAACTATAAAGGATGAGCTGTAGATGTTTGAGAATATTCATACGGTTCAAACTTGTGATGGTCAATTGAGCTGTGATGGTATGGTTGCTAGAACACCAATCTCAATCGACCAGTTAACCGGATACTTCCTGAAAACGACCATGTTATACAAATGCTGTAGGAACTCTATTCTGCTGGTTTTTGATTGCTAAAGGAAGGCTGACTTGTTGAACGATGTTAATTCGCATATAAAGATATTTCGAAATATCTTTCCATAAAGGTTCTTCAGTTTTAGTTTCTAGCCATTTCTATACGTCCCTTTATAAATGTCTGTAGAAATCCTCTCTAATACTATATTTATACCTTTCCAAGCTCGGATACAACAAGCATCTGTATCTGGCTGCTGTAAGCTTTACTCGCGACTTCCATCGGCCCTGCGAGTTGAGCATTAATCAGTTCTAATCCGAGTTGTACCAACATACTTTATTTAAAAGTTTCCTTACTTTCTAGTAATCGCCTTGCAGCCACGCATCTTTCAATTCATTTCCTTCAGGCAAACTTTGATGGGATCTGCCCTTCCATCACTTATTAAGAAAACACCATGCTAATAAATACTGATATTTCATTTTTAATCTATCAATTGAGAGTCCTTTGTAACAGTGTGTATTTTGCTTCCACAATCCTCCCTTCCTGTATCAATGAGAATAACACATATGTGGACAGCCAGTATATTGAAATTGCCTTCTACCACTTCAAATCATGCAAAACACAGCAAAATCTGGGTGCATTCGAGCCGCAATTTCTCGTGTTGTAAGCTGTTTTAGTCTGCCAAAACAGCACTACACAATTGTTCTCAGATGGCACGTATTTCCTGACACCTTTGCTCAACTTTTTGGGCCAAAAAAAAACATGGCCAAAAATCGGCCAAAAAGCATGAAGGGTGCCTCATGGTTTTCACCGAAAGTCAAACGATCGCATTTTTTACCTTGAAAATGAAGACTTTTACTATGGTATATATCAGATCAAAATGTTTCTCTCGATCCAAAGCAACCCCTGAAGCCACTTTTATGAGGTGTTCATATGCAAAATATGGCTATTTTCGATAAAAACCTCATTTCATATTTTATTAAATTGCTCAATAATTTCAGTCAAAACACTTATTACAGTTAGCACCATTGGAAGCGCCTCGAAAAGTACTCCAAGAATGCATTAAGAAGCGTAGGGTGATCGTAACAATTTATATAGTCGGATAGTATAAAATAGATTAACGAAGTCGAAAGAAGACAAAATCTGTCCAATCTTGAACAGAAAAAATAAACTGAGTTTTAAATAATTTTGGCGGTGGCATTACTGCTGGCAGACCTAAATGCGTTTCTGTTAATCTCCCACTTACGAGCAATTTCAAGAACTTCTCCACCTTCGCTCCTCCCTTACAATCTCAACATCTTTATCCTACCTCACTCTCACCACGTACCAAGTATTTTCTTGCATTCTTCAAGTAATTTGGAGTTGCCACTACAGATCCATCTTCGACTCCTTTCATTTTGAACCCCTCCAAGTCATGCTCTGCATAGACAGGGCACTGTATACTTTAGTTTCCCAAGACAACGCTCACTCACTTCTGTAGCAAAGCACCTTATATCCAGTCTTACTATCCTCTTCCCCAATTCAGGTACGTTAGTAAGACTTCAAACAAAGAATTTTATTAAAAAACAATAGTCTTCCTTAAAAATATATATATATATATGCGTTTCTGTTAATGACAACGATAATTGTGATGCTGATTAAATGGGGACAATGGAGTTGAAAGGACAATTGCCTAGCTCAGGTACTTTTTTAGGGGGTTTTGCCTCATAAAGGTGTCTTTTGCAATGATAATATCTCAAAAAAGTCGCTGTAGATCTTACACAAACTCTGTATTCACTTATGACCAGTTTTATATCACCATCTTATTAAGAGCATCAGCAGCAGCGAATGATATGACAGTTCTATTACCAGAAAATGGAGATGGTGGTTTACAAATGCTGCATAAAACTTGAATCTTCTTTCACAGCGCCTCGATAATAGGCTTCGTTTGATATCCGTGTAAGCAAAAAAGGGTGTCGAGGGAGATATTTCCTCTCCTTCTCCTGGCTCTGTCATAACCTTTCTTTTACTAATAATTGATTGCTTAAAATCTGCTTGATATACAGAAATGTTATACTATTTGACTTAAAATGTCTTTGGCGAGAGCCCATAGGGCGATGCCGACATCGAGCGTACCGAGATAAATCAGCTAGCACATTATACTACATTACGAGCATTTTGTTCTCAAATTTCGCAAGACGTTACAAAAAGCGAGGACGTAAAAAAATGATTTCTGCCAGACTTGAACTGGCGGCCTTCTGCGTGTTAAGCAGATGTGATAACCGACTACACCAAGAAACCATATTGTGATAATTGAGTTTGATTATAAGTTATATACATAAGGCTGTATTTTACGGCTTTTAATTGGATGGGTATTATATTTCAGCGTTTAGCCGGTTGAATATACTATTTAGCCGCAAATGTTGGAAACCTGATTTTGTAGATTACTTTGAAAGCCTCTGCTTTATCTTATCAAATTCTCTATAACAATTCATCAAGAGCTGTCAAATCCACTCTTTAGCGCGTATTATTATTAGAGAATGATAATTTTGGGAACTAATGTTGTTTCATAGCGATATACTGACAGAAGAATAACTACGAACCAAATTAAAATGAGTTTGACCATCGCCAGTTCTTTCATCAGCTCTTTCCAGATTTACAAATTTATTTAGCATTTGTATACCTAATTGCCCTGAGAAAAACTTGAGGCTAAGCAACGTATTTTATGAATGTGAAAGCTTGTGCGATCAGCATAAAGTGTTGCAAAAATTGGATGATGGGTCCCTTTTGTAAACTTGATCAATGGTACCCTTCATTAAAAAAAGAACATTTTTCGGCTTTCATTCTTAAAATGTTCTTTTGTTTTAATGTTCACTCGTACAACAAAGTAGATCGAACGCAATTGATTTGATAAATTCAACATGATGGGTTACATAAAAAAAATAAATAAAAGATGTAATGCTTTTATTGTTAAAAAATTAAGATATATCTATACCAGTAGATTTTTTTTTCGATGGAAAAGATGGTTGTGTTATCAAATATGAAGAAGGAAGATGTAATGATATATTAAGAGGAAAGGATAGGGATTAAGTATTGAGGAAAGTATACATTTGTTTAAAGGGCAAAGAATTGTTCGCCACTCTTCTCAGCTCTGCCGCGTCTGCTGAATCTGATTCTGGTATCGTAGATCAAATCGTTCCACTCGCGCCATAAAGATCTCTTACCAAACATGACAAATAGCCAGATGCCAATAGTACTGACGAGAGCCTCGGCAACTATGATCAAAGCAAAAGGAGGCAAATGAGGACTGATGGCTTCAGCACAAATATTTTGACTATTCCCCGGTGTCAACATGCACTCGAGCCAATCCAATGTGAGTGTAGGGTTATCCTGTAACTCTGACATACGACTGATTTGTGTCATGTAGAACAACTACACAATCAAAATGAGTTTGTGTGCGCTTTGAGCATTGTAAAATCAACAACTTACCCAATAGAACAATACGGTAACAATAGCAACCACGGCCAATAACAAGGCTCTCCATTGGATTTTGACAGCCACCATAACGTGCTTTCTACTCACACCAGGTGCACGATCCGTCATGGTGCCTGTAGATAATGATTGGGTCATGTCAGACTCAAGCCCTTCACGCACAGCGATTCTTGCAATGTAAAAGAAGGTGCCAATATGAACGATGAAACTGGGACATACGATAGCAGCCAGTGGGTAAAAGAACAGCGGGAAAATGTACTTCATTGACACCAGACAGAGATTGGCAAATTCAAATTTGACAGCATGCAGACCTAATGCGATTGACATGATGGTAGCTGGAATACCCCAGCAGACAACGTTCAAGAGAATGTATCGGTTGGTAAAGAAGTTGGAGTTCCAGACAGTGTGCACATGCAAATTCAGAATCAAAGCAGCACACCAAAGACAAGTTGCAAACGAACCAAAGATCAAAATAGCACCCTGAGCAGCACAGAGAGTGTTGTTACCCATCTCGCCAGGAGAAATGTCATTGGGAGCACATTGGAGACGCCTTGGGTTTCCAACCGAAAAGAAGACGACCATACTGAACAAGAAGATGGCAATGGACAAGTTGAGGATCAATAACGAAGGATGTCTTCTCTTGTCGGGTAAAACTAAATAGCTGATTACCAAAATGAGAGATAGAACAGCTGATACAAAACGTATCACATCAGTAGCCAAAAACCCTCTAGTGGCCCAATTTTCTTTGTAAAACTTAAGAGTGATATGTCAGTCAGTGTGTTGTACCTTTTTTTAATTAAAAAACAGCAGTAGACTTACCAAATTTTGAGCAGGGCATGGAATACAACAACCGTATCTGCAGTACTTGTCGTTAATAGATGATCCAGAGGCAGCTAGTGGATCTACCAAGAAGGGAGCAGGGCATTCAGCCATCACAAAACCAGCAGGCACGGCGGAAAAGTTCATTCTTCCGTCCTTGATCTGCTCTTCGGTCACTACAGGAGAAATGTATTAGTTTCTGTTATTAATTTTGTATAACAAAAAGTTTACTTGCATTTGGTAGGAATGTTGTTGCACTTGTCGTCGGCTTGCAAGCCAAATCCTGTGCTTGTGATTTCAGTGCTGCAATTAGGCAACAGAGCAGTCTGGCCTGCCACCTTGAAGATGCTGGCACACTCAATAGAGACGGCTTCGCATGCTGATGTACAGGCAGAATACACGCTGATGTCTAAAGAAATGGGTAAGCGCACTATATATTGTTATTTTAGGATTAATTTACCTGTAGTTGAGTTGGTTGTTACACATTTTGGGTAGGCTTTTGAACATTGATAGCGAGCAAATGTATCAAAGCAAACAGGACTAACTCCACCGAGTAAGGATCCCAATTGTGCCAGTGATTGCAGCTGTGATTCGATCTGATTGACGGTGATTTTGTCGGGCAAGAACACCTTGTAGTCCACGTAATTCTAACAAGACGTATTAGTGAATGTCTTGATTCTATATAGAAGATTGAAGTCATTTACAGAACAGGTTGCATTGGTTGGGTAGGCATTGCAACTTCCAGAGCTCTTTACTATTGGGGTTAATTATAGTTGAGTATCACAAGAAGTTTATTCTCAAAACAAGTCTAAATTTTATGTACCAGATTGAGCATGAACTGTGAGAGATGCTGATGCTGTGATGATCAGGGCGATAGCTGATTTGAATGTATTGATCAACATGGCGCTTTATTTAGTAGTGAACCTAATAGTTTTATGCAGTCGATCTGTTGATTTTCGTTTTGTAAAGGAAAGGGTGTGTATTTTTGATTTACTACTGCTGACAAGAGAGAAATTCTAAATGTAGATGATATAAAATAAAAAAGAAAGAAAAGAGAGAGGGAAAAAGAGGGAAGAGATGTGTAAAATTTAAAAAGAATGGAAACATATGCTCTTCTCACCAGAATATTAAAAGGTCTGGTAGCACATTCAAGTCCTTGGTTAAGTCTCTAGCTGAAGTGGTTGTGTAGCAGTAATAGGTGCATCTTGAGCGGATTTGTCCACTAAAGGTAAATTGCTACCATCAGACACTATATTCACACCGTCAATGACTTCAGGTGCTGCTGCTCCACCGAGATACGAGCTCACAGCATCCTTGACCTTGCCAAATCCTTCAATTATCAAGGGTTTGGGTATATGGTAGCTTTCAATATCATGATGGTATCTATAGAGTACATATCGAGAATTGAAGATTAAATATGGGGGTACACAAACAAGAGCCTTAAACACTTACTGGGCACAGTCGAAATCCCACGTAGATCTCCATTTTGCTTTTTCACAGAGAGATTGTGTCCAGGGCTCACCATAGGTGATTGGGATGAAGCACCGATAAACATAGTTGACAGCTAAAACAAACAAAGCGGCCACCGCAAGTCTCTTTCTGTTGACGAGCTTGATGGTAAGCAGATCAAATCCAACGCTGAACAACAAGATTGAAAAGTAGAGTGCTGGCATGTAGTGGTGCAAAAACAGCTGTCTGCCCATAAGGAAGAAGGGGAAATAGTGGAAAAACCACCCAACTAGGAAGAAACCAGCTGATTCATCATAGAATTTCCTTAATTCTGTGTGTGTGTGTGTGTGTCAGTGCGCATCCTCTACCCCAATCAAAAGGTGCAGAATCTTACCTCCAAAATCTTTCTGAGCAATACCTCGCTTGTCCAGGATCACAAACACTGATTTCAGGATAATGCACACCAAGACAGCAGTGGAGGCAGACCAGTAGACCAATGGGTTGCCCAGCAAGTAGATGTGAAGCTTGTCCTTGGACCAAAAGTTGATGCCACGTCGCAAGAGAGGCCATGACTATAAACACACAGAGAGTAATGAGTTACACAGATGCGCTCTGATTGTGTAAGATACATACCTCTGGTCTTGAATCGTAGGGATGTGTAGATGTTAATCCTTTGTTTGTATCCCACATGACCTTGTTTAGTTCAATGAACTTGCTGAGGAAACCCAATTTATTATAAGTGACCTTTTCAGCGTCCTTGGGCACTAGAGCGAGTTTTTGTTAATTAGTCCACATAAATTTTCACACACACACACACACATTTGACTCACATTGGCTGTTCTCTGTGGATTCCACATACCACACGGTCTTTTCAATCTTGCCATTCTTAATACATGTCACTTCCTGTTGATCAAAGCCCCATTCAGGCAATTTTACAGTATGTGAGAACAAGGAGCACTGGCTCATGACATGGACCAATGCGAATTTTGTGTGGATCGTCTTGAGTCTTTCCTTGGATTCAGGATCTGATTTATCGCCACTGATGATCTCGACTCGCCATTGGTCATTGGTGTCACCCTTGAAATCATCAAAGCCATAGCCACTCACTTCATTGTGGTACTCAAGATCTGTCATTGGTGGTCTGATTTCATGTGAGTGCAAGCGTTTGTTGGAATCAGCATGTTGAAGTGTCACAATATCGCCATGCTTGACGTATTCAATGCCGTTGGGCTCTTCATCATTGACTTTTCTAATTGTCCACCAGTTGTTATCATCGCGGTGAGGATATAAAGTGACCTGTTGTTCTGTTGCAAAAAGAAGGTGAGTACGCTGCCAAAGCGCTCAGATCAAAACACTCACGTTTACTGCCAGCGGGGTAGTTGTGTGGATGGGAATGAAGATAGCCTCCTCTGGTAGCGACATGGCGAATAAATACACGGGAGCCATAAGCAATATCGATAGGTGTATTGATGCTTGTATGGCCATCCAACGTTTGTTGGAATTCAGGTGACATGAATCCATCTCCTTCGCCGCTGTTTGGCAACGAGTGAAAATGAATTTGAAACATGAGCATGTAAATAAAGACGGGCAATGCAATCAGTGCAACGGCACGAGCACCAAAATGGCGTAGGAATACAGACTAAATCAAAGTTAATTGGAATATCCATGCTCTCCCGCAACGCCGACTTACCGTGGAAATGCGTGTATTGCCCCATAATTCCCATAATCCCTTTACTGTAGATATACCAATGGTAGCAATAGTAAATAACCCAACCCATTTACAGCTGACAGTTAAGCCCAAGCCAAGTCCAGTCATAAACAACCACACATACCACCAAAATTGAAAGGGTCTATTTGCAGTAAGTTCCTCTGCTTTGTCGGAGAAGCATCAGTTCTTCTACTTACTTGCGTTTTTGATTGTGAAAATTGATCCACATCAAGGTAGTGACTGCAGTAAAGAACAAAAGAGGTGGATCCAGTAAAATCAAGCGGTTGTTGGCAATGAGTCCATTATCTAGCCCCCTTTGTCATCAGTCTACTGTTTTCTAAGCGAGTGATGGATTGTTACCGTATAAAACCATGAAAGCAGCGACTAAACCAGCAGCAATTGAATGTCCAGCACCACGCACTGTAAGATAGGCAATTGGCACAACCAACAACCCTGTAAGGCCACAAAAAACTCGCATAATTACATAAGGCACGTTTTCCTCGAGGTAATCCCTGATTTTCAGTTGTAAATAGTGTTGTTTTCGACATGGTCACTCCACTTACTTTCCAATGTCCTTGAAGTCAAATCCGTCCAATCCAGCCAACTTACCGACAAGTGCAATCAGCATTTTAGCGAGCTACAGATGCTCCATGAGTCTATAGTCGTCTGCATAGCATCTACCAACAACTTACAGGAGGGTGCACATCCATAAAGAATCTCGTCTTGATGTACTTTGTAGCAAATCCACCAAAATGAACCTCGTCAAAGCTAGCAACGGTTTGTTAGTATGCATACACACATATGGCTTCTTGTAAGACTCACACAACAGAGGGAGGCTGTGATATCTTGTATAATCGAATATAAAAGGCCCACAGTGTCAAGGCCAATACAATATACCAGTCTCTTGTACGAGATTGCTTCTTTACAGCATCCTTTCTTGCTCGCAGCTTATCCGTCTTGTGGTTCGCTAAATCCAAATCAGAGTCGTCGTAATCACTGTTGGGTCTTCGCGCATAATGGTTGTTGTTTCTCTTGCGAAAGTTGTCTGTTGCAGTAGTTGCACCTGTTGTATAAGCAACATCGTCACCAATTGGCACAGGGACATGGTCTTGCTTTTCCTGATGTGATGCTGGCTGCTGTAAATGTTTGTAGTAGAGCGAGTCCATCCTATCTGGGGGTGATGAGTGACTCGAGTAATCGATCGTCATAGTGTAATATGGGAGAGACAAGAGAAGAAAAAGAGAGAAAAAAATAGAATCAGATATAAAAACTCCCTTTTAGCCCGTCTCTTTATTATGTAACACTACTCAAACCTCTTGGCTTTTGTCGATTTTCGTAATGCAGGACAGAGAGCGACATTTCTCCATCCCATTTCAACCACATCAATGGAGAAATTCATGGCAGGGAATGTTTAATTAAATTAATTTTTGCTTGGTATGTTTGTGTTTGTTGCAGACTGTGGATGCTGCTGTTGTTGACATGTGCTAAAGCATGGACTTTTAAACAAATTTCATCAAGCTATATTTCTTGTACAACATGATGTATTTCTATTCAACGCATATTGAACATGCTTCTTTGTTGGGATGATAAGAGTCGCCATGGTTTTTATAGGGCCAATTATGCGCCTAGAGCTCGTGGAAAGAGAAAGACAGTTCCGTCCAAAGATCCCTCGTACTTTAACCACAGCATCTTCGCATCTACACATCGTTTGTTGAGCATTGGAGGATTGTTCAAATACATGTCTTGCTTATATCCATGCAACAAGCGGCAGAATTTCAATTGAATAGAATCTATCACGGTTGGTATCAAGAGCTTTTCTACCAATGTAGCCACTAAATGGGCTCTGATATACCGTATGTTTAATCATCCTTAAAACTGGAGAAGAGATTTGACTTTTTCCACCTTACAGCCAGCTTTTAAACATTCTACCAATTTAACTCATATAGCGCTCCACTGCCACCTGGAGACCGTCCAAAGCTGTGGATCTGACTTTTCTACAATGCTCCACGTCTGTATAAATGAAAACAAATTGTATGTGGGCAGATAACTTGTTTGCATTGCCGCCAACTACTCAAAATATGCAAAACACACTGAAATTTGGTGCATTTGAGCCGCGATTTCTCGTGTTGTAAGCTGTTTTAGACTGTCAGAACAACACTACACAATTGTTCTCAGATGGCACTTACTTCTTGACACCTTTGCTCAACTTTTTTGGGATCGCCAAAATCTTATCAAAAACCATGAGGGATACCTCATGGATTTGATCAAAAATTAAACGATCGCGTTTTTGAACCAAAAAATAAAGACTTTTATTAAGATATGTATTAAATCAAAATGTTCCTCTCGATCCAAAGCAGCCCCTGAAGCTTTGTTTGTGGTACCTTTCTATGAAAAATTTCGACATTTAGGCCAAAAACCTGATTTCATATTTTCCAATATTGCTCAATATGCTTGTTTAAAACACCAGTTTTACTTAGCACCACTGGAGGCGCCTTAAAAAGTAATTTAAGAAAGCTTAAGGGAGTATTTTTTTTTTGTAGGGGAGACGAGCTCCAGTTTTTATTTTAAGTCCTTTAAATGTCGTTATGAGGGAAAGAAAAGACAGGATATATAGTTACGAGGATCGAATGATAAGCAGAAATGGAAAATGTAGAAGAAGATGGATAAAAGAGTGAAAGCTAAATACTTACGAATCTGGATTTAATTCGGCATCCAAGCGAGCAAGCGAGCGAGCAAGACGTTGTTGAACGTTATCAGCGATAACCGGGGCTTGGTCAAAGATCCAGCACCAATGCGCTTGCCAGAGTGTCAGTAGAGCGGTTGCAAAAATTTGATGTGTAGAGAGCTCATTGAAAGGAAGAGAAGTATCACGATCAAGAGGAGGGGAGGAACAAAGCAAAATTTGTTGAGGGAGAGTAATAAAATCCGCATTAGACAGCGATGAGGAGTCAGAGAGGTAGGACTGAGATGTATGGCGCCAGACCATCAGTTTTGGTGGGCAGGAAAACAGAGCATGAGTGATATCCTCAATGACAGATAAGGAACAAATAGTGCAGAGAGGGGAAGGATGTTTTTCAGGAATTCGTAAATGTAAGAGGTCTCTGGTAGGGATCTTCGCATAGATTGCCCGATACCAGACCGTGCGAGCAGCAAGGGGAATTGATAGCGACCAAAAGGAGCGCCATTGGCAATCTTGTAGAGGTGAGAGGGAGGAGGGAGAAGAGGAAGATGTCTGGCTTAGTTTCTTGAAGAACCGGATGTTATTGAGTAGCAGCTTAAGGGAGTATGGGATGACTATCACAATTCATATAGTTAAATTTAGCAAAATAAGTCAACGGAGTCGCAAATTGATCAAAATCAGCGAATCGAGACAGAATGAATATCGAAGTTTAAAACGGTTTGACTGGCTGGCTAGCGATTTAATGAAGTGCTCATCGTCATGAATGTAAGTAATGGTGCATTTTGAAAGCTTAAGAGAGAGGTATTGCGAGGTGGTAGGTACTGCCAATAATTCTGAATGCCTTGCTTTGATTTCTCTTTAAATTATTATTCCAAACAAGGCCGATGGGCCTAGCATGCCACTATTATATTTGAATACACAACTTCCTTTTTAAGGCTTTGGAAATGCCTAATAATCATAGCTTTAATATCTTATGCTAATGAAGAAGCGCATTTCTATTAGTTCTCATGATTCAAGTCAAACACGGTTAGCAGAACCAATCAGCGAGCAGATCGAAATACATCTGATTCCATGCCCCAGATCCCAACGTCAACTCTCTTCCAAGGGAGCAACAATCAACAAACTATAGACTTGAAACTGTGCAGAATTCTTTCTGTGTGCAAAAGCAAGTTGAAAAAGTGCTAGTGGAAAAGAAAAACCCTAAAGGAAAACCCCAAATGGTATGTCTCTCAAGATGAATTAGACCCGATATACAAAGATATCAACATGTACATGAAGACTCGGCCAGAGCTCAGCTAAGAGCTGATAAGAGTCGTTTTATGGCTACACACTGGAACAATACCGTCATGCAAAATGTATATGAATGCTGAGCCCTACTATTGTCTACACTGGACTTGCCTTCATCTTCATTGTCTTACTGCAGTATATTTCACTGACAGAGCTCTCTTTAATAAACTGTAACTGGTCTATACTATTCATGTTCTCTAGATACAGAAGGCAGAGAAAGGAAGAATCATCTAAATACCATGATATTCAAGATTGGAAAAATGATGCTCCCACTTTTTATAAACATGTGTGCTTTTTGCAATACAATTAGAAATCTTATATCAGTTATTATAGTAACATAGCCCAGGCAATGGCTACTAGTGCTTTTTGTTCCTTGAAGCCGTTGATCCACTTGTTGATTTTATGTACAAATGATCAGCGGCTGATAATCAGTCAAGACATAATGAGTGCTTGTATCGCCTAGTTCGCAGAATACAAAACAGGGACAGCGCAAATCGATTCTGATTTCTGGATCTATCCATATGCGAGGAAGATTGCCCCACGGGCATCCCGGAATTTATATCCAGCCATCAATGCTATACCCCAGAGCAGTTTTATGTAATCAAGGGTTCATTGATTTTCACACGCGTATCTCGCTAAAATAGGCAAGGCCCTGGATAACCCAAAAATTTCGCTTTTCCCTTCTTTTTCTTCTCATTCATCATCTCAACATGTTAAAGTGGGGTATTATTGGTACTGGTAACATTGCACACACATTTGCCAAGGCACTTCAGGTTGCCAAAAAGGGTGAGCTTGTCGCTGTAGGCAGTCGTTCCATCGCTACTGCCGAGAAATTTGCCCAAGAATTCGATATCAAGCATAGCTTTGGTAGCTACAATGAGCTGCTGGCCTTTGATCAAGTCGATATCGTCTACATCTGTACACCTCATCCTCAGCATTACGATCTGGCACTGACCACTGCTAAAGCAGGCAAGCACATGTTGATCGAGAAACCCATGGCAATGACAGAAGCACAAATCAAGTCGATTCTGGATACGGCCAAGGAGCACAATCTGTTTGTCATGGAGGCTTACATGTACCGCTGTCATCCTCAAACACTCAAGGTGGTAGAGTTGATTCAGTCTGGTGCTATTGGTCAAGTGAAGTTGATTCGCGCCAACTTTTCATTTGATGGCAGACCATTGGGGCCTTCCTCAAGACTCTGGAGAAACGAACTTGGTGGTGGTGCTATCATGGACATTGGTGGATGTAAGTGCGAATTGCAGTGATCTCTTTCTTCTTGCTGATGCTTTGTTAGACCCCATGTCATTCTGTCGTCTCATTGCTGGTGTAGCCAACGATAAAAGTGAATCTTATTCAGGAGGTGGAGCTAACCCCATAAAGGTAAAGGCCACTGGTTACATTCAACCCGATACAAAGGTGGATGAGTGGTCCAATGCCTCTGTTGAATTTGAAGGAAGCATTACTGCTCAATTGTTTACGGGTATCTTTGCTGACACCGATTGCAGTGTTGAAGTCTTGGGTAGCAAGGGCTCCCTCAAAGTGGTTAATCTGTGGAGACCTGATTTGGCTGTGTTGGGTCCTGTTCAGATTGATTTGACTGAATACGGCAAAGAGACCAAGGTGATTCCTGTCGAGTTACAAGAAACCAACTTGTTTGCCTATGAAGCTGATGCCGTGGCTGATGCCATTGCTCAAGGCCAACACGAGTGCAAGTACATGAATTGGCAAGATACTTTGGGTCAAGCGCATGCCATGGATGCTTGGAGAAAGGAGATCGGCCTCGTTTACAAAGAAGATCAATAAAATGCTTTATATCATGTTTATTTGCAAATGAGAGTTCTATGTATGTTTTATGCGACACGCTTGCCGAATTCCTCACTACGAAGAAAAGAAATGCAATTAGTAAATGTTTTACTCCATAATCCCATAATCCAACATACTTGTATTCACGCCAAATCTATACCGCAAAAAAAAAAGCAAAACGTGTTAGTCAAACATGTACCATCAATAAATCAAGATGTTTCAACTTACAACAGGGGCAGATGTACAGGGAATAAGACCAACTTCAGTAACCACTAAGGTAATATACTTGGAAGGCGTAACGTCGTATAAAAGGTTGAGCAATCTGAGATCAGGTTGATCTCTCCATGAAGCCAAAACTGCATTCTCATCCACGCTATTGCTGGCGGTTTGTGTAGTGAGGGTTGATTTGGTGTCCACTAATTCATCCGGGTTGCCCAATTCATTCAAGACAAATGAGTCGACTTGGGTGCGATTGACAAACTTGTAGGTCTCACAACAAATCATGACGGGAATCTGTTTATCGCTAGCAGCCATAGCCACCATCGAACTACCAATACGAGAGTAGACAGCGCCATTATTTAACAGAGCATGTGCACCCATAATGACCTTGGTGACAGATTTGAGTGCCACATACACACTGGATAATAGGTGATAAGAACAGTCTATGCCAGCTGCTACTAATCGACGCAGCAGATGTTTGCCCTCAAACAGAGGACGACTATCCACCACAATCACTTTGAAATCAATGCCCTTCTTCTTTGTCTCCAACAGTAAGCTTTCGACCACGGATGATTTAGCATAGGTCAAAATAACATCGCCATCTTGGATCTTTTGTAGGCCATTTTGCACAATAAGCTGATCAGCCATGGTGATTCTTTCACGGATAAAGTGTCCAATACGCTCGGTCAATCGTTTGCGTGCATCGTCGTCGCTCAATGGTGGATCCTCTTCCACAATATCTGCCATTTCCTTCTTCAGCCAGCGAATACACTCGCGCATACTCAATGACATGGGACGAATGCTCAGAAGATATGCAATATGAGGATCTAAATGCTTTTGAATGTGTCTGGAAAATGTTGCGTCGGATGGAGGCTTGTGCTCTGAAATGACCTACAGCATTCTCGTGAGTAATGTGTACATTTTTGCAAGATACTCACACCTTTTACCTTTGAGAAGATCTCCAACATGGCCACACAACGAGCATTGGAACCGACAATCTTGTGGTTGGAAAAGTACAAGCCGAGTTGAAGAACAGCGGGGTGAAGATCCTTTGTCAAAGCATCGCTTGTCTTGGGAGCGTCTAGATGAAGAAGCCAGGGAACTTGGTTTTGCTGGTTCTTTGATAAAACCTTTTTCTTGTTTTGCTTGTTGGCATCGGCATCACCGCCTTGAGGAGCACCACTGGCACCAGCAGCAGGGCCCTTCTTTGCCTCCAGTTCTGCAGCTTGCTTGGCTGACTTAGGCAAACCAGCAGCAACACGGTTCTGCTTCTCCAATCTCTGCTTTTCTTGAAGAGCACGGCGCTCAGCTTTTGTCATGTCCTTTTGAGCTTTCTTTGGTGCTTCGCCATTGTGAGGTCGAGTGCTTTCTTTCTTCTTTGCGTTCTCTTTGTTGCTGGCAGAGGGTTTGTGGCCCTCTTCGGATGTAATACTCTTTCTACGTCCACCGACAGAGAGGGGGGAGCCCTTCTTACTGTCATCGCCAGCTGATAACCAGCGATTTTCGTAAGAGGAACTCATGGGCTGGCCCATATTGGGTGATCCAGCAACTCCCTTTTGGGCATTTGCAATGGGGATTCCGAGAGGCTACGTGGGTTGAGTTTAGTCGAGACATTTTCTTAAGCATTTGCATGGTAATCCTTCATCTTACACTCGATTTTTGTGCACTATGGTCCATTTTATCGCTTGTAAAGAGTGTTGCAATGTAGTCAGACGTCTCGATGATGTTGATTCTCGAGAAAAAAAACGTGACTATACTAGTCTTGAGGATGACTGAGATTTGAAGGCAAGATGAGCCACTTTGACCATCTGGGATGGGAAGGGTGGCCTGGTTAAATTCTTCTTTTGTCTTCCCCACTCTTTTTCACCACACATTTTGCAACATGAGTTTACGTTTACTAGTCAAAAGAGCCACGCTTTCACAGCAAACTTCTGTCAAAGTGCAAGCATCTCGTTTTGGCACACTTTCCTTGGCCAATGTCTTTTTCAACAACAACAGCAGCACATTGACACTTGATTCAGTCACTCGTAACACCTTTCAAATACCCACTTGGTTGGAACCCATCCTCTGGGCAGCACCAAAAAAGAAGACATCTCACTCAAAGAAGCGCATGCGTGCCTCCAACAAGGGATTGCAACAAAAGGAGAATGTAACAACATGTCCAGCTTGTGGCAGTAATAAGCTTTTACATCATTTGTGTGGAAATTGCTACAGCGATATCAAGAAGAAGGCTAAATCTCAGGTTGCTGTTGATGCTTAAAGGAAAATCATTGTATATATAAATAAATTTAGGTATTAGAAAGGATTTATGGGAGTAAGCTGTCAAAAGTAGCTAGTGAGGAGGAGGAGGAGTGTGCCTGATTGTGTCATCTGTAGTGTGTTTGTGTGTGCTTTGAAATGTTCGGCTTGAGAGATGATGCTGTTGATCACTCTTTGCTCCAGATCATCATCATCACCCCCTTTTTTTACATATCAGCTCCTCCACATCTTGAAGTTTATGCGCCTCGTGTTGAGTCGATTGGTTCTCTTTCATCTATAGCCCTGATGTAAATTAAGAAATCTGTTGACCCCTTGATGCACACGTGCCTGTTCCAATTCTACACAATGTTACATAGAGTACATGTGCATTGAGTAAAAAATAAATTGTTTTGTACATGCAATTTGCAAATACATACAAACAAGATCTGCCATTCTCTCTCGACTTGTATTACCAACGGTGGTTTCATCATGATTCGAGTGTCTAAGAATGAATTAATAAGTTGCTGTGGTCTGATTGATAATTGATTTGTACGAGGAGTTGCCGTGTTTCTACATGGGAATGATGGAATCACTTCCGTAAGTTGGTTTGTGAGACTGTTGGATGACCAGAAAGCACACGTATTCACACAGCAGCATCAGTACAGCAGTAAGGGGATTCCTATCAAAAAAAAAAAGATGGCCGTATATAAATGCTCCTCTTCAGGCAGATCCTCTTTCTTTCCTGTCCTCTCTACATTTTCGACATCTCTCTTTCTCTCTCCTACTCTCTCATATCACACACACACACACACACACACAATGACTGACATCAAGCCAATGACATTAAATGACAATGCCTCCTTGTCTGTTCCAATCCATCACAGCAAAAACGTAAGAGCAAGCCAGACTCAATGTATGCAATGTAATCTAATCATAGATCCACCTACAGCGAATCATCAATAATACACATTTGCCACCGACTCCCTCAATGTCCTCCAGTGTGTCTTCTTATATATCTCACAGTAAAGGTAGGCAGCACACCAGCTGGCTCAATTGGGTTTTTGATCTGCTGGTCTGATCAATGCATTTCATTTTTCCGTAGCCCGAGATTTGTCGCTCAAGATACCAAATGGTCAGCAGCAGAGATACGGATCTCTTGGTAGCAGCACCCCTTATTTAGGTAAGACAGCCCTATCTTCTTGCATGTTCTCTGTTCTCCACATCATCATGTACATTTATGTACAGCATCACGGAATTGGAAGAGAGCAGTGGAGGAGTACACACGCACAAAAAGTATGTAATACACTAATCCATTTGTACGCCCCTTACATAGAATCTCTCAGCACAATAGAAAGACCATTCACACCTTCCCATACTACCATCAGTCCAAATGAAGATGATGAGGGTCTGTATCTGCTGTGGACTCAGCAATTGCTTAGAGAAAAAGGGTTTACTCCTTCTCCCTGTCGCCCTGAATTTGAAGATTACATGAAAAAAGACAGCAATAAGAAAACTAGCAGCTCCTCCAATTCACTTGAAAATGATGCCAGCGATAATGAAGATGACGACGACGACAGCAGTGTTTCTGACATGTCTTTTTCGTCTGACGATGATATGGATGAAGATGATGACAATGATCGCTATATTGCTGAGCAACGTAAGCTACTACTGAACTCACCTGCTCCATCTGCGTTTCGAAGCCATCAGCCATCGCTCATTTCTCGCTATTCCACCAGCAATTATGCTGCAGAAGAGGTGACGGAGAATGATACAACAACAGGATTAGATGATGCACCTAGTCAAAACTCTATTTATAGCATGTTCAAACAATTCTTTTCTGCCTGCTTCTAAAGAGGATGTGTTGTTATACATACGTCGCAGCAGCAATGACAAAGCTAATACTTATAGTGTGTCATCTTCTTGACACATTCACTGGCCCTTTCTGATAATAAACGTACATATGATGCATGCTTCATTTTTATATAATTTCATGTTGTAGATAAACAATGGTGACCACAACATGTGGTGTAAGTCGCAAATGCTGGAATCCTTGTGTGTCCATTTTATTGACACATGCGTAGATCTTGACCAAAACCTCTTTATTGAATTCTAGAGGACACATCTTAACTACTATTGACATACTTTTATGCAACTGGCCTGTACTCCCACATTTGTAATATCAACTAGAGCCATTGCGGTTGCCGGATGGCCTACACAGATTTAATTTCATCTATGACAAGCTGCTCGTCGTACTATCATTGGAGCTTCAGCTAAACAGTACGTGCATGTTTGCAATTTTTTTAAGAATTTTAGCATGATTAACCGCCTCGTCCACAATGCTTCATCTATTGTCTCAACATGACAAATGTATTGATGCCACATAAACGCACCCAAGCAAGTATAACAGTGCATCCAATCAAGGCAAATCTTTTTCTTCTCTCGTAATAAGTTATTTGTAATGATGAAATTTGCCATATAAAACCCTATTGGATTATTTGAAAGGGGTAAACGTATTGCAACAATTGCTTACAAACCCATCGAAGCACTTACTGGTGACTGTCCCATGCTGCTCCACAATCCCATAAAAAAAAAAAACCACCCCTACTAGTTTTTGAATTTCCAGACATCTCTCTTTATTGCTTCAAAATTACCATTATGGCCGAACCTGTAAAGACAACTTCAACTGTTTCTGGAGAACTTCCCATCGGAAAAGACGGCAAACCACTCAAGCCTTGTTGTGCTTGTCCTGAAACCAAAAAGGTCCGTGATGAATGTATCTTTCAAAATGGAGAAGAGAACTGTCAAGAGCTCATCCAAGCTCATCTCAGTTGCATGCGTAACTTGGGATTCAAAATCTAAATTTACTCGACTATCGAAATTGTGTATTATATTTATCCAATGCTTGTTTGTTTATCTCCCTTTTCCCCCATTATACAGAATATTTTAATAAACAGAAAGACAAATGAGATCAGTTATAGATCATTCAACGGAAAATAGCCATGTTTTGACAGTTTCCTGCAATGTGTAGTGTCCATGAATCAAATTGACATGGTATCCTGTTCAATGCTACGCAAATTTGAGTTAAACTTCAGTAGAGTGAATTCATTCAAGGTGACACATACTCTCGAGTTTTTAGGTTAGTTTTGTATCTGCATAAATGATTGTCATTATTACAATATAGCAATGCACATCATATAGTGAGAGCTTTCTTATTGAGAGTGACAGCTTGGGTGGTGCTAGATCAAGCGGATAGATAGTGCATTGTTGCTTTTTTCCGATTAGCGTTGATGGTTTCTAGATTGACACAGGCTTGTTTGCATATCCTTTTAAAATATACATTGAAATTTCGCATTTTGCCTTTTCCCTACGACATTAGACCTCTCCATAAGCGATCTACAACTGTGGATTTCGCTCCTCTGAGGTTTCTCAGGTCTATGAAAATAGGAACAATTAACCTACGTACAAACAGTTTACTCAAACAGTTTCCAGGTACTCAAAAGTATGCAAAAACGCAGCGTAATTTAGCGTCTTGGATCAGTCATTTCTCATGTTAGAAGCTGTTTTAGACGGTCAAAATAGCATCAAACAATCGTTCTTATCTAGCGGTAACTTCCTGACACCTTTGCTCAATTTTTTTGGGGACCAAAAAAACATCGCGAAAAATTTACCAAAAAGAATGAGGTACTCCTTGTGGAAAACATCAAAAATCAAACGATCGCATTTTTCACCTCGAAAACGAAGACTTTTACTATAACATATATTAAACCGAAATAATTCTATCGTTCCAAAGCAGCCCCTGAAATCGTTTTTGTGAGAGTTTGTTATGTAAAATCTATAGATTTTGATACAAATTGTTATTTCATATTTTAAAAAATTGCTCATCTTGTTCAAAACACCTCTTTTATTTGGCGTCATCGGATACGCCTTGAAAAGTACTCCAAGAAAGCTTATAAGTATATGGCCGAGTTATTACGACTTATATAGTCTATTTTTAAGAAATAGATTAAAAGTATCTGAATCAAGTCAAATTTTGCTCGTCAGCGAGCTAATGAAATATATAGGCAATTTCCTTTTTTGGAAGGTCCTATTTTTTTTTTAGCGTGTGATCCACTTGAACACAAAGTATGCCATCTTCCTCAGATATAACTACTTAATTACAAGTAGCAGACCAATAGATAAGATGTTGAAAAATATTATACTTAAACTGCTTGATCACACCTTGCTTTGCTGTCGTTTGGCAGAGGGTCAAACTTGTGCTGTGCATTTTACCTAAAAGGGGAGATAGCCTTTTTCACGCTCTTTGTTGGTGCTAAAGCATTCATAATAGAACCATTATATACCCACTGCAAGGGGTTAATAAATATATAAACACACGTTTAGTCGCTACATTGGTTGCCGAATAATTAAGCAAGGAAAACGTAGCTCAGCCAAAATATATAAAGCAATGTTTGGACGCTGTCCTTTGTTCAACTGCCATCTAAACCCATTTGTTCTATTAAGTAAAATTTGCCTCCCTGTGTATGCTCTACGAAATGAGACCACCTTTAGGCACCTGCGATGTTTCCTTGCAAAAATCGGGTTTTTGACCCCCAAATTGGAGCTCACAGTGACAAAAACACGTTTTCCGTTAATAACACCACGGACACATCCATGCCGTGCTCAAGTTTAATAAATAAATTTAGGGCATCAAATGGATATTGCTGGCGAACAAAGATAATTTTGTATGCTTCACTGTAACAAAAGTTAACCTTGGAACCTAATTTTTTGAGCAGTTTGGCTGGGGCTGACCTATTTGGCAGTGCAAATTTACAAAAACCGATGCTACAGTTTTGAGCAAGACCTCAAGTTGTAGATCTCGCTTGGGACTATACAGTAAATAGTACTACAGGTAAATTGGTGCTGGTTTGGTACATGTTTTCCTTTGAAATTCTCAAAATATCTGAAAATTAGACTTTATTATTGTAAGCGGAACAAGGGAAAGCTATCTTTCAGTAACACAGATCATTACTTTTTTCTACCCATTCTAATTCATTAATGGTAAAAGAAACGAAGCTTTCACAGCAATAAAATAACATAGACAACCAAAAGAAATCTGAAGTAAATCTTCAATGTGTTCATTGCTAAAAGTGCTATCGAGCAGGCAGATTTTTGCTTTCATCAAACGATGTAAACAGACATTCTAAAACGAAGGTGGATTGCATCTTCGCAACAAAGAAGATTGTTTGAATCTTTTCAGAGTATCAGCTCTCTGTTGGCTATAATTGACTGCATTTATTTCTGTTCAAAGATCTTAAGCCCTTATATCCAGAAGATGCATTACATGTTTGTTGGATCTAATGTGATCTCCCTCAACTTAAAGGTCTTACATGTGACGCTCCTTTATCAATATTTTTTTCTCCCTGGATGGGTGATTGATGTGATGCATTTTATTCTTATTTTTTACAACTAAAAATGTCTGCAGATCCCGTCTTGGAAGAGTTTCCTTTGGAAGCTATGGAAGAAATTGATGTTGTTGCTAAAGAATGGATCCAAGAACAATCAGATAAGGAAGTGGTAAGAATGTACATTGCGAGTTGTGAGGTCAATCTGACAGGATGTGAAACTTGTATTTAGAAACGTATTAGAGACGTCGGCTCAAGCGTTTTACCCCTCAAGGTATATTCTACGCTGACATGGAACTATTTACTCGAAGCTTTGTGTCTAATCGCTACGATAGATCAGTAATTGCGGTATCATCACCAACTTTGATAACAAAAAGCCTAGAGCCATCAACAGAGTGGAGCTCGATACAAACTGCGATTTGTCCAAAGTGCAACAAGTAATAGGATGAAATCACTAATGTTACAACAGCACATGGCATTGACACTCTTGATTGTATAGATCATGGTCTCTCCTCCTACTCCTTATCCCCACAAGGACAACTTCAATTATGTGAATGTAAGTAGACCTGGCATCAAAAAACCCCTTGAAACTAATCGATCAAAAACAAAACCTGTCAAATATAGCTGATTCTTGTCACAAGTCAACCAATTCCATTTTTAGCACCTTACCTTTACAAAACTAACTTGAAGGTAACACAGCCTGAGAGAGAAGAAGGTGGTCGGAAATATCCTAGCAAAGAAGTCATCTTGAAGAACGATTTGCGCGATTATCTCTTGATTAATAAAAATGGTGTTCGAGCTCGTTTTACCATTCATGAATATCATGATGTGTAAAATTGATCAGTTTCAAAGATCACCTTGTTTTTTTTTCTACTCTCATTACCGCATTTAAATCTCCGATTACGATTTCGAAAGTTTAGGAAACCCTGAAGGAAAGAGGCACAATGAGCTGTTTTCTCTTTCTTCTATATTAAAAAACCTCATTTTTAATATCAATAGAATGCCTTTGTCTATGGTTACAAAATACGAAGAGATAACGGCTTCAGAGCTCGTAAGTTGGATCTCGCAGCATGGATGTCCATGTTCAATGATTAATCTCGATAAAATCACAGGGAGTCCTCCAACGTCAATACGAGAAATCATTCTTTTTCCAATCCAAATCAGCGCAGAAACCAACAAAATTAGCAATATTTGACTTTGATTCCACACTGTTCTTCTCCCCTCTGTTGAGTCCCACTATTTGGCATCCCAATCTCATCCGAGTGGCAACTGCAGAAAGTGTATATGGACCAGGCTGGTGGAGAGATATACGTAGTCTGGACTTAGGTCCATTCGAGGAATTAAAGAAGAATGCGTGGGAAGGATACTGGAATGAGGAGATTGTACAACAGGCTAGAAATTGCATTAATGATACGGATACCATGACGGTTGTGCTGACTGGAAGACGATACCATCCATTTCACCTTTTAGTGCCAGCAATGCTCGAAGCCAAAGGCTTGCAGTTCGATTTAGTGGGTCTTCGACCTGACCCAGAATATGTCTCTGATAATCAATGGGAAGTGAAGTTAGGACAACATCATCTCACTTACAACCTCACCAGCTCTGTGTTCAAATCCACCATGCATTTCAAGACATGTTTTATTCTCAACATTATACACAATATTCCCTCGATAAAGAGTGTCACCATGTGGGATGATCGTATACATCATGTCAAGAAGTTTAGAGAGTATCTCGATATCGTCAAGAGTACATCAGTCATCAACAATGGAGATGTGATTTACGTGCCTGGTATTCGACCCAAATACAATCCTAGATGGGAAAAAAATGTCATCAGACACATCATCGACACTCACAACAAGGCGCTTGTTGAACATGTTCAGGATGGCATTAGAAATGGAAAAATCCAGCAGAGATTAGCGTGGCCATGCACCGCCGAGAAGGAGGATCCATTGGGGAGTTCATCAGAGATGCCATTGAAATTGACACCATTACCTGCAGCCACAGTAGTCAAACTGTCACCCGAGAGCAAGGAGAAACTATGCGATGCTTACAAGTCTTACTTTACACAAGAATTGAAGATTCATGGAAAGTCGAAATGGAAGGACTGTGGCGGAGAGCAACCTCAGCTGTTTAGTGATTATGTGTATCTATCTCAAAAGGTCATCCCGAGCGACGCTATTGCTGTGGGCTCGGTTGGATCGCAGGTTGGAGTGACAGTAAAGGCATACTCAAACTCGGCTCAATTAGCGTGCTTGGTTCTCAAGGTAGAGATTGATGGTGACGCCGAGAATGATTATCTTTTGCCTGTTTATTACAAGCCATCCGAATACTATGAAGTCTTCAAAATGAAATATGTCGATTGGATACCAGTGAAATCAGAAAAGGGGCTACCAACGCATTTCAAAGGAAAGGTTGATTATGAATACAAGCTCGGTGTCGTAGAGAAAACTACAGAGAAGCGTTCACATACAGCTGATGATGATGATGATGAATGTCAAAAGCAAGAGACTAAACCAAAGCGTATTAGACATTAGCATACCCTATTCATTTTTCTATCATCCGTAACAGCACAACTCCCATTTTTACCAACAAAATACGTCAATAAAACATGTAAAAGCATCTTCTCAATCATGATACTTGGCATTTAGTTATTTTTTGTTATGTATATGTACACCTATTTTTATTTATTTATTTGATTAGACATAATTGATATATGTGTAAAAGAAGCGAAAATATTAGTAATGTAAGTCTATGTGATAATAGTTGAAAAGGTTAATCAGAAAATGGATCGTTGTCCTCTTTTGACAGTAAAGGGCTCTTCCCTTTATTATATGATATTGCCGACAAGGGTGAATCCTCGGCAGTTGATGGCGAGAGTTTTGTGCCTTGCTTTTCCAACGCACTGATAATCTTATTGATAGCAGCTTGGTTTTGTAATGTCAGTTGCATCAATGCTTGTATTTGGTTCAAAATCTCATCCTCTCCATTATTTGGTAATAGTCCAAAGGTGCCATCTGATCTTGCTGGAGCAGATGTTGTGGCAGGGCTCTCAAATGAAGCAGTGTTGGCGTTCTCGCGCTCTGCAGATTGCAACACGTCGTCTCCACCACCCATTGGATTCAGTCCCATTCTATTTGAAAACTGGCGTCTACGCATGCTCTCCCAGACAATTGTAAAGTTTCTGCCAACAATAATGGATGGTAATGCAATCAACTGAACCGAATGACTGTCAGCTTTCCTGCTTGTTTTCCTCCTCGCTTACTTTCAGCCCACTTACCAATACACCAAACATCATTGCAGGAAACGTAATCAATTTACCAATGAATGTAGTAGGCACCATGTCACCGTAGCCAGTGGTGGTGATTGTCACTAGTACAAACCAAAATGCAGCAGGAATACTGTCAAATGAGCTATATTGAATTAGGAAAGTAAGTAAAAAATGTCAAATTTCCAAATGCAGATCATTCAAATGTCAAAAAAGCGCATACCTGGGAACACCGTCTGATGCCACAAAAGCTTGCAAGGTCTCATCCCAGATACCACGTTCAGCGAAATACAGCAGCGTCGAGAACAGGACAACACAAGTAACAGTAAAGAAAAACAGGGCAGACAGAGCATCTCCGGATCTTCTAAAGGCCATCATCATCACTTCAATTGTCATGACAATCGTGTTGGAATACTTGTATGACTTGAATAGGCGCAATAGTCGAAACAGTCTTAAGATAGTGAATCTAAACTCGTAGGTCTATAACGAAATCTGGTGAGCTGTTCGTCCACACTTCCAACTGAGAGCAAAACCTACGGTATCATGCTTGGCAATCACTTCAATGTAGAATGGGATAATTGAGATGAAATCAATGATGGAAAGCGGGGCTATTCATTTCAAAAAGATCAACATTTAGGCCAGTGCGGGGGGGTCTTGAGAGCATGCAACTTACACAGAAAGAACTTTTTCAGCATACGGAAAGAGTCAGAATGAGCAAACATTCTCAAAAGGTACTCGAGTGTGAAGAGAGCCACCATGGCTGATTCCAAATGGAACCTAGTTTTCACACAACGTAAATGCTCTGGATCCCGTTCAAAATGTGTTCATTTACCAAACTCTGTTACTCTTGGCTGATCGGAATGAGGGGATTGTTTCAATGGTTGTGGTAATGGCGCTAAAAAGGATGAGGAAAGATACTACCACGTTGGTCCAGAAAGCGCTTCTACTGCTTGCTGGTTCCTCTAATAAAAGGTATAGTCTTCGCTTGATGTCGTTTTTTATTTCTGGCATAGGTGGCGCTGAATCCTCAATGTCAATGTGCGTGGATGACCGTGGCTGTGGTTGTTGTGGTGGATGGACAACTAGATTCGCTACCGAGGTCCATCCTTCTTCAGCGAGTCTGCCTAACTTGCGGTACAGTGGTGGTTGATGGCTGCTGCTACTACCGCTTGCATGTTCATCGGAAGAAGTAACAGAGGAGCTGCTGCCAGGCTCGGTCATTTCTATGGTCTCTCCGTTGTGAAGTGGCTCTGTCTCTTCATACTCTTGCTTGGAATATAAACTGCCGCCACCACCCTTTGAACGAAAGAAGCCCATGAAGAAAGAGTGGGAGAAATATGAAAAAAGTGCAAAAAGAGGGGAAGAGAGGGAGGGGAAACGACGATCTTTTTTCCTCTTTATTTGAATGTTTTTGAAACTCCGTTTTAAAAGTGAAATGAGAATTGCTGTCCTTGACTGCCACCACCAAATGGGAATCCATTGCCTCCAGCACCAGCAAAGTGAGCAAAAGGATTACCGTGTTGATGATGATGATGTGCAAAGGGATTGCCGTATTGCTGCTGTTGGGCCGTTTCAGGGTCATAAGGATCAAAGCCATTGTCAAATTGATCCCTCTTTTCAGGGTCACTGAGCACTTCATAGGCTTGATTAATGTCTGCCATCTTACTTGCTACTTGGTCTTTATCGAGTTCTCCACTGTACTTGTCAGGGTGCCATTCGTGTGCTTTTTTGCGATAAGCCTTCTTGATGGTGCGAGCATCAGCATCTCTCGAGATATCTAGTATGATGTTAGTTTCCTGTGCAAGGTCAGAATGAGGCATTTATATTACCTAATATCTTGTAATAATCCCTCTTCTTGCTTTGCTTTAGTAACTGCTGTGCTCGTTGCAGTAATTGGCGAATTTGGTTATCTTGCTGTTCACTTGCTTCAAATGCCTGTTCCAAATCACGGACTGCACCTTCGAAATCATTAGCATTGAGCTTCATTTCACCCAAATGCATCAATGCTTCTTTGTTTTGATCGTCCAATTCTAGTGTGGATCGACACCATTTCTCTGCTTTAGCTGTGTCTTTTTGTTTGGCAGATAGCTCGCATGCCATGGAATAGATCTTGAGATGAAGTCGCTTGGGTAGCGCGGGTGCTTGCAGATCTTGCTCCAATGAGGCAAAGGGCTCGTCAATGTCGTTGACAATGCCTGGCTTGGTACCTGTACCAATCAAGCCGTTCAGTGCAATGGCGTAGCGCTGTCCTTGTTGTGCTTCCTCTGCTTTCTTGATTTCTTTCTCAATGCGCTTGATGAATCTAAACAGACCTTTGCATTGACGATCCTCAGGATCGTAGTGTATACACTGCTTTACTTGGGTTAAAGCTCTGTCAGCCTCGTACAGGGAGAAAAAGTTGATTGTAGCCAATTCCAGTAATAGATTTTTATCAGATGGATTCAAATGGGCCACTCGACTGATAGTTGCAAAGTGAGTTTATGGCGAATCAATGTCTTTCCTTGCCTTGTATACTTACGTATAATCGTTGGTAGCCTCTTCAATTTCGCCTTTCCCAATATGACACTTGGCACGAATGATGCGCCATTGAGGCTTCTGAGGTGCAATTCGAATCACTTCAGTCATATGTTGTATGCATTGCTCATAGCTCTTGTCTTGATGGGCTTGTTGACCCAATACACTCTGCTTTTCAGCGTGCTCAACAGATTCCAATAGCTGCTTGGCTTGGTCGTTAGGCTTGCTGTTGTTGTGTTCCATCAAGTCCTTCTTGGCGAGCAAGAATTCACCATCTCCAGCGTATAGCTTGGCACGTTGTAAGAGAGCCTTTTCGAAACCTGGTCTCAAGTCTAAAATTTTGGTAAAATCGTCAATGGCAGAAGCTGTTCTGCCTAGAGACAAGTAGGCTGTTGCTCTCTTGTAGTAAGAAACATAATCTAGAGGGTCTTGCTCTACGTTGGTGTGGTCAGCCTGTTGTGTGTCTTGATTCTTGAGTATCACTACTTACGAATAGCTGCATCAAAACTCATGATAGCATCATTGTATTTGCCAGTGACGAGATACTGGTTTCCCTCTGCTAAATGCTGCTCAACGTTCTTATCGGCATAGCAAGTATTCATAAATAAGGGTATAAGGAATGCTAATAATTTATTGGACTTCATGGTGATGGAGAGGAGGAAAGAGCAAAGAAATAATCAATCCAGGAACCTTAAACATTCTTTTTATATCTAGAGCGATTAGTTGGTATATTAACCAATGACAAGACAATAAATTAGAATATTGACACGTATTTTCAAGCCTAATTTTACGAAAATAGTAAACAGCATTCTTTTGATTCAAGACAACAGACGACACAGCCTCACAACAGCACCCTGCTAGTAAGCTCTTGGTGTTGTCTGCGCTTAATCAACGTATATACAATGTAACATTTCATTTATTTCAGCTACTGACAATACATAATGGTATGCTGCGTGTATTACCTATTGCTGTGGTAATGATCTCGATACCGTCTCATCATATCTGCGTTTTGATTGTGTGCTTGTTCAGTTAAATATTCAGTAGATGGCGACACAGACGAAGAGTTGGTCGTTAGTTTTTCCAGTGGTGGAGACATCATTGGGCTTATAATAGACCCATATCGTTTCCTCGAGTAGGGCGATACACTTGTGCTGCTTCTGGCCTCCTTGTTGGCATACGATCTTCGTCTTACACCTGTGAGCATTGGTGGCACATCCAGCTCCTCTTCCTCCATTTCTTCCTCGTTATCGCTGGAATCAGAGCCATCGTGCTTTGTGCGCTTCTTGATTCCTTTCCCCAACGAGATAAACTCGTCCAGATTCCTTGAATATCGCTTCTTTCCTGATATGAATGGGTGATTGAAGGCTTCTTGCGGCGTCATGCGTTTGACGGGATCTACTTGTAGCGCCTTCTTGAGAAAATCCAGCAAATGCCGCCTCACTCTCATCTCTTTTTCTATTTCAGAACTGTTCATGCCTTTTGGTAATGGGTATTTCAAAACGAGCTCATCCAGGTTGAATGTCGAAAAGTAGCGTTTGCTTGGCTTTTCAGTCTTGTTTCTCTCCTCTGAGTATTGCCGGATATCTTTGAACGAGTACCGAACCTCGCCAGTGAATGTTGTTCGTTTGTTGTAATAGCGATGTCCATGCTTTCCTCGCTGAATCATGTAGTCTGGCAAATTTCCAACTGCTTCAATGATGCGAGTCAGCTGGTTGTATTCAGAGCTTCCAGGAAAGAGAGGCAGGCCCAAGTACAGCTCTGCCACGATGCAGCCAAAAGACCACATATCAATCGCTGTTGTGTATCGAAGTCCAATCAGTACTTCTGGAGACCGATAGAACCTGCTTTGAATATAGGTGTACGTTTGCTGTGATTCATGGCAAGCTGATCCAAAATCAATGACCTTGATGGTGGGAGATTCCAAGCTCTTGAGCAGAATGTTTTCGGGTTTCAGATCGCAGTGAATGATTTCGGCAGTTTTGATGATTGCTAAAGTATCCAGTATTTGGGCTGAAAACACTCGCACCAGATTTGTAGATAAACCTTTAAAATGATTTTGCTTTACCAACTCGTACAAATTGACTGATAAGAGCTCGAATACAAGACATAGGTGGTTCTTATGCATGAATGACTCCTTCATCCGTAGAATGTTGTGTTCGTCGTTGGGATCACTGACTGTGTTTAGCTGCAAATGTTCATGTTAGCATGGATCCAGAAAGAGAGCACCTCACAAGCTTACGTGTTTTAGTATGTTGACTTCCACTAGACTCTGCTTTGTGTAGGAAGGCTTGTTCTTGATAATCTTGAGTGCCACCAACTCACCCGTTGTTAGATTCTTGCATTTTGCAACCTGTCCAAATGTGCCCGCCCCCAGCACATCTATAATTAGATATCTTGACTCCAGTTAATACAATGATGTCGTAACTCCAGATTGATAATCTCACTTTTTTTCATCGCTTGGTCCCACTAAACCATGCACATAGAGTATAAAATCTGAATTCTCGTTATCACATCCATCGTTTTTCGAAGGTACGCCTGGCTTTGTCAAGACTCTTTTGGGATTAAAGGAAGTATCGTACTCGAAGCATGGATTTCGCTTTCTGAACGTATCGCAAATGTTCACTGTCAAGCTTTGAATTATCTATGGCGTGCTATGTGTCAATTATACAGCATGATTATCCATATGATTCACTCTTTACATTGTCTCTGGATGAATTGCGTCGACATGATGAGGGAAACCAATCTTCGTAACTTGGCTGCCTTTGCAGTCGCTCTGCTGACATGACAAACCCTTGATGCTGATACATGGAAGATGACATTCAGTAAAAGGGGACGAGGTAAAAAGATGGAAAAATCTGTCTGATAAAATGGAAAAAGCTTAAATCAACTAATAAACCCACGGAGAAATTCTTTGTTTGTGGTTGCTCCCGGCATCTGCATGAATTTAACTAGCAGACAGCAGAGTGCAAAAAAGAAACAATGGGGAAATGCGTCACAATGATAGGCGTATTATCTTTCATGTAGTAGAGGCTCCTCATTGTCATGGAAACAACATGCCATTCAAGGCAACGTGCTTTTATCGTCTCGCTGAATAGGATACCAGAGTAAACAATAAGATTGTGTTTCTGCGCAGACTCGTTTGACGCCATTATGCGGGGTCAATTTGTTTGTTGGTGATAATCTGTCAATCATATACAGAAGATCAATCTATCTCATTGCTTTGATATGAAGTACCTATATATATATATATATATATAATATATACGAGACTTTCAACACTTTGGGTGGTTTCCTGACCTATGCTTCGCTTCGTTGGAAACCAACCTACGTTCAAATGGCTAAAATATTAGAAGAACCTTGATTGTTGATTGATATAAAACCACTAATCACAAGAGTGTTTATGCTTCGGATGGTTCTTTACCTTTGCTTTGCTTCGGTGAAAACCAACCTCCACAGCGGCAGCTCGCGCTACAGATTGCCCTTGCGTATCTTATCAAAATACTACTATTTTCATGTTGACCCTCCACTTACACATGAAAACTCTTTATATTATCTCTGGATCTGATTCTTATGTGATACTTTACATCCATATACATGTAGCTATTTCATATACGGGCAAGTATCATACAGATATTATCCTTTTTTAGTCAAGAGTATGCCTAATACAGCAAATTCTGAGTGCATTTGAGCTGTGTTTTCTTGCGCTCAAGGCCGTTTTAGGTTGTTAGAATAGTACCAAACAAGTGTTCTTGTCTGGCAGTTACTTTCTGACACCTTTGCTCAACTTTTTGGGGATCAAAAAAACATGTACGAAATTCGACCAAAAAAGCATGAGGTACCCCCCTCATGGCTTTCGTTGAAAATCAAACGATCGCATTTTTCACCTTGATAACGAAGACTTTTACTATGGTATATCTTGAATCAAAATGTTTCTATCGATCCAACGTAGCCCCTTAAGTCATCTTAGTGGGACTTTGATATGTAAAATTTCAACTTTTTGTCCAGAAACCTCTTTTCATATTTTCATAAATTGCTCAATAAGTTTATGAAAAACATTTAATCTAATTTGCATCATTGGATGCACCTTGAAAAGCACTCCAAGAAAGCTTAAAGAAGCATTTTTTTTTTTTTTTGTAGGGGAGTCGAGCTCCAGGTTTTATTTAAAGTCCTTAAAATGTCATGCTGAGGGAAAGAAAAGACTGTTGGTGGACCCAATGTCTGCAAAGAAGGGGAATAAGATATTTTGAACTAAGTTGGGAAAGAAATCTACTACTAATAAGGTGCGACTCCTAGAGCCAGTACAGTCTTGCGGAAATCGTCAAAATATAGATCATGGATAAGAGTACAAAAACACCAAACGAGGACATCAGTACTACGTCAAAAAATCAAACAACTTGCGTCCACCAGGATTTGAATCGGGATCCTCCCGTTGGCATACGGGAGTTTTACCACTTCGCCCTACCACCAGGGGCAGCTTAAAGAAGCATGGGACGATTATCATACTTTATAGAGTCGAATCTGGAAAAATAGTTCAATCGAATGGAAGTCTATTAAGATTTGGCCAATCTAGAACAGACTATAATTCTGAGCTTGAATCAATTTTGGCTAGTGGGGCTGGCTGGCAAACTCAATGCCCTTTTAATCATGAAGCCAATACAGTAATAGATTCTTTTGAAGCGTATGGAAAGTAGGTGGCAATATCGCTATCCATGCTATTTTTCTTGAATTCTATATTTAATAGAGCCAGTCTATCAAAATACTTTCTAGATCAACTTCTTTCCTTTTTGAGGCTTTGTGAGGCTTTGAAAGTGTCTACGGACTGATCATTTATTATAATATGATATTTGTAGCATCTAAACTTCCATTAGGATATGCTTCAATATGAAAAAACCATAGCAAACGATGGTTGACTCAGACATTTTACTACCATAACTTCAATGCTCCAATGGTGTTTGATATATTCTGCCACATTATAGCCTGGCAAATCTAAACATTTACCGTTCCTGCAATGCGTGAATGCTCGTTAGCAAGGAGCTTAAATGATAGCATCTTGGTAAGTGGCTATCAAGCTGCTTTTCCAAGTGATACAGACCTGCAAGCCTCGACTTGCCATTGAGGCACAATACCGAGCGTCTAAATCAAACAGTAGAGTATATGTGATTAAACTGCGAACATAGATTTCGTTTTCTTGAACGGAACAATAAGCTGCAGCTTTTCGAGAAAATGGGTTAAATGCGTACATGTCTACGATAAAGCAGCTGATGCTAACATGTCTAGCTTGACCGCACAAACCATTTTTCATACAAGGCCTATAGCATGTACCATTTGTTATGTGAAATACTCGTATCTTTGAACAGTTCCTTGTATATATTCATAATTGCCTTAGGTTAGCATAAACACATTGACAGAATAGAGTGTATAAAAATGCATAGTAATCATCATTGCTGCCATGCAGTGCCAGTTTCTTGCTTGTTGATCAGCTTATTTTCGGATCATACCACACATTATGGTATAATTCGTGGTAATGCACATTACGGGATCAAAATTGCAAACATTTGTACTATCCTTTAGCGTAAATATCAAAGATGAAGCATAACATTTAAGCTTGTGAATACAGCTTATATCAGCATAAACTCGGGGTTGTAAACGAAGTGCGATTTTATTTCCCATGCTCGTAATACGCTATATAATACACCTTTGCTTTTCATCCATACTTTCTTTTCCATTTACAAAGTAATCTATTGAAATATGAAGGCTTTTATTGTTGACAAGTGGCTGAAAGGTCCTGAAGAACTCGTTCTCAAAAATGTTGATCTCCCTGCTGAACCAAAAAAGGGTGAGCTCCAGATTCAAGTCAAGGCTGCTGGTTTGAACTTTTTCGACACATTGATGGTATATGAAGACAGCAATCAACTTCTAATTATTGAAAACTAATGAGAGCAAATTACAGATCCAAGGCAAGTATCAAATCAAGCCTCCATTCCCTTTCATCCCTGGTGGAGAGTTCAGTGGTGTCGTTCTCAAATCTACTGTTCCCAACTTTAAGGCTGGCGACCGAGTTTTTGGATCAGGATACTCCTTTGCTGAAGTCATTAATGTGCCTGCATCCAATGTTCTTCCTATGCCTAAGAACTTTTCATTTGAACAAGCTGCTGGTTTGTACATCACATACCCTACTAGTTACTCTGCTCTTGTTTTGCGTGCCAATTTGAAGGCTGGCGAGTATTGTCTGGTTCATGCTGCTGCTGGTGGTGTTGGTATCGCTGCTGTTCAAATCGCAAAGGCCCTTGGTGCCAAGGTCATTGCAACTGCTGGTTCAGCTGAAAAGCTCGAGATTGCTAAAAAGTTCGGTGCTGATTACGCCATCAATTACCGTGATAAGGATTGGACTGATCAAGTAAAGAAGGTGACTAATGGACATGGCGCTGATGTTGTGTATGATCCCGTTGGTTTGGTTGAAGCAAGGTAACTTGATATGAGACGGATGTTGGATTATGTAGATTGCATATTAAATGCTGATGAAATTTAGCACAAAATGTACTGCCTGGAACGGCCGTATTCTTATCATTGGTTTTGCTCAAGGCACCATTGAAAAGATCCCTACTAACCGTTTGCTATTGAAGAATATCTCTGCAGTGTAAGTATTCGATGACCTGTTATGATATTGTACCTGTATTCATGATCATTTAATTATAGTGGCTTACACTGGGGCGCATATACCAGAAATGAACCTGAACGTATCCCTGAAGTCTGGAATTCGCTGTTTGAATTATTCGAATCTGGTAAATTGCAGCCTGCCCTCTATGAAAAGATCTATACTCTGGATACCATTCCTCAAGGTATGATGGCTATCAATGATCGCAAATCCTACGCCAAGGTTGTTGCAAAGATTGGAAACGATGAGAGCAAGCTTTAAATTAGATGTATTTTATCAATAAAAAGAAAAAAAAAGGAAGAGCATTTGAAGTTCAATGTTACATGTAACGCATATACGATGATCCACATTGCATAGATATCCATACAGCACCTTCTCGGTTTGAATGAGATGCCCTTATTGTGGTTCTCAAGCTTCTATTTGTGACGCGGATTAATATTGCTCCAAGACACACACATAGTAAGGTCCCTTCATTTCAAATGATAAATACAAACGAAGCAAGGAAAAGTTTGGGCTTGGCATTTCTTTCTGTTTATTCTTAATTTGCTTTTGTCTCTCTTCATGGAACAAGCATTCGATTCCAGCGACAACAGCACAATGAGATCATTCATGTTGTCAAACAGTGGAGCAGCCGCAGGAGCAACAGCAGGATATAGCCAGGCTACTCCTCCTCCTCCCTCCAACACTACAGATCAAACAGCTTTCAACTCGACAGCATCTCAGCCTGTACGGCTGTCTCAAAAATCTTCACAAACCAACACATTTGTTCACAAGCTATACAACATGGTACTCGATGACCAATTCCAACATTTGATTGCCTGGAACTACGCTGGCGCATCATTTATCGTCTGCAATATTATGGAATTTGCAAGAGATGTATTACCAAAGCATTTCAAACACAACAATTTCAGCAGTTTCGTTAGACAGCTCAACATGTAAGTGTCTGAATACAGTGTTTATTTGACAAAAAGTACTTAATAGTCGAGCTCTTTGTTTAGGTACGGGTTTCATAAAGTGAACAAATCACCTCGTGGTCACCGAACTTTAGCAGAGAATCAAATCTGGGAATTCTCTCATTCAAAATTCCTTCGAGATCGCCCTGATTTACTGGACGATATCAAACGTAAAACCATGGAATCTGATACTGTACGACGTGAAACCGACTTACACGCACATATGGCAATGATGCAGGTGTCGCAATCAGACATGCTACAACAAATCAACCATTTGTATGATAGTTTCAGCCAGATTGTCAAGGAATTGCACGAAACAAAGCAAAAGCAAGAGCACCATAATACACTAGTGAAAGACGTACTTTCGTACATTACCCAGCAAAATGGAGGTAAGGCTGCTTAATGTCATTAGCATGTTCATATACTGACAAAATGTAGGTCAGTTGCCTCATGAACTTGGCTCAGAGTTCAAAAAATTGGAAGTAAACAAAGCAGCACCTTCGATATTCGTAACCACACACCAAGACCACTTTAGCCATCATACACAACAGCAACCTCTTGTTCCTACTCAAAATCGGCCAAACAACAGCTTACTACCTTCTATTACTTTTTCTAGCACATTGCCACCTAGTCCAAATCCAATCAATTTAGCATCATCATCATCCACAACCACAGCATCATCTACTTCACTTGATAATAAAAATGGCTACTACCAATCCAATACCTCACAAAGCCCATCTCAAGTTTTAGCAGCAGCACAAGCAGTGGCAGCATCAGTAACAGTGACCTTACCGGATATAATGAACTCACCAACACCCACACATCAAACTAGCAACAACCGAAATCATCATCATTTCTCCTTTAATAATTCATCTCACCACACAATGAATGGTTGACATGATAGTATGTAATATAGAATAATCAAAACTAAACCGAATCCAAGTTGACATGATCCATGTCTTATGCATATCAATCGTTTTTCTCCTTATTTCTCTCTCTCTCTCTCTTTTTTTATATTTATCTCTAAACACTAATAATAGTCGTTTCTCCTGGTTAGTTAATTAGTTGACCTGAGAAATCCATCTATTCTGATACTTCTATTGTTTGTTGTTACACTGGTCAATTTAGTTTAGTATGCTTTTCTCTCATACAAGTTGCCTTTAACCGTAATTGCATGATATCTCCAGTATTCTATGTCAAGTCAAATACAGGCCCTCTTTCCTCTCTGTTAAAAATGCCAATGACTCGTCAATATTCTCTACCTCCATAACACTGATCAATCTAATTCTAACACGGCTAGATATACATTCAGTCATGCCTCTCTACAAATACATGCTTTTAGGCACGTAATATACCCATCTGTTTAATAAAATGCACCTGATACTGTCCTTGCAAACAAATCTTGTAGTCTTTACAGTCAAGTTGTCAATCGCAAGGTTAATTAATGCAAAATTCCAGCTTGCTAGTATTCAATGCTGCTCGCTTATCCTGTTATTCATGTATTGGCGTTTTATTTTACTGGTATATACTTGAAATTCACGTTTCACTGTTCACCATCGTATGAAAACTCTCAGTAAACAGTTTTATAGCTGGTTGATCCGACTTTCTTAGAACGCTCCTTGTCTGTGTCTATGAAAAAATTTTAATAACGGCAGTTAGAATACTAACACTGCCTCTTACTACTCAACAATACGCAAAACACGGCGAAAATTAGGTGCATATGAGCCACGTTTTCTCCCGCTAAAAGTCAACTGGGGCCGCCAGAATGGCACCAAACAATTACTTTCATCTAACATCATCTCTTTGACACCATTCCTCAATTTTTTTGGGATCACCAAAAATCCACCAAAAACCATGAGGTACCCCTCATGGTTTTCATTAAAATTCATGGCTTTCTCCGCTAAAGATCACAATCTAGTAGATAAAGGCAGAGTCTCCACTTATGGTGGCTCTACGCTGGATTCTAGCCATAATCCAGGCAACAATATGTTCACATATGCTTCCTTCTTCAAAGATATTCACAACCAAAAGCGCACTCCATTTGAAGTTGCTCCCTCCATTGTTGATAATGGATCATCCCCAGGCAAGGCCCTCGACTTCACTTCCACCTTTGTTGAAGCGACCGACGACTTCTCGTTCATCATCGACTGCTCACAATTTATTGGCATGGTGTTCAAGGAGAAGACGCTACCCAGCTGTCTTCGTGCACAATATCCCAAAGGTCTTGGTATTAGACATCGTATGGTCGGCAAGAATCATAAGGTTATTGAAATGAACTTCCCCACTGAACAGGACTGTATGGAGGCCTTGGGGAAGGAGTTCGTCCTCCAGGGTAAAACTATTCAGGTCAGCAAGGCTTTGGACAAGAATGCCAACGTTGTTAGAGTTACTGTCTCGGCTATCCCTTACAAGCCTGTAGAGTTTCTTAAACCTTTGTTAATCCAGACATTTGAACAATATGGTGATATTCTCAATGTCGGTCTCTGTCACTCCAAGGATGGTAATTGGTTCACTGGTAGAGGTTTTGTTACACTTAATATGGATAAATCCAAGCAATATGAAGCTGAGTTGGCACCTCAGATCCCATTTGGAGATTTTCCGGAGAAAATCCGTTTGGTTTGGACCAATATGCAGCCCATCTGTAAGGATTGTCATACTGATGAACATGTCAAGGCCGACTGTCCTCGAGCAAAGAAGAAGGCCTGTCATAAATGCGGTAGTCTCGAGCATCTTATTGCCCAGTGTCCCCGCGCTCATTGGAATCGAAAGAAGGACCAAACTACTCAGGAACGTCGTCGCAATTCCGTTACTAAGGAGAGTAACCCTTCATCAAAGCCTACAGGAAGAGAGGTCAATCTCTTAGAACTGATGAATGTCAAGCAACCCAAATACCTTGCCAAGAAGAAGGATGTGGATGTTGCCGAAGACGCTATGGAAACCGACGATGAATCCACCACTCCTGAACAAGAGGCTCAGGAACCAGCCGACTCAATCCATCAGGAGGAAGTAGCACCAGTTGATTCAGTTGAATCTGTCGAGCCACAGACTGCAGCATTACCTTCAGTTGCACCAACCACTGTCTTTGATCCACCCTCAACGGTGGAACCTTACCAAGATGACAGCCTTGATGACAAGGAACCAGCCTCTAAAGATGAACAGGAGACCGTTCATCTCACCAGTGAGGAATCTGAATATGAAGGCGGTGATACATCCGAAAGCTCTGTAGAATATACTAACTACCGGGACAAATACAATCTTAGTAAGGGCAAAAAGAAGACTTCTACTGCTGAAGGTGATACAGCACAGGAGGCTTCCCAGAAGCGTTCTATCAGGGAACTGGCTTCTACTCCACCGGGATCTGACCAAGAGGGATCTGCCAAAAAGGTTTCCAAGCAACAAGAGGACAGCCATATGGATGAGGCCGAGCAAGGCAACTCCACCACAACAAAATCATTATAATCTTAATGAGTGAATCAAACCAAACTAAGAATATCAAAATTAAGATAGGTTCAATCAACTGTAGGAACCTTAACAAACAATACAATCAAAACACAACAACACAATTCATAAGATATCTCAAAGGAGAACTATGCAACATATTACTATGCCAGGAAACCAACACTCCATCACACTCGTTTGACACTGTTACAACTTCCTTCAAATACCAGTTCCAATACCACCAAGCCATCTGGACCGGACAGTGTGGAATTATCAACTTCAATCAAGCCTTACACCTGCAACAACTAAAGACCTTTGACGATGGAAGAGCTATATTGGCTAAGCTCTCTCTTGTCGACAATAATATGCCACCTATGTATATACTCAATATTTATGCACATGCTGATGACTATAGGGCCAGGAATCAGCTTTTTGGTCAAATTATCACTCACCTCAACACTATGCCTAACATTCTGCCATCATTACTGATCGCAGGGGATATGAACTACTGTTTTGACAATGCTAGTTATCACCACTCTCACCGAGCAGGTAAACCGAAACAGTTTATGGAATTCTTGAACACCCATTTCTCTGATTGCCTCAACCCGAGAAATGAACCTCATGCATACACCTTCAAGCGCGGATCAACCATGTCTACCTTGGATTACATGTTTGCTGGACAGGGTATAGCTTCAAAGATGAGCGATGCCACCAACTCGTTCCTCCGTCCTGAATGGACTGATCATGCTCTTGTGACCAAAACATACACAACCGGATTGACAAACTGTGGTAAAGGCATTTGGCGTGCAAACCCTCACCTTGCCAAAAATCCTAGGTACAGACAGAAGTTGGCTGATGAAATCGAGAGATTCGTGGCGACCAAATTGGACTACAATCTTTCAGCTCAAGACAAATGGGATTTGATCAAGCGGAAGACCAAGCAGGTTACTATCAACTTTGCTAGACATCATGATACTTGGAGAAAGGCCAGAATCAAGGCGCTGCAAAGCGAGAGGAATAACTTGCTGCGATGCTACCGGAATGACATTGAGTGCTTGAAACTGCTGCTGCCGGATGTGGAGGGAGAGCTATCCAAGCTACAGCAGGAAATTGTGGAGATTCAGATGTTGAAAGCAGGCCGCCGATGGTTGGAGCAGAGTGAGAAGTCCCCAGGATATATCAAACACACCATTGACCAGCGTGTTGACCAACGGACAATTGCAATGTTGAAACATCCTAGCACTGGAGAAGCTTGCCTAGACACGGAAACCAAACTCAATGCTGCTGAATCCTTCTACCAGGATCTGTACACGGAGGAGCCAATTGACATGGATTGCTTGAATACCATGCTCGGTCATATTGACCGTACGGTATCACCGGAGGATGCTACAATGATTATGGAGCCAATAGACTATGATGATATCTTGGACGGTGCCCGTCGAACCCCCAAACAGAGTAGCCCAGGACTGGACGGCATTGGCTATGAGATACTTTACCTCCTTGTCTCTCACCCAAGCTGTCGTGATATTATCCATCAGGTATTTAATGACGCTGTTCGCTCGGCAAAGTTCCCCAAATCTTGGCAGGCCTCATGTATCATTATCTTACACAAGAAAGGTGACAAGAGTGATCTAGCTAACTACCGTCCCATCACATTGATTGCAGCGGATTGCAAGGTCTTTACTCGCATCATGAACTCTAGAGTTGTCCAAGTGGCTAACAGGATTATCACCCCTTATCAATGCGGTTTCTTGCCCGGCCGTTATATTGGGGATCATGGAATGTCTCTCCAGGTGATTATGGATAATGCTCAGTCTGCTAGCTAGCGGAACCCCTCCAATTTTACTGCTTATGCTGGCATCATGCTTGATAATGCCAAGGCCTATGACCGGGTCCACCCAAAGTATCTCTCCCAAGTACTGTTAAAGTTTGGCTTCCCTGAAGCGTTTGTCACATGCATTACCAACCTGTTCTTCGATAACTCCATCTATGTCAATGTAAATGGCTTCTTAACCGGGGCAATCTCTCAGCGACGAGGGATTCGTCAAGGTGATAGTATCTCGCCAGTCTTGTTCAACCTGGCCATTGAGCCGTTCCTACTCTCCATAGTCAACAATGTGAACCTCACAGGATACAGCCTGCAACACGTCAAGCTCCCACACCAAATACAGAACCCATGGATATCTCCTGCTCCCATCAAGGTCCTCGCGTACGCCGATGATGTCCTGTCCTTTGTGAAGTCGCAAGATGAATTAGTTGAGCTCCAGGATCGTCTCAGAGTGTACAATCAAGCCTCCAATGCCAAGATCAATTACAGTAAATCCGTCGCCTTCCCGCTGCACGGCGGTAAGATGAAAGATACTGATGGCCAACAGGTCAAACGTTATGTCACTACTCAACTGCGTATGAAATGGTACGACAGCCACTCCACGGGTTATATCAAGTATCTTGGATACCCACTCTGGTTTGCTAATCACCAACGCGATGTCTTCGTCTCAGAGCTACTGGGCAATATCAGGGTCATGACTGACATCTACGGGTCTAGAAAGGTCTCACTCTACGGCAAGGCCAACATCGCCAACACGCTCATCCTCTCCAAGCTGTGGCATGTTATCCGAGTTGTGTCGCTCCCTCAAGAGGTTTTGAAAAAGATCAAGTCCACCATTTACCAATTTGTGATGTCCGGTTTGTTCCCACCGCTCAAGGCAAACTCATTCTTTCTACCTCGTGATCAAGGCGGGCTAGGCCTGATCGACATTGGAGCACAACAAAAGTCGTTACAGTTTCGATACCTACGAGTCTTACTACTCGGTAACCATGGTCGCCTACCTGGCTTCACATATCAACTGCTCACTCACGCACTTCGTCTCACAAACGACGTCGCTCATCATGCCCTGCCTCTCTTGTTTCCATCTGCTCGCTACAAGAATACGCTGAATGGTCTCCATCCATTCCTATCGATGTTCAATGCCATGGACATCTGCAGCCTTCACAGAGACTGGGATAGACGCCCAACAATCACTACCATCATGAGTCTCCCCCTCCTTGCTGCCTTCAACCCCTTTGCTGTTACAACAGACCTGGAATTCATGACCAAAGATTCGGTTAGGAGAAGTTGTATCCGCGACTTCTTTGCATATGACCTTGCTCAGCATAGCCTCCAGTTTCGACCTCGGTCAGAATGCCCCACACCAACCACCTTGAACAAAGTTCGTCGTGCCCTAGCCAACCATCAGATCTCCTTCCAACGCTTTGTCAACCACAACAATGCCGGTGAGATGGATTTCCTGCCTTTCGTTGAATCCATGATCTACCAACAGCACCCAATCTTCAAACTGCCGAATAGAGAGCTCCGTTTCGTCATGCTAGACATGGCTAACCTCGATGTCGGTAGACATTACAGTAACCAACTCAGCAAACAGCAATGGAAGGCATTCTACAAGAACACGATGCACTACTCAGCTCGCAACCTTTGGTACAGAATGATCCACAAACAAAGCTCAAATCAACTGGCAATGGCCCAACGCAATCTTAAACATGCCGCATCAGACCGCTGTACCCTTTGCAATGAAGTGGAAGACGCTCAACACCTGCTCATCAGTTGCGTCCATAAACTTGATGTCTGGGACTCCTCCTTCAACGAGTTCCTTAGCTACCCCAAAACCGCCGATCCACAACTTATCTACAACTCAATTATGCACTTCAAACTGAAGCATTATTATATCTACAATTATGACTTACACATTACCATATATGACCTCTTTGCCACCATTATGCGTACTATCTGGAGACACCATTATCAACAGTTTTACAACCTCATCCCCTTTAATGCCATCCAAGTCTGTCGCCACATCCGCACAGAACTGTTAAGATTGTCAAATCTTAGGCAACTCTCCCATTAGTCTATTATTCAAGATTTATATATGGCAAGTCACTTTGTCTCCATACACTTGTCCATCTCTTTGATGCATTTGTTTTATTTCTAATTACTATCCTAATAAAATAATATCATCCAAAAAAAAAAAAAAAAAAAAAAAAAAAGTTTTCATTAAAATTCAAACAATCTCGTTTTTGGCCTTCAAAATGAAGACTTTTTCTATGGCATATATTCGACCAAAATGACTCTATCAATCCAAAGTAACCTCTGAAATTGCTTTTGTGCGACCTTGAAATGTGAAATCTCAACATTCTGGCACAAATCGTTGTTTCATATTTTCAAGAATTACTCAATAAGCTTCAACAAACCACTTTTTACAATTAGCATTACTGGAAGCGTATTGAAAAGCATTCCTAGAATGCATTAGGAAGTATGCAATGATCATCACAATTTATATAGTCGATTTCTATAAAAATAGATTTATGGAATCGATTCTGATCAAAATTTGTCCAATCTCAAACGAAATGACATTAGCGGGGATTTAATTTATTGTGGTGGTGGTGGCGGTGGTGGTGGTGGCGACGGTTGACAAAATTCAATGCTACTAGCATTATTATGATGATGAACTCTTTTGGAAGCTTATAAGAAGGGTACAGCAAATTGAAAAAGTACTGCAGCTTATTAGTCTGGCTACTTGATTTTGCCTCTGTTGCAGATTTTTATATTTATGCTTATAATCATTGCAAATCGCGAATCCAAATGCAAAACCAATGTGAAATGCACAATCCTCACCTTGGGCATTGATGATGGCAGACGGTTAATAGTGATGTATTCAAAAATGCATCAGTATGATGCACTTGAGATGTACCAGCAATCACTCGTAATGCCTTGGTCGTCCTTTCATTACTGATTTGTTGGTTGCTTGGTTGTCTCTGAACGATCTTTCAAGATCGTAGTCTTCATCTGTTCAATGTGCTCATTAGGGTAATGTCTATTGCATAATTTATGTCTAAGCGGCTGATCTTCATCCCTATATTGCGCAATTGTTGGTACTTTTAGAATGCCATTTTCGAAATAGTTGCTGATGAGTAATGCGCTCTCACTCCATGTATCCTAAATGAGCACATCAACTAGTCAGAGAGTTTTTGATATCGTGCATGTGCGTGTGCTTGTTGATTTATTGTATGTAAAGTACAGAAAGAAATGAAAAAAAATAATCATAAACTCTTTTAACGAGAAGTGGCAGCAGCCTTGGGGGCGAAGCCCTTGGCTTGTTGCTTGCTAACCTTGGCTTGAGAACCCTATTCAACCTCATTAACGACATGTTTCAACGCATTCCATCTATATGACCACTTACAGCAGGGTTAGCAGCCTTCTTAGCAGCAGCAGCAGCCTTCTTGGCGTCCTTGGACTTGGAGATGGCAGCTTGACGAGCAGCAGCACGAGCATCGGGCTTTTGGTTACGCTTAGCACGGATGGCATCCCAAGAGGCACCAACAACAGCACGCTCGTGTTTGACAGTACGACGAGAACGCTTCTTTTGAACTTCTTCAGTCATACCCTTCTTGTTCAAACGACGATAAATGACGGTCCATCTAATCTTACGAGGGTTCAAACGTTGAAGGAAGTAAGAAGCAGCCTTACCGTTGATGAAACGGAAAGTCTATCAAAAAATCATATCAATATCCACAATGCGCATCGTCTAAAAAAACCAATAACATACTCTACAAAAATAACACATTAATCATCTGTTGATTTCAACACTGTTGCATATTATCGTACCTGCTGTCAACACGGACGTAGGTCTTACCCTTGGCAGGATAAATCTTGTGACCAGAGAAGGAACAAATCTCGAGCCTAACGAGTGATGGGAAAGCTGTTAATTCCAGTTCATGTAATTGATGTTGGTGCATAAATAGATGGATGGATGGATGGATGTTTGTTCTTACTTCATTCTAGCTGTACCAAATTCGTAAAAGGAACGATTCCTCGGTATGGTGTCTATGGATTCATATGGCTCTTGCCCCTTTCAACTCGCCCTGTTACTAGTGGTGTATAACCTACAATCAAAGAACTTCTCCGAGGATACTCTACATCAATGTCCGGCTCGAGAGTTATTGTTGAATCCCTGATGCCTTGCAATATGGATCTCAATGGCGATCGTTGCAGTTGGCCAAATGAAAGCCCACCATTAGGCCCTTCAACCACATATCTACATGAAATGAAATGTTGTGTTGGCAGCATTTGCGTACTGACGTTTACGACCATTGAATGTCTACATCAAACCGGGCATGTCATTTCGTCCAAGGCATCAAGAATTTGGTATACAATGCCGTTCTTATACAATGTCAAAGAATCAAATGCTGACCAAATGTACAGAAGAACAAAATTATAAAAACAAGACACACAGAAACATAAGAAAAAGTAGTGTTTAAAATTGCAATTTAATGAATATGTACAGGATATATAGAGAATAATGTTGAACATTTATTACGGGGGTTTTTCCATCTCAATCATGAAATAAAAATTTAGTTGGCAGCAGCAGCAGCTCTACGACGATCGCGCTCTTCGGTGATGGAGAGCTTGACACCCTTACCCTTAGGAAGAGAGATCATGGGCTTGGAGCCTTGACCGATGGTGAAAACGTTGGAAATACGGGTAGCGAAGACACGGTCAAGCGAATCCTTGACATGAACAATTTCGAAACCACCAATGTGACGCTCACGGTGGACGAGTTGACCAACACGACCAATATTACGACCACCAGTAACCATGACAACGTTACCGACTTCGAACTTGACGAATTCCTCAATCTTGTTGGTCTCGAGGTTGAAACGGATGGTATCGTTAGCCTTGATCAAAGGATCAGGGTAACGGATAGAACGACCATCGTGGGTAGTGATGTATGGGACACCCTTGGAACCAACGAGGACCTTCTTGACCTTACAGAGCTTGTACTTGGCCTCCTCATCAGTGATACGGTGAACAGCAAAGCGACCTTTAACGTCATAGACGAGACGGAAGTTCTCACCAGTCTTTTCAATGGAAATAACATCTGTTATGTTCAATTTTAAAGAAAGGAAAAGAAAAGCATCCGGGATTCGTCAAAGCTTAGGCTGTGAGAACTCACGTAACAACAAATAAACCCAAACCACAACCCAAACCACACACTAAATCAAGAAAATAACTTACCCATGAAACCAGCAGGGAAGGTAGAGTCGGTACGGACCTTACCATCAACCTTGACCAAACGTTGCATCAAGATGGATTGGACCTCACGACCGTTAAGAGCGTACTTGAGACGGTTACGGATGAAGACAATCAAAGGAAGACACTCACGTTGCTTGTGGGGACCAGAAGAAGGCTTGGGAGCATAAGCACCTGTGTGATAGAGAATGAATAAGTAAATGAGGTTCAATTGCAAAGGTTGTATGCGTATACAAGAATGAGTGTTGGTTTTATATCAGTTGTGAAATAAAGCTCGTCAGGATACATCGGATTGTTGAGCTTGACTTTTGTTTATTTATTTTTGTCATCCCCAAAAACCAACAACTGTTCTTGTATACACATACATTTGGCGGATACATACCCAAAAGTTTGTCAAGCATCCAGTGCTTAGGAGCTGCTAAACGCTTCATGTGCTTCTTGGGACCACGAGCCTAGAGTATCATCGTTAGCATCAGATGCATGTGGATGGATGGATCATCCAAGATGCCAGATGGAAACTTACCATATTAAATGATTGATATAGAAAAAGGGAAAGAACTCTAATTTAGGAGCACCGATTCATGGATCTTTTATACCACATGCGAAAAATTTCTTTCCTACTGGTTTGTACTGCCCTCTGCGGTGACTGGTTTGACCCGACAAACAGCTGTAGAGACATTGGACAATCGATAAATTTTTTCGCAATATTTGGCCAAAATGAAAGCAATTCAAATGTCCATGAAAACACCCTATATTTCCGGCAAAATATAAGTTTGTGAAAACCAAAGTGCTAGCAAAGTCGAGCTTGTTATCTAATGTGTCTCAATTCCAGTTTGGAGAGATGCTAGAGATGGGGTTTCACTCGTGATGGCTCCCTTGCGTCTTACAAATCTCATTGATCTAATGATCCATTGATGATGGTCACTGGGCAGTGTATAAGCCTCTTTTTTTTTTTCGCTTTTTCAAGCTTGCGTCTCAAATCTCGGGCAAGTAAGGGAATGATGCAAAACACTCGTAAATGACTAGCGACATGTTGCAATGTAAACATTGATACAACCCTCGAATGCTGAGGTTACATTGCGATGAATATAAATAAAACACAACAAAGTGATTTTGTCCAACTATGAATCTGAGATCTCATTGGCAAATACTCATGCCAAATGAAATGATCTGTGTGCGTAGATGCTACGTAGTGGGAGCTAGGCTCCAAGGCTAATATAATCGTAGTATTTCAAACTGGGTTTTTTTTATTTGTAGATCGGGTGAACATTTTGTGCGGTGTAGAAAAAAAAAATAGGTGAGAGAAAGAAAGAAAGAAAAGCTACTAGCATCTTACCTCTTTCATTGTTCTATGAGTCAAAAGCCCTCTTCTTCTCCTTCACCCTTTCTGAACAATTTAGACCGTTCGAGGCCGAGATCCAACAGTGTTATCAGACTAATGTCGAGCCAAAACCCATCCTCATCTTCACTCACTCAGCAAAACAAAAACTTCAAACGCTCCATGAGTGTATCGGAAGGTCTTCACGTCAGGCTTCCTACGCTTCATCATACAGAAACTGAACCCTTTCCTTACTCTCCTGTTACACAGCAAACGACGAACAACATTTGCCCATCAGAGTCGAATTGGGCAAACAAATACGAGGATTTTGATATAGGAAAGCCTATCGGTAAGTGTGTCATCTCTACTGCTTATTTCCACATGATGCCAACATCAATTCACGTACAACCTAGGGTATGGGTCCTCAGCAGTTGTATATGAAGCCATCTACAAGCCATTAAAGAAGAGAGTCGCCGTCAAGATGATAGATTTAGATATGTTTGAGCGCAATCAGATTGACGAGCTTAGGGTATTTATTCTGTTGCTGCTGCGATGTTTTGTCTTATGGCTAAAATTGAAACCTTGCACTCTTTCTAGCGAGAAACTGCTCTCATGGCCTTGTCCAAACATCCAAACGTGCTGCGAGTCTATGGGTCTTTTGTCAATGGATCTAAATTATACATTGTTACACCTTATTTGGCCGCAGGATCTTGTTTGGATATCATGAAGACTACTTTTCCAGACGGTCTCGATGAAGTCTCTATTGCCACTATTCTTCGCCAAGCATTAGAAGGCCTCATTTATCTGCATAAAAATGGCCATATTCATCGTGATGTCAAGGCTGGCAATTTGTTGATGGACCAGCAAGGCACAGTGCTTTTGGCTGATTTTGGCGTCTCCAGCTCGTTGGCAGAGAACGGCGATGTTCGAAAGACCTTTGTAGGCACGCCATGCTGGATGGCGCCTGAAGTCATGGAGCAGGCTGGATACGACTACAAGGCTGATATATGGAGTTTCGGTATTACGTCGCTGGAATTAGCTACCGGCCATGCTCCCTTTGCCAAATTTCCTCCCATGAAAGTGCTTATGATGACATTGTCCAATGCTCCTCCCACACTGGATAGAGAAGGCGGCAAGCACAAGTACTCCAGAGCTTTCAAGGACATGATTGATTCTTGCTTGCAAAAGGACCCCAACAAGAGACCCTCTGCCGAAAAGCTAATACAACATCCATTCTTCAAACAAGCCAAGAAAAGAGACTACCTGGTGAAATCCATACTCGCCTACGTGCTCCCACTAGATCAACGACCTCACAAAAAGGTGCCTCAGAAGCACATCTCTTTCGAAAGCACAGAGCAGTGGGATTTCGATACGCAATCAGACGACGAAGGCAAGAGTGATAGTGACCCTGTCAAACATGCTGCTCCACCTGTCATCACAGCAACACCTGTCATCACAGCAACACCTGTCATCACAGCAACACCTGTCATCACAGCAACACCTGTCATCACAGCAACACCTGTCATCACAGCAACACCTGCTATCGCTGCAACAGCAACAGCAGACAAGAGCGATATACCACCCCCAAGCACGCCGTTAGAGCGATCCAAATCAATGGTGCAATTCGAAGAGTGTCCAAAGCCAGTGTATGTGGACAAGACCAAATCAACCAATGCCTCTCCAGCCACAGAAACATCAGCAGAACAACCACCCACCATCAAGAAGCACATCTCGTTTGGCGATGCTGTCATTCGAGACCCACCTGTCAGGTCCATCATGTCGCCTGTCGTCGAGAGCCCCAATCCAGTGCATAGCCCTCTCCATAACACACCTTTCGTTAGTATTGATGCTGCCACATCTACAGCGTACGCACCGCCCACGTTATCAAGTGCTCCCACATCCAAAAAGTCGAGATTTGTTATTGAAGACAGCACACCGGCACCACATACATCCACTTCTATATCACCCCTGTCAGACTCGCCCATCTCACCCTCGAATGCATCTCCCTCAGACAACAATGGCGTTGGTTTGGGTATTTCGACTACACAAGCAGCAGCGACGTCAGGTAATGCCAACACCATCCCTGGAGCATCGAGCACTTTGACACCCACTGCTGCCAATGTAGCTGCTGCCGCCGCTGTGGCTGCTAATATCAGTAGCAACAACAACACTTTGCAAGAGGGTGAGTTCAAGAAGGGTCGTTTCAGTGTCAATCAAACACCCGTGCGTCCCAGTACACCTGCTTTGGAAGAGGCACCCACTAGCAACAGCTCGCCTGGTAGTAACCAACATGGCCCCGGTGAAAAGTCCGTGCCTCATCCATCCAGCGATCTCAAATCCATTTCCATGTCTCGTGCTGCTAGCCAGGACAGTTTCCAAGAACGCAAATCTAGATTCGAGGTCAAGCACAGCAATAACAGCGGCCCCTCGATGAATACAACTGCTTCTGTTGCTAGCACTCCCATTGAGCCTAGCACACCCTTGCAAAGTTTGCCACTCACTCGCGAAAACTCAAACGCCTCGGCTTTATCCAGAGACTCCTCCATTAACAACAAGATCAGTCGATTCTCCATTGAAAAGCCTGAAGTTGTTGGGCCTTACTGTGAATTGCCTGCTGCTGTCGCTTCGGCAATGTCTCCTGAATGTCGTAAGAAGGGTCGTTTCGAATTGACTGGCGGATCCAATGCGCCTAGTGATGCTTTAAAGGACAAAGAGCACTTCGAGTCGCCTCAGTCTACTGTTGGACCATCGCCTGCTATCTCTCCATGCAATTCGCTTCAAAGAGGCCAAGCACACCGCATCATTGACAATTCGATGCCTCATATGGTTTATTCTCACATGGAGTCATTGATCAAGCAGACTGAAGTGCAAAGGAATATGCTCAACGATCTACTGGCTACGATGCCATTCATGTATAATCAGCATCCTCCCTCTTCTGGCGGTAGTATACTCACTCGCACTCGCACCGTTTCTGATACTAAGAAGCCTGTCCTGTCTCACAACGAAGACTTTTATCAAAGGTAATTATTTATTGATTGATCTGACATGTGTTCCTATGTACTCATACGCGAATATTGCAGAGCACCTGCATCTTGTGCAAATCACCCCTCCACCACTGCACAGCAACAGGCATCTTCTCAACAAGCACAACAGCCGGCCTCTTTATCGACTGATATCAACAATACAATCGAGCACCTCCAGCAGCTGCTTTTGCTTTCGTCCAAGGAAAAGGAAAGACTAGCTCGTGAAAATGAGTCGCTGAAACGAGAGGTAGAGAGATTGAGAAGAAACCAACAACAGCCACTGCCCTCCTCAACACAGCAGCCATCACAACCACAGCAACAGCAAAGTATCCTGATGAAAAAGCCTTCGATAGACTCGCCATCTTCATACCAGCAGTCTGAAAAAACCTCGTTAGTGGCGCCGGAAGCAACTAATACACCTGCAAATACAAATCAACAAGACAAGGCTTTATAATCTCAGGCTAGAATTTAATCACCCTTCCATCTGTTTCCCCTTTATACTCAAACACACGCCATAGTAAATAATAAAGAATCCGTTGTGCACTGTATAGAAGCTCGAGCATCAAACTTATTAGCTCATTGTAGTATGTATCATATCACAAAATAGCATTGCTCTAGTATGACATACAACACAGATAATCATGTTTTGATTTGAGCACAGCATTTGATTTCACCATATTTAGCAATCAAAATTTATCCAATTTGGGTATTATGGAGGGGAAATCGACACCCGGTTGTAGAGAAATATTTCGGCTTTTATCACGGGTAATCTCATGAGCCTAAGCGTCGTTAACGTGGGAAGACGCATTTGTTTCGACAAGTTCAAACCGACAACTCAGGTCAGAAGAAATCTCATTACTAACAAGGCTTAAACTCGTTTTATAAGTATATTGGGTATAGAGTGTAAAAAGAAAAGCTTCTGAAATAAGACTAAAGTACAGGAGTTTTTATTATCTATGATATATATATATATATATAAGTATATGTAAAAAAGTGCATTCAAATTATCGAGATTTAGGTGGGCTGTTGGTGTTGGATGAGGAGTGGTTTTTTGTATGATAATGTCTCCAGCCATTCTCAAGTTCTCCGTCATTACACAGCTCTATTGATTTCATCCATTTTGACTCCAAAACCTGATCAACCGTCCAACGTGTTTCTGGATTGGGATCCAACATACCCGCTAAACATTCCTTTTCGTCATCTGTGAGACGCTCGCCTTGATCAAAACTATCCCAGAGATCACACGAGCTGGCGCCTAATTTGCTTCTTTGTTGAACGTATAAACCAAAATCTTTGTCACCGCCATCCGTGGCAGCAGCTGCTACAGCGGCAGGTGATCCAGCTGTAGCACCGGGAGGAGGACTGCCGCCTGGCTTGCCAGTGTAGAAAGCAGCAGCGAAAGGCAAGCTTTGGAAACGTATACAAAAGTACGTAACAGCGGCACTCCATACATCCAACGCTTGGCCCAAATAGCCATCATCCTTGTTTTTCAAATTCCATAATTCAGGAGACCAGAATGGCTCAGATCCACACCATTTGTAACACATGTGAATGTCTTTTTCAAAGCATGTCTGAACAACATCTGCTACACCAAAATCAGCGATTTTCAGAGTGCCTCCCTTTGTCAAAATTAGATTCTCAGGCTTGATATCACGATGAGCAATGCCGAGATGGTGTAAATGTTGTAGTCCCAGCAAGAGTTGCTTGAATAAGCAAGCGCCTTCCATCACAGGCATAGTGGGTTTCTCAGTGAGCAGATTGAATAAATCGCCACCGTCGCACTATATATTGCACCTTTTAAGTATACAATACAGATAAGCATGTCCAGGTACTACTTACATATTCCATGACGGTGCACCATCTATCATGCTCGTCTATGACCAAATCCATCGTCTCTACTACATTGGGATGTCCGCTCACCGTTTTACTGATACAATACTCATTGTGCATTCTCTTCAAGTACTCCTTCTCATCTTCCGTTTTGTCCCTCTTGATAAACTCTTTTACGGCAAGAATACGACCTTGCGGTGATTGAACAAGACGTATCACAGCAGTTGCCCCACTTCCAATGTTGCGCTTGTTGGTTGCTCCTGATGCTTTGGTGCTGGCTTCTTTACTGGGCTTGATATAGTGTCCATACTTATCGTTTAATCTAGGTACATTGGCGGAGGGAGATAATGGCTCGGATGACGATCCATTGGTATGATGCAAATGCTTTTTGGTCCAAGAGGCAGGACTCGCAATGAAGTTTCCAATCGACTTGCTCAATTTATGTTGAGGTTGCTGCTGATCAGCGCTGAATGTGCTTGATTCCACACTGCGGTAGCTCTGGGCGCCGCTGCTGCTACGTCGATGAGGCGTGGAATCAACACTGTTGGGTTGTGATTCAAACGTATCTGCGGGTGTCATTTTAAGATTGGATCGAGAGTTGTTGTTGCTTGAAAACAAGAATCCAAATCGACTGGATTTCTTGTTGGGAATCGCTTTCGAGCGAAAAGTCTCCGCCAAGTTGCCTCTCAGTACAGTAGAGGACTGGTGTTGTTGAGGTAATGTGGGAATATCCATAGGCTCTGGTGATATAGACCTGTGATGTACAGCTAAAACTTGTTGACTTGTGGTTGACATGTCGAAATAGTGGATAGAAAAAAAGTGAACGAGAAGAAAAACAAAGAAAATGAGCCCTCATTTTATACCCTTTTTTTTTCGCCTCAAGTTTCACTGCAATGGTAATAACGGTAGACCGATGAGTTTTAACTATGTGATCAACTAGCTTACCCCGCTTTTTTCAACTGGGAATGCCCAATGATGGTCAAGGCAACCACTCACTATGACTTATAATTGGCTACTCGTAACGTCACTTGGCACTAAGTTATTCTACAAGGTTTGAATGGTCCATTTTACAAAAGGGTTCATTATTACAAATGGATGAAATGACGTTTCCAACATGAAAGTCGTAATGGAAATCAGAAAGGTTCGCATTATAAACATTACACAAAATTAAGCGACTTTTTGATAATCAATAGAGGAAGATAATGATTACTGCTTGTTAACCTGCCCCACCCCCCAAACCCTTCATTATGTAAGTAATGGAGACTATACTCTGTGCTTATGCACACATTTTCCTTCTAGACTTTCCACACCACAATGTAGATTTGATCTTCTGAGAAGAATTTTCTTTTATCGTTATATATGCGCAAGGGATTGTGTCGAAATATGCACATCATTATCATTAAAGGCTTTATCTTTTGTGATGTTAAATTAAATTTCGCCCCTCGGATCTTGTGCATGTATAAAAATAAGCCGTTATCATTAAAAGAAGTGATTGCATTGTCTAGTATACCAAATGTTATGCATTCACATTTCATAACGCGATTTTCAAGATGCACCTGTTTGAGTCGTCTACGATGGTCAGTATAACTGAGCTTGATCAAATACTTATACAGTGGTACGCATGGCACATGTCGAATTTATGGATTTGAACATCCATCAATCAGATATTAGTAGCATTCTAGTAATATAGCGCAGAGATTTACTTTGATTGATGGCAGCTCATTTCTTGACAGACTTGCATCATTTGAAGAGTGGCAATAATGTACATACTAGTCTTCTGATCTCGCTCTGCCTTGTAGGTTCACACTCAAGTTATCATGAACAATGTTGAGTCGGATGACAATTTGCATTACACATAGGCTTTGCATTTGGATTCGCGATTTGCAATGATTATAAGCATAAATATAAAAATCTGCAACAGAGGCAAAATCAAGTAGCCAGACTAATAAGCTGCAGTACTTTTTCAATTTGCTGTACCCTTCTTATAAGCTTCCAAAAGAGTTCATCATCATAATAATGCTAGTAGCATTGAATTTTGTCAACCGTCGCCACCACCACCACCGCCACCACCACAATAAATTAAATCTCCGCCAATGTCATTTCGTTTGAGATTGGACAAATTTTGATCAGAATCGATTCCATAAATCTATTTTTATAGAAATCGACTATATAAATTGTGATGATCATTGCATACTTCCTAATGCATTGACATTTAAAGGACTTTAAATAAAACCTGGAGCTTGACTCCCCTACAAAAAAAAAAAAAAAAAAAAAATACTTCCTAATGCATTCTAGGAATGCTTTTCAATACGCTTCCAGTAATGCTAATTGTAAAAAGTGGTTTGTTAAAGCTTATTGAGTAATTCTTGAAAATATGAAACAACGATTTGTGCCAAAATGTTGAGATTTCACATTTCAAGGTCGCACAAAAGCAATTTCAGAGGTTACTTTGGATTGATAGAGTCATTTTGGTCGAATATCATAACATAATAAATGTTCAGTACTTTTGCACTTTACAATCCTAATATGGAACCTGAGTTTCAAGGCATCTATCTGTCCTGGCTCATATCATAACATAATAAATGTTCAGTACTTTTGCACTTTACAATCCTAATATGGAACCTGAGTTTCAAGGCATCTATCTGTCCTGGCTCATATCATCATAACATAATAAATGTTCAGTACTTTTGCACTTTACAATCCTAATATGGAACCTGAGTTTCAAGGCATCTATCAGACCTGGCTCATATCATAACATAATAAATGTTCAGTACTTTTGCACTTTACAATCCTAATATGGAACCTGAGTTTCAAGGCATCTATCAGACCTGGCTCATATCATAACATAATAAATGTTCAGTACTTTTGCACTTTACAATCCTAATATGGAACCTGAGTTTCAAGGCATCTATCAGACCTGGCTCATATCATAACATAATAAATGTTCAGTACTTTTGCACTTTACAATCCTAATATGGAACCTGAGTTTCAAGGCATCTATCAGACCTGGCTCATATCATAACATAATAAATGTTCAGTACTTTTGCACTTTACAATCCTAATATGGAACCTGAGTTTCAAGGCATCTATCAGACCTGGCTCATATCATAACATAATAAATGTTCAGTACTTTTGCACTTTACAATCCTAATATGGAACCTGAGTTTCAAGGCATCTATCAGACCTGGCTCATATGAGAATAATGATTTTACAATCAATCAACAAAAACCACTGTAATTTCTACCCTCTTTCCTCTGCTCAGTGCTGTCAATGTTTTATTTGAGCGACGTCTCAGAGCCTCAGAGATTTCATTACTTACTGCAGACATTTTATGCAACCCATGCATTGTCAATGTCCAGACTAACGTTATTAAATATAGAATGCAATAAAATATCATTATGAACGATATAGAAGGCAATAAAATATCATTATAAACGATAGTGCTATGACCTTCCACCTACTTTCTATACGCTTCGAGGGCATTTACTACTGTATTGCCTTATGAAAAGGGCATGAGTTTTCCAGCTGGCCCTACCAGCCAAAATTAATTCAAACCCAGAATCATAGTCTGTTCCAGATTGGACAAATTTTGATGATCCTGGACTCGATCGAGCTATTTTTGCAGATTCGACTAAGTGAAGTATGATAATCACCCCATGCTTCCTTAAGCTTTCCTGGAGTACTTTTCAAGGCGCTTCCAATGGTACTAAGTAAAATAGATGTTTTGAAATCACTTATTGAATGATTTGTAAAAATATGAAAAGAGATTTATGGCCAAAATGTCGAAATTTTACATATCAAAGTCCCACAAAGATAATTTCAGAGGTTGCTTTGGATTGATAGAAACATTTTGATTCAAGATATACTATAGTAAAAGTCTTCATTTTCAAGATGAAAAATGCGATCGTTTGATTTTCGATGAAAACCATGAGGGATACCTCATGCTTTTTGGTCGATTTTTGACCATGTTTTTTTGGTCCCCAAAAAGTCGAGCAAAAGTGTCAGAAAGGAACTGCCAGATGAAAGCAACCATTTGGGGCTATTCTGACGATCTAAAACGGCCTTGAACGCAAGAAAATTCAGCTCAAATGCACTCATACTTTGCTGTATTAGGGACACTAAGGACTAAAAAGTGGGAATACCAGTATGCTGCTTGCCCGTATATGAAGTAGCTACGTGTATATGGATGTAGAACATCACATAAGAATCAGATCCACAGATAATATGAAGGGTTACTATGTGTAAGTGGAGGGTCAAAATGAAAGTAGCAGTATTTTGATAAAATACGCAAGAGCAATCAGTAGCACGAGCTGCCGCTGCGCAGGTTGGTTCTCTACCTTCGCTACGCTTCGGTGAGAACCATCCGAAGCATAAACACTCATATGATTAGTGATTATATATCAATCAACAATCAGGGTTCCTCTTCTAACATTTTAGCTATATTAATTTTGGGATATTAGCCAAAGGCCCGCGGCAGCGCGAGCCGTTTGAACGTAGGTTGGTTTCCACCGAAGCGAAGCGTAGGTCAGGAAACCACCCGAAGTGCTGAAAGGCTCGTATGCCATAGAAAAAGTCTTCATTTTGAAGGCCAAAAACGAGATTGTTTGAATTTTAATGAAAACCATGAGGGGTACCTCATGGTTTTTGGTGGATTTTTGGTGATCCCAAAAAAATTGAGGAATGGTGTCAAAAAAGATGATGTTAGATGAAAGTAATTGTTTGGTGCCATTCTGGCGGCCCCAGTTGACTTTTAGCGGGAGAAAACGTGGCTCATATGCACCTAATTTTCGCCGTGTTTTGCGTATTGTTGAGTAGTAAGAGGCAGTGCTAGTATGCTGTTTACCTGTACGTGCATGTCTTCCCTAGTATGAACAAAACAACATCATTCGTATGTGCAAAGAAAGCATTGCATTGAAATAACAGTACAGACGTGAAAGAAAAAGAGAGCATAGCCTTGACAAGTAAGGAATATGATGGGAGCAGTGCTTTTGATTCATCGCCTGATTACACTATATTTCCGTTATTATTGATGCTTTATGTACCGATTTAAATGGACATTACTCGCTATTCTCAACAGAAACATACACCTATAATATATCCTATAAACAAAAAAAATATGGTTCCTTGTAATAAAGCTCAAGTAAAATATCCAAGAGGTTATAGTCCATTATTCAAATCATGCCACTGTAGTAGTATCACATGCTGGCCTTTATTTCACACAACTACATTGCTGATCAGAACACGCAGCCTAAATGATTGCCAAAATCGACTCGATTGTTTCAATATGGCAAACGCAATAGGGCTGTTGGTTTTGTATAGTATAAAAAAGAGGATGAAGGCTGTCATTAGATTGACACCAGCATATTTCACGGCAGCCTGCAGACCAAAGTTAATCTCTATAGCACATATCGCAGTGATTTCAAAAGACACATACCTTGATGACCCATCGCCATCCCTCACCCATATCGTACGATGAATCGCTATCATCAACATCACCACCGCTGTCCTGATTATTATCGTTTGATCTCACTCTCTGTTGCTTATCTCGTTCCACTAACTCTCTTCTCAAATCATCAATACGGTCGTTCAATGCAATCACTTCATTTTGTAATGATTCCAATGCTCTTTTGGTTGCTGGTCCCAACGTTAACGTGGATATTTGCTGATGTGGTTGTTGTTGCTGCTGCTGCTGTAAATGTGATTCAGCATTGGCAAATGTAAAATGTCTGTTGTTGTTGCGACTGGTTCGGCCTTCGCTCATACTACTCAGCATGTTGTTTTGCGGAGTAGCAGTAACAGAGGACGAAGCGCTTGATCCAGGCACAGGGGATTGAAATTGTGGTCCGCCGCTGCCATGGATAGGTGTCATTCCATGAATCTGTTGCTGTGTTGCGTAGGGTGGAGGTGAAGGTGATGTCAAGTGGAGCCTTTTTGACTGTTGCTTTTGTTGCTGTTGGTACATGGGAGACGGCAATCTCAAGTGTGAGGAAGAGGATGCTTTGCGCAGGTACCGTTCATTTGCATTGGGTGTTCTACTACGACTACTTGTACCTCGTCTGTCGTTATCACTCTCGTTACCACTGCTGCTGCTAGCGCCACTATCGTGCTGCTGAGGCTGTTGTCGCATGCCTGGTCGATTGGTTGGAATGTGCTGCCATGGATTCACGTTGACGTCTATAAACTCTGGTTCCCGATATGAGCTTTTCTGAGGTAACACACGCAGGTCATCCCTTGTCATATGAGCTGGTTTCTTCTCGTTTCCTCGAGTGCTACTTCCATATTGCCCCAGCCTAGATGATATTGCCGATCGAGGTCGTACACCGCTGGAGAGACTATTTGCCACAGAGGGCGGCCTGTTGGCATAGGTGGGTAACTGTCTGGGTGTCGCAGGAGCAGTGACCATGGTCTGTACAGAGGCAACAGAGCCTGGTCTGATCTGCTGTTGGTGTTGCTGCTGTTGATGTTGTTCCAACCGTGATCTCGTAAGCGTAGGCGTTTTTCTGGCCTGGTCGGGTGATCCATATGGCGTGGTTGTATTGGAATGAAGATTGTTTGTTGGCGTGTCTGATGCGATACTGAATGGGGTGATTTTATCTGTGCTCTCTTGAATATCACGCAGGTACGCCTTCTCTTCAGCGTCCTCTGAAGCCTCACTTGAATCATCATTGTCCTCTTGATTCGTGGATGTATCGTCCGTGTCTAGTAAATCATCGCTGCTATCATCTCCCCCTGATGGTTTCATGATGGCGAATGCATGAATAATCTGTTGAGCCTCTTCTCTGCCAACGTTCTTTTTGTATGACTCTGCTGCAACTCTTAAAAGTGCCTCGACGTAGATGTGTCTCGCTTCCAGGGTGGAGACGCCTTCCAATTTCTTCCAAGCATCCCTAGCAAAACACAATTAGATACATGCTGTGAAGAATCAGGTACTGCATTGGCTTACCACTTTGCTCTACCTACGACATCGAATAATCCAGGTCTTTGTGTATTGATATCACCCTCTGACACTTGCTTGTAAAGCGCATATAGCTATAGGCAGACAAGGCTAGTCAGTATTTTACCCCTTCATTCAGCCCCCATTCTTTAATACAATGTGTATGTACTTCTAGCTTTTGACTCTTTGTAGGCTGGAAATTTGATGTTGCAGGTAAATGTTGAACAAAGTGCAGCGCCTTGTTGTATCTCTGTAAAATGAAGCGATCGGTATAATGAGGTGGAATAGATGCCATGGGTTTAGAATGAACACGTATTTGTATATGAGGCAATGAAAAGAGAGAGAAAAATGAGATGAAAAAAATAGCGAATACGCTTTAATGGTGTACCTCATTGTGGAAATATCACATGTATCTTTACGATATTGAATACATCCTTCAATGGCCAATCAACGGCGATGGTTTGAAGCCAATCCTTATTACCAATTTCACGCAATGCTAAGGAGCTCTGCAGATCCGATGCCATGGCAATGAATATTACCGCACTGGCCGGCTGATACAAGCCATCAATGCACCCCCCCAAACATGATTGGAGTCGCAAGCAAGCATATTCTGGATTGTGATAGCATCGCCAGGCCTACCAAAATGGATGGCAGGATGGTCACAGGCTTTTGTTCAGCTCCCCATTAAAGCAAATACCAAGAATTTCTACTTTTGTGTGTTTTATTACTCTCTACATCAATGCAATCACCACGTCCACTCGCTACATCTTCACCGAGCCCGAGTCAACAAGATGACCAGCTCCCTCATCTACTCTCCCTCAAGGTTATGCGATTATCGCGTCCCCAACTTACAGCAACGATGCCCATCTATTACGAGTCAACCAACCCGTTAATTGAAGGGTTAGATTCTCTGAACATATCAGACCTCACCGCTTCCCATCCAATTGAAGGCAAAAGCAACGATCTGCAAATTCGAGATTTTGGACTGAGCCAAATGTTGAAGCTTCCCTCAGCGTTTGGCAACATATACCTTGGAGAGAACTTTAGCACGTTTATCAGCATCAACAACGAATCGCCCTTTGCAGTGCAGCAGGTAGGAGTCAAGATTGAGCTGCAGACATCATCACAACGCTTTGTACTATCAGACACCACGACAGCACCACATACCGCACTGGAAACACAAGCAACGTATGACACAACTGTATCGCATGAAATCAAGGAGCTTGGAGTGCACATTTTGGTGTGCTCGGTCCACTACAATGCACCTGATGGCAGAAAAAGGCATTTCCGCAAATTTTACAAATTTCAGGTGTCCAATCCATTGGCTGTCAAGACCAAGCTGAACAACATGATTGATGGCCGAGTATTTCTGGAGGCACAGCTGCAAAACGTGTCAGCAGGACCTATGTTTTTGGAGAGAATGAAGTTTGAGCCGTCTGAGCACTTTCAATTTGAGGATCTGAATCAGTGCGTCGTCTCCAAACAAGAGAGCAAAGAGGCGTCTGTGTTTGGCGACAGTTTTATCCATCCTCAAGATGTTCGACAGTACTTGTACATGCTATCACCACGCAATTCCGACAATGACCGCATATCACGAACCACCAATGCCTTGGGAAAGCTGGACATTGTGTGGAGATCGTATATGGGAGACTTGGGCAGGTTGCAGACATCTCAGCTCACGAGAAAAGCGCCCATGTTGGAGGACTTGGAGGTACAGCCGTTCTGGATCTCGGAAGGGCCCGTGCAGATCATTTTAGAGCAGCCATTCAAGCTTGGCATCCGCATCAAGAACCACAGCAACGACAACATGAAGTTGGTATTGAGCAGCATTAAAACCAAGATGGGATCCGTGCTGTTGAGTGGTCTTAGCAGCAGACAGTTGGGTGAAGTGGGTCCAAATCAGTCGACAGACACTCAAATTGAGTTTTTCCCACTGACGCCTGGATTGCAGCGAGTGGGTGGATTGCGAGTGATGGACCTATTATCTGGATATACCAAGGATATTGACCATGTTTGTGATATTTTTGTCTTATCCCAATCAAAATAAAATAATGCAGCTGCCCGAAATTCATAGAAGAAAGATCACCTGGCTGCGTGCTGTGATTGCCATAGTTTCATATCCAACAGCATGATGGAATGGGTTGTGTTAAATTATGACATCAAGTAGACCACATGCACTATGGCAGGTAAAACTGGTATATAAAGAGCCTTGTTTCAATGCCAAACAGATCAACTTTTTAAAATCAATATACAATGGCTACTATTTATCATGAATACGGTCCCGGTGATAAGACTTACGTTTGTCCCCAGCAAAGACAGATTCGACGAGACTCGGAGGAATTAAGACATACTGTGCGAAGATTGTCAGAATCCGGCTTAAGAAGAGAATCAGAACAACGACGCAAATCAGAAGTAATCAGCGAACGAGCCTCCGTGATAGGAAGCGTGCAATCCATGCGCCAAGGCAAGCTGCCCTCCAATGAGCAGCTCAACCGGGCCATGGATCGACTTTTGAGCAGCAAATCCATCGAAACCAACAAGCAACACATGTCTGCCGATGGTCAACTCTTGCTCAAAGACTTTCAAGAGCTCCTGCTGACCTTCCAACGTGCTTTACAAACCAAGAATCGCGATGAACTATTCCAATCTATGATCTACCATGTCAAAAAATCAGAAGCTTCCTTGAGCGACATCAAGCCTAACATCGAAGGCGATGTGCAACACAAAGAAGAGGGCAAAGGCGATGCTCAAATGGGCGCCAAAGCCATCTTAAAGATTGCCAAGCTGTTCTTGTTCAACTCTCAATTCAGAGGTGTCTTGAATCAGATTCTGAACATTGCGCAACAGACTATGGGCGGTGTCCTGCAAGAAGGCGGTAAAGCAATTAGCGATCATGCAGATTCTGAGACAAGCCCGGGTATAAAATTTAAGCACGCTTTTTAAGCTTTTGATCTAACATTAAGGTTTAGCCTCACTCAAAGACAAGGTCCGTAACGCTGCTTCCAAAGTTACAGACAACAAGAACGAATCATCTCCCCATGGTGAGTGATGCCATACGTTGGCAAGAGATCATTTCGACTCATTCAAGTGAATAGATCAAAGCACCATGAAGGATAAAATTCATAATGCTGCTGCTGGTATGGCTGGTGGTGCTGCTGTCGGCGGCAGTGCTTCCCAATTGGCTTCCAAGCATCATGATGAAACCGACAACCAGCGCTCTCAGACTGAATCTCACTCGAGAGACATTGGCTCTCATTTGCCCAAGGATCATCAACGCTTCTTGGAGCATCGCTTTATTGACTCTGAACTAGGCGCTCCTGCCACTGATGATGCTGGACACACGATTGATCAAGACATCGAACACGGCGCTGTACCTCATCCAAACAGCAACTTTGTTGCAGGCTCCAAAATAAAGCAACCCTTGGATAATCAGTCACCGCAATCTGACGGATCCCCCATCGATGAACAGGTCTACTTGAACAATCCCTCTTCTATTCATCCATCTACTACTGGTACTACCACTCAGCGTGCTGCCACAAAGGCTCCTACGGCCCCTCAGCATCAAGTGTTCATGGCAAATCCGTCTGCTCTTCACCCCACGGCAACAGAGCCTTCATCTGCTGTCGGAGGTATGCCAACGCAAGCAGCATCTGCCATTCCAACATCCACTGCGAATGACTTGCAACGAAGTGAGTCTCCCTCTTCTTTTACGGATATGGGCAAGATGGGCAATGCTGATCCTCAAGAATTCAAGCACGAACAATTTTACGGCAACCACATGGGCGTCTATACTTCTGCTCTCAACCAACCCAAGAGCCGCAGCGCTCAAGACACACAGCCAGTTGACCAAGCTCCTAGCGCCTCTCCTTCTACCAACGACGATACTGAAATACGTCGAAGATTGAATGCGGCTGTACCCAAGTATGCCCCCGGTGCGAAGCCAACTAGCGAGGACTACATCCAAAGCCGTTTCGATGCTCCCGCTGGTGGTGGAAACACCTTCCTTCATAAACGTCTCAATGCTGCTGTCCCTCATTCTGCCATGGATGCTGGTCAGGTTCATCCCATGAGCTCTGTTGGTATGGATGGCTACGTTCCCTCTTCCTCTGCTTCTTATCAACAGCAACAGCCTCAGCAAACAAACAGCATGCGCCCTGATTTGAATCATGACATTCAAAACGACAACCAAGATTTTTTCCATAAGCGTTTGGATAGTGGAACCACTCCTCTGACCAGCAATCCAACTTTGGCTCCCAAGAGTCATATCAGTGCTGGCGCTGGTTATCATTTGAAGCAGGATAATCATGCGGTCTCTGCCAAGGAGATTGCAGAAACGTTGACAAGATCAAGCGCCACTGGTGCTCCTACCCAAAAAACAGCTGACGATCAAGTCAAGGCGCATGCTGACAGCTTCCCTGGCCAACATGTGATGGATAAGCTTAACTTTGCCACAGCTCCTGGTGGTGCTCTTGTCAATCCCCAGCAAGCAAGTTCTGCTCAATCTCGCCAAATGCCTCAGCCTGTGCAGGACCACGCCAATGACTTTTCCGGTGATCATGCCATGGATCGCATTGATGGTCAACCCAAGAACGCTAGCTATAGCAAAGCTGGTATTGGTGCTGTTGGATTGATGGCTGGTGCTGGTGGTGCTGCCATGCTGAACAAGCAGCAACAACAATCTAGTCAGCAGGATCAAGCCGATGTGGATGACCCTAATCTCATAAGAAGGTTTAAAGCTGGATCTCCTGCGTCTGACGACCGTGCTGGCTATTTCGACAAGGACTTCTCTTCATCGCACCCAGCTGAAACTGACGCCAGTACACACTCTTTCATTCCTACTGGCAGCAAGTCAGCTCCCAAGCTTACCACCAAGAGAAGCAGTTTCCATGAACCCCATCAATACCGTGGTGTTGATGGTCAAGTGCACATAGATGATGGTGCAAACACTCAACCCATCATGTCCAACAGAGAAGCTGTCAGAAGAATGAGTTCTGGTGAATACGTCGATTTGAACGCCCACCCTACCAAGTCTGATTCTGGAATAGGCGCTGCCTCTGCTCTTGGTGCTGGTACCGGCGCTGCTGCTGCTGTTGCCACTACTCATTCCAACGAGCAACAATCCAAAGACGCCTCTGGTGATCAACTCGATAAGGATACTCGCATTTCTGCAGATAAGATTGTCAACCAAGTGAAGCAAAAGACAGGTAATCAAGATCAATCTGAGCAAGAACAAGAAAGAGGAGGAGAAGAACAAGATTCCATCTCTGCAAATGAAATCATTTCTAAACTGAAGGAGATATTGACTACTGTTCAAAAGAACCCTGAATACCAACAAGCCATGTCCACCTTGATGTCTCTGTTTGGCACGTGGGGTAATCGACTCAAGACTGGCCAGATGGATCGCCGTCGTTCCTCTGCTGTGCCTGTCTCTGAGCAGAACGAGTATTACAGAAACACTGCTGCGTATGAGGCCAAAGCCATCATTGAAGATTGGGCTCAAGGCAAGTCATTGGATCCTATTCTTCGGCAATTTACCGAGGTTTCTAGCAAGCTGAAGCAAGATGAAAACCTGAAAAAGTTGATGCACAAGGTAAATATTTCGTCATGTATGTATATCAAGGAGTCGCGCTAATAGCAGATGATGCTAGATCATTGCTTATGTTCAAAGGATGCTCCAAGAGCCTGGCTACCTTTCTGGCAATGAGTCTACTGAAGAAGGCAGTAAGCTTGTGGAGGAGGTCAGACGTTCAGCTTTGGAAGAATACAAGCCCCAAGTCCAAAGTATGATTCAAGAATCCTCTGGTATCATCAAATCTGTCTCTGATGATCCCATCTCTCAAAAGATTGCCGAAAAGGTCAAGGCCATCCATGACCACTTGTGGTATGACAGGTAAGCGCGAATGCAATATTCATAGAATGGGCTTTTGTATTCATCGTGTTGTATACAGTAATAAGCACGCTGCCTTCAAGCCTCACTTGTTAAACGATATGAGAATCACCCTCATTCCTGCCTTGATTGAGCAGATCAAGTTTGTGCCTCTTCCTCAAATCATCTACAGCGATAAGCAGTTCGAAATTGCCGTTGAGAACATGGTATTGCAAGGTGATACGCTGATGCCTGATATCTTTGAGGTCAAGGTATGTATACTAAAATAGGATCATTGCGCGCGTACTCATCTTAGTTTGTAGGCGGATGACTATCTGCGATTCAGCCCCAATGCCAATGTCAACTACACCAACTCTCAAAGTGTCCATGTGCACATGACAGGCATTCAAACTACCATGGAGGATGTTGTCTTTTATTACAGACGCAAGGCTGGCTTCCCCAAGATGTCTGATTCAGGTGTTGTTTCTATCGCAGTAAGTCATGTTATCAATCTATCAAGTATGTGGAATATTGACATTTCAAACTAGACGGGTGGTGCAGGCCTCAGGGTTTCCATGAGAATTGTTAGCAGCTCTGTCGATCAAAGACACTCTTTCAGAATCGATCAGTGTCACTGTCATATTGACAAACTGAACATCAAAGTTAATCATAGCAAACACAAGTAAGACTTTAAGATTGTATTATCCGTTTGTCTCTATACTCATACTGTACGCACTGTAGCACACTTTACAAGGTTTTGAATCCCATGATGGCTGGCATCGTAAAGCGTCAAATGTGTAAGGCCATTGAGAACAAGCTCATCACTACCTTTCAACGAGGTGATGCCAAGATTACAAAGCATCTTTTCGCCCAGAAGCTTTCCAGCGATACTCCCACAACCTCCAATATCAGAAGACCCGGCCTCTTTTCTCATTTGGTTACCTTGTTGAATCAAAAGGTTTCCTCTATTTAAATAGTTTTCGTAAATATTGTAAATAAATGCTATGTAGTAAATGAAGTATTTTGGGCATGAAAAACTGATGGAAATGGACAAAGGAGATGCTGAAAAGCACACTTGGAATCTTTATAAAGATAGAATTATTTGAATGAAAGACGAGATGTAGAGCAACCCATAATCGCATCTGCCAATAGCTCTACACACACACACACACACACACACACACACACACACACACACCTATTTTTGACAAATCTTTTCCTGGATACATGGAGATCATTTTACATTTGGTTCACAATAACTGCTGACTTTTTGAAAGATTCTTTGTTAGCATTTGAATGTTGTTGTCAAGCTTTCTGCATCTGTTTTATTGAATTGATAAATTATCAGAGCTCACAGTCAAAGTAGCATGTGCATTATAATAAATTGCGCATTCAATAGGCAGCAAAAGCAAGAATGCAGTTGTAGTCGTCAGTCAAATTTCGATCTCCGAATTTTTTTTCTCTCGAAATGGGAATATTTGATTAAACTTCGACTTGATTGAACTATTTTGCAAGATTCGACTATCTGAACTATGCTAATCATCCCATACTCCCTTAAGTGTACATGGCTCTTTCCAGTAAAAAACAGAAACAGACTGGTACACCAGTACCTGGTCAAAAAAGTTATGCTGCCGCAGTCAGACCTCGCATTACTACCACCCCACACTCTCTCATGCATGGAGAGGTTGTTCCTGTACGCAATGGTACACCTACCAACCCTACAACCCCTTCAACCAACCGCAAAATCAAAACTCGAATTTGGCGAAACGCTCGTACCAGCGATGGATACTTTCTAGACATATCCAAGGTCGCTACTATGACTGAACAGCAACATTTGAAGATCATTGATCAGCAATATAAGGCTTCCAACTTCCTTGGTATCAAGTTTTTGGGTAAAAACGCTCAACGATACATCGAAGTCTATCCCAATAAGGATATCGTCGAGCGATTCCTCACCGAAGGTGTCATATACGAAACCGAGAACTCCAAGATTCAACTCTTCCCTTGCAAAGCTGTGGATGGAGAAGGTAAATTGATCCAGATTACTCTAACGGACATCCCCTTCCTACCTCAAGAACAATTATTACAAGAACTATCCACGGCCATAGGGGCCTTTGGAAAAATTTTAGATATTGGGCTCAATTATGAACAGTCCATGGGTTGGTTTATGGGCTCCGGCTATGCGATTATCCAGCAGCAATCAAATGTCAAGTACCCTACCCTACACCACAGCATTACTTGGCAGACAGCCACTCAGGAGGAGGAATTCTGTCATGCAACTTTCCCCGACATGGCTACCTGGTGTCGCTACTGCCATGAAGAGGGCCACACCAAGTTTGAATGCCCCAAGGCAATGGCCCGCATCATATGTTACAACTGTGATAAAGCTGGACACCGTCAGGATACATGTACGAAACCCAGGAAAGGATCTTCGGATCGTGAATTTAAGAAGGCTCGCAAGATCCCATCTAACACACCCTCTGTCGAAGCCAACAAATCCCAATGGGCCCCCAGTAATATTAAGAACTCAAATGCGGGCAAGGAGCAAACTCAAGGGCAACAACAACAGCAAGATCAGGAACCAAAGCAAGATCTTAAGGCTAATGCTATGCCACCTATTAACTTATCGCAAGCAACTCAGTCTGGAGATTTGCCAGACAAGCAGGGCGAATCCGCAGATGAGGACAGCACTAGTCAGGTTACTCCAATGTCTACCGATGAAGAGGACGATGAGGATTATCAGCCTTCCACAAGTGATTCAGAGGATGAATCAGACAGCGAGGCAGAGCGTACAACGGAGGAGATGAGTGATGTGGAAACGAATGGAGATGAAATAGCTACTCTCATGAGCGACCAACAGCAAACACTATCTCCATTTAGCATGAAATCCGTCAACGGTGATAGCAACACCAACACCCAGACAGCTTCTCCCGAAAATCATAACGATTCTACGGTTCGCCACCAGAATTTGTTATAATTATGACGAAGAACATCTCTTTCAAATACGCTTCACTAAACTCCAACAGTCTGGTGAAAGCAGGCCATCCACAAACACAATCATCATACCTCCGCCACATTCGACTTCAACAGTTCAACATAATATCACTCCAAGAAACTCACGCTACTGATACTACTATTACTTCAATTGAATTACAATTACAAGCTCAACAATACTTATGGACATACTACTGCGGTATTGTCTCTTATTCTTCAGATTATATACTGACCAAGATTGCTACTAGTCACCTATATGAATCTGATAGATACATTTTTTGCAAGGTTCATCACCCTCACAGCTTTTATGAACCTTTTTACATTTTAAATTTATATGCGCCTGCAACCTCTGACCACCGCCCTCGACAGGAGTTCTTCGAATCTATATACACCTTGCTCTCGACGCTCTCCGAGACCATTGACCTCGAACGACTACTGATATCAGGGGATTTCAATTATGATTATGCACGGGACATCAACAATGCCTCTCGTATCTCGAGGACATCGTTGAACTGGTTGGGCTATTTAGATCAGCACTTCCACAACTGCATGATCCTCAATGACATGGACACGGTGCCAACTTATCAACATGCCTTTTCCACAATCGACTACGTATATGCTGGACATGCGCTACGACACTTGCTGAGCGATGCGAACGTTGGATTTATTCCCCTCTCTTGGTCGGATCATGCCATTCTTGAAATTACTCTCAAGCTTGGAAAATCCAAACTGGGCCCAGGACTGTGGAGGGGCAATCCCTGTTACGCAAACAACCCAACATTTCGGAAACAACTTGAAGAGACAATTAACGCCACCATGGATACAATGGAGGTGAACATGACACCGCAAGATCAGTGGGAACACATTAAACGGATAACCAAAAAGGCTATCCAAAAGTTTGGGGTGAAACACGTGAACTGGCGTAGGATGAGTATCAAGCATTTGGAACGCAAACGGAATCGACTATTGAGATCCAAGCCTCCCATTGCTACTCTCCGCATACTACTACCGCGAATTGACTCAATGCTTCAAATCTTACAACAGGAACTGGTAGATATTGCTGCACTTAAGGCTGGGGATATCTGGCGTGAAAAAGGGGAGAAATCTGCCGGTTACTTGAAGCGATTACACCAAAAGCGAACATCTCAACAATATATGGCGTCAATTCAAGCACCTGATTCTTGTAGAGACCTCACAAATAGGGGAGCAAGTATTATGATTACTACAGAGGTGGTAAATAGTGCCGTGGTTAATGGTGACCCTTATATGGGTGTGACTCCAAGGGACTTTGGTGGTGCTGGTGCTACTGAAGACAGCCTTGTGGAGCAAGGTGAAACGAGGCTTCCTATGGATGGATCTGGTGCTGAACCAACAGACGATGCTGACACGCATGATGGTGCTGCTCAGGCCGGTAACAGCTCTCCTGGATGGCGGCCCTGGATCTCAGGCCAAATCGAAGACATGAAATCGTTCGCATGGCAATACTATGCAGATTTATACAAAGCTGACCCTGTGGCACCTGAACACATTGAAGCCTACTTAAACTCAATAACCTTTGAGAAAGTTTTGACCGCCGATGAACAGCAATCCTTGACAGATAATATTACAATGGATGAGCTACTGCAACAAGCGAATCGCTCAATGAAGGCAACCGCTCCTGGTAGTGATGGCCTGGCATATCCTTTTCTGTCGCTTTTATTCAGTATGGCCCGTTTGGAAAAACTTGTCTTGCAGGTATACAATGATGCTCTCAATGGTATCTTTCCCTCCTCCTGGCATGATCTGCGTATTCGTCTTTTACCAAAGAAAGGATTGCTTGCACTCCTTAAAAATTGGCGCCCAATCTGTCTTTTAGGATGTGATGGCAAAGTCTTTACCAGACTTCTTGCCCACCGCATGGCTCCTATCCTTGGTCGTATTATCAATCCGTTTCAATCTGGGTTCCTTCAGCAACGCTTCATCTGTGACAATGGCATGGCTTTGTCGATGGTCTTGGAAGAGGCTCGCGCCTTCAACCACACTGGTGCTGGTATCCTGTTGGACCAAGAGAAAGCCTACGATCGAGTGAATGCTGACTATCTGTGTGCTGTTCTTCTCCGGCTTGGGTTCCCAGCCAGTTTCGTGTCCTGCGTCAGACTCTTGTTTTTTGGCAATGATATGTACATCAACATCAATGGGTACTTCACTCCCGCTGTCAAACAGGAACGGGGTATCCGTCAGGGTGATCCCCTGTCACCGCTGCTCTTTGATGTGGCCCTTGAACCATTCCTTCTTTCCATATTGCAGGATCCCTACTTCCATGGCTTCCATGTGAGTAATGGTACATCTGCCGAGGTGGCTCCTCGTGTGTCGCCGGCGATCAAATGCCTTGCGTACGCGGATGATGTCTGTGTCCTCCTTCGCGATGAATTAGATCTGTATCGTCTCCAGCAACATATGGCCAACTATGCCGCCGTGTCCAATGCCAAGTTCAACGAAGACAAATCGGAGGCCTTTTCGCTGTCTGGTCGTCGGTCGCTGGCATGGGTGAGGGCCTTCGAAGAAATCAACGTTCACACCTACCACCACCAAGGCTCCACTGCGGCTTTTCGGTACTTGGGTCTGTATTTTGCATACAACCAAGCGCAACGGGCCCAAACGGAAGAAATGCTGCTCAACTCTGTTCAAACTCAATGTGCCATCTACAGTCAACGCCAATTGTCTATCATGGGTCGCGTTACCATTGTCAACAGTCTGATTCTATCCAAAATATGGTACAGCCTTCGAATGCTCAGGCCGACCAAAAGGTTCTTAGAGAAGGTCAAGTCGTGTGTCTACCAGTTTGTCTGGAAAAAGAAGCGGCCGTTAATACGCAAGGATCTCATCTTCCTGCCTAAATCTAGGGGTGGTCTTGCCGTTCTCGACCCTTCTCTCCAACAGCATATACTCCAAAAACGCTGGCTCAATTATCTCGTCGAACCGCAGAAGTATCCGTCTTTCCTGCTACCTTTCTTGATCTCACATCTGTCACTGCTCCCAGGGTCCTCAGACTTCCCCTACATGGCTTTCCTCGATGCTGAATGCCGCAAGTCCTCTCTGCTACATAAGGATCTTTCCATTTGGCATTCCATCTTCGCATCGTATGATTACTTCGAGTTCCCTGACCTTCGCCAGGTTGAGGTCATTCCACTACAGACCATCATGCGATTGCCTCTGCACAAACTCCTCACTGGGCTTAACGATGATCACTGGCTCAAACGTCACCCCAAGTTCCCCGCCAACAAGTTCCTGCTCTTCGATAGCCATCAACAACGGTTACGTCTCCGTGTTGCGTCTGAATATCCTGTCTACCGGCATCTTTGTGCCTCCCTGTACCAAGAAATCCTAGTACTCAAAACAGTTCATCTGGTTCCTGGTGTCTGGCCCCACATCCTGCACCCCCCCTCCCACTCCAGCTTGGACTGGACAAACTTTGACTTCTTTGGTACTCTGGGCATCACCGATAAGTGGAAGCTGTATCACCCCAGCACATATCGCCAACAGCAACAACAGCTGGTCCCATCAGAACATCGGTTTACCAATGTCATGGTCAAAGCACTGTGGCCCTCCCCTGCCCACCCTGCTGCCAGAACGGTTCTTTATCGGGCACTGTCGCGATGCATCCCACATAAGACCTATCTGCGCACCATTGGCTCTGTGGAAACCCCCATCTGTCCCTTTTGTGCCCAAGGCATTGATACATTGAGGCATTTTATTGTCGACTGTCCTGTCAAATGGCAACTATGGCAAACCGTCCTGTCTCAGTACTACTCCAACTTTCCTCTGACATCTGAAATCATCTATGGCACAGTGCGTTATTTGCATCTCCCTCACTTTATCAAAGATCGATCCAAGTATATTGCCGTCATTTCTACCATTTTCTGGCAGATGTGGAATCTATACTGGCTCCACGGTAGCCAAAATCCTTCACCCCTCTCCGCTGCCTCAATTGAGCGCTTTCCTTCCAGGACAGTTTGTCTTATTGACAAACTGCTTCCGACCAACACATAATCGTTTATTAGATAGTCAGTTCGTTGTTCGAGGTCCACCACTCCGCGATGTGTCCCTCAAAAAAAAAAAAAAAAAAAAATAATATTTGAATAAAATAAAATATTAACTACAAAAAAAAACTCCCTTAAGTGTAGGGCGAAGTGGTAGAAACTCCCGTATGCCAACGGGAGGATCCCGGTTCAAATCCTGGTGAACGCAAGTTGTTTGATTTTTTTGGCGTAGTACTGATGTCCTCGTTTGGTGTTTTGTGCTCTTATCCATTATCTATATTTTGACGATTTCCGCAAGACTGTATTGGCTCTAGGTGTCGCACCTTATTAGTAGTAGATTTCTTTCCCAACTTAATTCAAAAAATATCTTATTCCCCTTCTTTGCAGACATTGGGTCCACCAACAGTCTTTTCTATCCCTCAGCATGACATTTAAAGGACTTTAAATAAAACCTGGAGCTCGACTCCCCTACAAAAAAAAAAAAATACTCCCTTAAGCTTTCCTGGACTACTTTTCAAGGCGAATCCAATGGTGTTCACAGAAGAGGTGTTTTGAACAAATTTATTGAGCAATTTTAGAAGATATGAAATAACGGTTTTGGCCAAAATGTCAAGATTTTGCATATCAAGGACTTATAAAAGTGATTTCAGGGGCTGCTTTGGATCCATAGAAACATTTCGATCTAATATATACCATAGTAGAAGGCTTCATTTTTGAGATCAAAAACACGATCGTTTGATTTTCGATGAAAACCATGAGGTGTCCCTCATGGTTTGAGGTCGATTTTTGGTGATGATTTTTTTACCCAAAAAAAATTGAGCAAAGGTGTCAGTAAGTAAGTGCTAGTTGAAAGCAATTGTATGGTGCTATTCCAGAGGTCTAAAACGGCTTTTAACGCGAGAAAACATGGCTCAAATGTGTCCATATTTGGCTGTACTTCGCATATTATTGAGTAGTAAGGGGCATTGTTAGTACGTTATCTGCCCTTATATGAATTGTGTCCATTGATACAGACGTGGACAAATGTAGTAGCACGAGATCCGTAGTAATGGGCTGTTTGGAAATGGTCAGCAGATGGTAGTGTAAGCTAAACTGTGAGATTTCACTATACTCAATTGTCTATTGTGAAAAGACATCTAGTAGCTGGCTGTATTAATTCAAGTTGACTACAAGCACATCGACTGATCAAGATACTAGAGATATAACGAGCCTGGACTTAGCTCAGTTTTTACGCAGAAACCTATGCACCATTGCCCTTCTATCGGAATGTATTCCCGTCGATGAGGATCAGTGCCACTCCCTCCTGTAGCCCATTTTTTTAGTAGTATTCTTATAGTTTAATATGATTTGTGCTTCATTATATCTTATCTTATATTTTGTTCCATATTACTTATCTCAATTGCACCCGCCTCTTCATAATGATCTATCATCACTCTTTGTGTACGCGACGCAATCAATAAACAGAAACTTTTTTTTTAAAAAAAATATATCAGGATGTCGCCTGTGGTGCAACGAATGCACTCAAAATACACCGGCAGCATGCAATTAGAATACAAGATTAGGTTGATAGTTAATGTGCAATTATGCAGTAAATGATTAATCATTATATAAAAGCAGCAAAATTGGTTTCTCATTTCCATTATTTAATAAGCTTACAAGCAATATGACGCATCAAAATTTGCTTTACCAAAGTCAATATGCCTCCTATTCGAATTAGAAATTGCACAGGTTGTAGAACTGCCCTTCCAGAAGATTTCAGTTACCAAGGATGTGATTCATGTCGTGTAAATAAAAGTCATAAATCAAAAATACAACCGAATCAGACAGTTTTCAAGCCTTCATATCTTGGCATTTAGGCCTTTCTGAGCTGCTGGAATGACGCCAAGCAATTGTACTCGAGTAACAACAACTTCCTGAAACCTTTGCTCGACATTTAGAGGACCCAAAAAACATGGTCAAGAATTGACCAAAACCCATGAGGGGTACCTCATGGTTTTCATCGAAAATCAAACGATCGTATTTTTTACCTTGAAAATGAAGACTTTTACTATGGCATATATCAAATCAACATGTTTCTCTCGATCCAAAGCAACCTATGAAACCATTTTTAAGAGGTTTTCATATGCAAAATTTCGACATTTTGGCCAAAACCCTCATTTCATATTTTCTGAAATTTCTTAATAAGTTTAGTCAAAACATCTATCTTACTTGGCACCATTGGAAGCGCCTTGAAAAGTGCTTCAAGAGTGTATTAGGAAGCATCGGATAATCATCACAATTTTGTGGTCGAATTTCATAAAATAGATTTTTTTTTTTTTTTTTTTTTTTTTTTTTTTTTTTTAAATTTTGTTTATTGATTGATTCGCGTACACTGAGAGTAATAGGTCAGAGTGAAGAGGCGAGTGCAATTTAGATAAAGAATTGGATAACTATAAGCTAACATATGAAGAATAATATACTAAACTAAACTGTATAAAAAAAAAAAACTATCTAATAATTGGCTTTGGATTACAGGAGGGAATGGCACTGATCTTCCGCAATGGTCTGACGAACACTGGTTCGAATACTGGCCAATATCGCTGTATGGTCCATAGGAACATTGTCATAGATGAACCTCATGTGGGCAAGCCACAGTTGACCAAGGGTGATGATGAGGATTCGGAAAGGCTTGATTCCAGCAATTTGGCAATACCAAACGTTGGAGAAATCAAGTTGCAGAAGAGCCTCTTTAATATCTAGAATCGAGGTGGTAGGCCACAGAAACTCGAAGATGACTCCCTGCCAAACTTTCTCTTTAGAAGGACAATGAAAGAGGAGGTGACTTGGGGAATCGTTCATAGACAAACAAACTGGACAGAGAGGAGACTCAAAGACTTTGGGCATAATAAAATGCAAAAATCGACGGTGAGGAATTCGACCCAGAATGAGACGGTATATCACATTACGTTGGACAGTGGTAAGAGACAGGGACCAAAAAAATTTCCAGCTGGACGCAGAGATTTTGCGCAATGCCAAAGGAGAGACCACAGACGAAAGGACAGCCCGACGAAATGCCTTAGCCGAGGCCTGAACATTACCAAGAGGTTGATCATCAAGGAGACGAAACTGCTCAATCAAAGGAGCAAATGAGACGACTGAATCCTCTAAAGGAGCTGGGCTACAGACTGGCTCGAAGTAAGGTTGAAACTGTAATTTCCCTGTCGCTAGGCCTTTGAACACTGTGGAGGGAGTTCTTTTCCAGGTGAGCAGAGAGGGGTCGCGAGTATCCTTCCAATGGACGAAATTGAGCCGGGAATCATACTGAAAAACGTCGGCCACCATCATTTCTTTGACACGAAGAGGAAGCACGAAGCTGGAGGAGGGAGGGACAAACACTGCAGCCTGCAGTGGCAACGCCATAGCAGTAGCTGTATTAATGCGGGCAGAGCCAAAAGAACGAGGGAGATAATCAACAGCACGATATATCATATCCACAGTGCCAGTTCGTTGTTTCAGTAACCCTTGAGAACGAGACGAGGGAAAAAGCAAAGGGATTTGGTGAAATTGGCAGTTGTTAACATTTCGAATGTGATGGCTGAGAAGAGATGACACAGGATGGGCATCAATGGTGGATTGATCATACACCAACAAAGGTTGCAACCATCGAAAGTACAACGCCGAAGCTTGTAGCTGGATGTCGATCACCCCGAGACCACCTTGTTCCTTTGGGAGAGTCCAGACAGACCATGGGATGACGGGGAATATGTTCTTTCTCAAAAATTGTATGGCAAGAGATCTCAGCTGTTTGAAGTCTGCCAGAGTCAACGGAGTAACCCGTAGGATGTACCAAAGTTTGGAGAGCAAAAGAGAGTTCAAGACAGTAGCTCGACCGACAACCGACAGTGATCGAGTAGAATGTATTTGAGTGGCAATTTTGATCTTTGTTACCAGCGAGCCCATGAAGTTGACACGTTGGAGACGACTTTGAACCAAAGGAAACCCCAAATAGATTAAAGGTACATCGTCTTCGACGGAATGTAGATGATTGATGTGGATTTGAGCCAACGAGGTCTCCCAAATATCCCATGTATCTCTGCCAGATACCGAAAAAGCCTCCACCTTATCGTAGTTGAATTTGGCATTGGAAGCGCCGCAATACCTGGACATATGTATTTGCAACCGAGCGAGATCAGCAGAATCGTGGACAAATACCAAGGCATCATCAGCATAACAAAGAAGCTTGGTTCGTTCAGTTCCCATAAGGTACCCTTGGAATTGACGATCGTTAATAATGGCCAACAAGAAGGGTTCAAAAGCTAGATTGTATAGGATTGGAGACAGTGGATCACCCTGCTTCAAACCTCTCAGTTTCGCCACTTCGGACGATAAGTGTCCATTGAGGTTGATGCGAATCAGGTTGTCACCCATTAACTTGTAGATGCATTTCACCAAAGGACGGGGGAAGCCAAATTTCAGCAAGACGTGCCGAAGGTAGTCTAAATTTACACGATCATATGCCTTTTCTTGATCAAGGAGAAGGCCAATATCAGCATCCAAAGAGCCAAATGTAGGATCGTCGTCCCGTTGTTCCGCAACTGTCCATTTTCGTTGTGCGTCTTCCATGATTAGTTGACAAATCATACTATTTTCAGCAATATATCGTCCTGGGATGAATCCTAACTGGTGGCGGCTGATAAGCTGGGTAGAGGCGTCCATGATACGCCGGTTGATGCATCGAGTAAAAAGCTTGTAATCCGAGTTGGCCAAGGATAAAGGTCGATAGTTTTTCATGTGAGCTGGATCGCCTTTCTTGTACAAAAGACACATAATGGTTTCGTTCCAAGATTTAGGAAACTTACCCTTCTGTAGAGCTGTGTTGAATACATCGGTGACAAGGGCATGCAACGGAGGATATTTCAAAACCAAGTACAGAATCTCGTAAGGCAGGCCATCTGGGCCAGGGCTGCTGAGTCTGCGGGTGTGTTTGCTATCTTCCAAGAGTTCTTCCATGTCGATTGATAACATCAGAGA